GCTCCCCTGGGCAGACCCGCTTCTCTGGCCTTCCCCGAGCTCCCCTCCCCGATCGTCATCTTTGGTGGTAGAAGTAGCAGAAGTTGGTGTGTTGGGTAGGTAGGTATTGACGCGACCAAGAACCCCCGTGTACCTATGTACACTACGACACACCCCAGGTACCTTTTTGGTGCTGCTTTGGATCCCGTTTGCCGGTCGAGCGGTGCGGCCCACACCCTCCCTCCAACCCTGAATGCATCCACGGATGCGTTGCTTTGCTGATGTCGATTGCTCATCCATCTTCACCCATCAAATGTGCCATGTCGACACACTTACACTACCACCTTACCACCGAGCTACCTCTCCATCCACATCCATGCCTTACTGACCCCTGTCATGCTTATTCCGTCCCTCAAACAGCCAGCTTGATGACCTCTTTGAGCTCTGGCCCAAGGATATAAACCAGACCTCCTCCCCACGACCGCAACCGTCTCCGTCCACTCCTCCAGCAACCCATTCTCACTCAACTCTGATCATCCTTCACGAAACAAAAGATACTCCAACCACTTCTTTGAATCTCTCCCATTACCTACCTGATCCCTGATTTTAAGGTTTTCCCATCAACTTGGTTCCCAAACGGAGAGCTAAACCCCGCACACCTACCTAGCCTCCCTCCGTAGTCACCTTTAAGGTTTACAACCACGCTTCTCTTCCCAGACTTGCCGATTCATCGCCATAACAAAAAGGCATTCGTCTACCCGCCGTCAAACCCACGCGCTCTTTGACACCATACCTATCCCTGCCGTCTTACACAATCCTGTGCTTAGACAAATAGATAGTTTTGACATCCCAAAACTTGTCGACTACGCCTTCTTCCCAGCAACTCTCTCACACACACAATCGAGTACTTGACAACTCGTCCACACTTCGCCATGGCCGTCAAGGAATACCAGCCCCTCGTCAACCACTGCTGCAGCTTCTGCTGCAAGGCCGTCGAATTCGGCACCCATGACTACTGTGGTGGTAGCTACCACTGCCACCGCTGCCCCTCATAAGTGGCGGCTCTTCCCTCGAGCCCTTCCACCGGATCGGGCTGGCTGCATCACATCCTGGCCGAGGCTTCCACACAACAAAGCGATGGTCCCATGCAGCAGGAGACGATTACGACCTGACACCTCCTCTACCCCAACAACACCACCGGCATGCAGCGCCTCACCTGCTCCTGGTGAGCCTACCTAGGTACTGCTCACCCGGTCACAAATGCTTCCAGATAGCCGATCGGAGGCTGCGCAGTTGCTGTATCACCACCATCTCGCACCGTTTCGATCTGTCGTTTCTCGCTTTCTCCCCCTATCTCTCTTCATTTCCTGGACCAAGGGCAGAGCGCCGGCAGTTATCATCTCATTTTCTATGATATGACCAGGGGTGCAGCCTTTCGCGTTACGACCGGCTGCAGCCTTTTCTTCACCGCTGCGTCTGTGTCTCGGATCGAATGTTGGCTGCATTTTGTCCAACACGCAATATTGAACCCAACAAAACCCGAAATCCACGCCAAAAGCACCAAAAATGACAAGAGAACCAGCGTCGTTCGTTTTCCTGCATGGGACGATCATGCAGAAATCCTTGCGGGTTTAGCCCTTTCGATTTTCTCTGTTGTGCCACCTCACCATTTGCTTTTTTCCTCTCTCTGCCCCTCCCCTGCCCTGCATCCGTCACATTATGGTGTGCTGGATGGTGCGTGTGTACCTGCACGACAAGGCTGATTCGATGGAGGCCCTGTCCCTGTCCCTGTCGCCTTCTCCCATTGCAGAGTCTTGCGGACTCGTAGGGATGCACACGCCCTCAACATCTCGGGCCTCGTCTGAGGGCCGGCCTCACTGACTGGCCGCTGGCTGGGGCCATGCAGGTGTGTTTGCTTCTGGACTCGATATGCAAGGCCAAGGTGGACGTGGCAGCACATCTCGCACACCTTCGCTTGCTCGAAATCACCAGCTGCAGATGCACACATCCCCCAGCAGGCAGGCAGAGACTTCAATCTTGCAACTCTCGCTCGCTGCCTATGCAGCTCTGCCTGCATTCTCCAACGACTACCGGGTGCTTTTAACCCATTTTCTTTTCTCATGTATCGACACCCCCCTCTTTCTTTCTTTCTTTCGTTACTTTCTCCTCTTTTGCTTTGACTTGAAGAAAAGCAAATGTGTACGTACTATTGGGCAGGATTTCTCTTTTCCTAGGACGGAGTCAAAAGGGCAAAATTCGGAGTTCTCGGCAGGCAGCACAGCCCTGGTTTGGGGATTATTGATCTTCTCTGCTGGGTTGGGCATAGCCTTCCTGCACGGCATCACTTTTTGGGGCTCACTCGCTTCTTCGCGGCCTGCGCCGCTTGCCGGCGGCCGTCCGGGGTGGGCGACAGCAGGCTGGCGATCTACTTTCACTTTACTTGGGCGTTATGGGAAAAACTGGGGGACACGGGAACGACTTGACATGATGCAATGAGGGTTACGAATTGGGCATTACGAGCAGAGCTCTGGGAGATTGTGACAAGGATCTTGTTGAGAGTGAGAGTGAGATAGCTGGAATACCTACCTTCCGGGCTACACCTTGGTATTTTTCCCAGATATCATGCCAATCAAGACGATTTCGTCACCTCCCATGATGATCTATTCGTGCAGCGATTATCAAGTGATCACCTCCACCACCACCAGCTGGGAGGCTTTCTCCCACGCCCACTCCCTCCATGCCCGAGTCTGCACCCCCCTCCCCTGCCGAGATGAGGCGTCTGCCAAACTAGGTGTCTCATTTCCCGATGTCAAGAAAAAGAAAGAAAAAAAGACGAACCGCCCAGGCCCCAGGCCCATCTCGAGCGACCGACCGTGCAAAATGTAACACCACCAGCAAGTTCCCCAGCAGTACGAACAGCATTAGACACGCATTTCGATGATGATCTTGACCGCTCTTGTCAATTTTGGGCCTCCGGCATTGGCTTTCAATGCTGCTTTGCTTGGCTCACGCCGGAGGGGTATTGTACCCGCCGTGCTGCCGGAGAGAGAGAGAGCAGGGAGCAGGGAACAGGGCAAGCAGTGACCTACCCGACTCTCCCGTCACCTAGCAAATCTCGGTGAGGGGCCAATGAGACGTCGACGGAGCCGTCTCCAACACCCAATATCACCGAAATATTGGATGTGCAACCGTGCGCGGTGCAAATCACCTGGGGAGTCTCTCCTACCTGCAGCAATAGAGCGGAGCTTGTGTAACACCAGTTCCCCTTCCTCTCCTTCACGCTGGAGAGAGGGACAATGAGCGAGGTCTCACCTTCCCACCCTGCGGCCCGGCATGCCATAGGTTCGCGGCGGACAGGGGGCTCCGCAGGTCTGGAGCCTTTTTGACCTGAGCCTTGAGACGACTGGTGAGCTGTGGAGGCGGAAAGGACCAAAATAGGTACCATCCTGAAACCCACTATCTTGACGCTTCTCGTCATCGGAGACGGGACAAGTATTGGGGGCCTGCCTGGCTGGGATGCCGTCACCCGATGGGGGAAGAGTGAGGAGAGACTATTGCTTCGCTTGCGGACGAAGCTACTGCGGTCAGACGACCGGACGGGCGATATGACTATGGAAACGACAAGGAAATTGGGCGATAAACCAAGAGAGGGGGGGGCGAATGTACGAAAAGGAAATTGTCACGATAAGCAAGGGAGCAGCAGAGGAGACCCGGAGCTTCACCCGGCCGAGTCCTTCGTCTCTCAGTGCTGAACATGTGAGGATGTACTGTACTTTCTGGGACGAAAAAAAAGGTCCTTTGTCAGTGTCAGCTACCTGCCTTAGGTATAGGTAGTCAGAAATGAGGGACGGACAGCTGCATGAACCGACGAGACCTTGTGTGGATAATGACTGCGTTGGAAGGGAGCACATGAGGTTACGCTCGAGAACAGGCTGGGGTGATTTCGGTCGTTCTAGATAACGCCTCCCTCATCGTGACTCAGTGAGTGGCTGCAGGCAATAGACTGACCTCCCCCCTCCTCCCCCCTGTGAGGTCTATGATGATGATGAGGAGTACGAGTATTGAGGATGATGATTCAAGACACCTGTTTCCCCTCTTTCTGGTTCAGCAGGCAGCGATGGGGTTGCGTTGGGCGGTTTCAATTGGTGCATGCACATGCAAGGTGATCAATGAGCACGGCCATCGAAAAGCCAAGTGGGAAACCGGTGTCGATGCGCAGATTGGAGAAGATGGGGATCGTCGTGTGGATGTTGGGAACCGAGTCACCGAGCAGTAAGCCTGCCCCCGGGCCCATGGTGCTACTGCTGCAGCCACAAAGGGACGTTTGATATCTCGTTCAAGTTCCCCCCATATATCATATATCAGAAAGGACTCAAGGCAGGTAAGACAAAAAAGGACAGAGTCCAAAAGAGGTCAAGTACCATGGTTATGCAAAGGTCGTGTCTGCAAAAACCCCATTCATTCATTCCGTTGCCCAAAACAAAATTAGGCGCATCAACGCCTGCTCGCCCCAAAATTGGTATCACAGCTAAACTCAATACATCCATGCGCGCTGCGCCCTATCGGTCCTCCGCAATCTTCATCGGGGAAGACACGGGGCCCAAAGAAATCCTTCAACGAACAAATCAAGGTGAGAACCGACGATGCTATCGCCGCCCCCCTCCTCACCGGCGGGGCGCTGGACAAGGTATGGATTGCTTGTGTGAGATATGCATTCCCACCACAGCGTCGCAGCCGATACCGAGCATTCCCTCCTCCCCCACGTAATGCAACCCACAGACGTTGCTGCGTGGTGCCCCGCGAATTCCTTGCCGCCTCAAGGTGTCTCGATGCAGAGCTTACCGACCTGGGAAGGGCCAGTATCTCCTCCTCGTGGATGAGTGGAGGAGGGAGCGGTCCGAGAAAATGACGGGCAGTCCCTAGCTCCAGACACGATGCCACGGTGACACTCAACTAGAAGCAACAATGGGCTGACCAAGCGTGGCCTCCGCTCCGTTGCCAGCCCGCACGTAGCCTCAGTCTTAGTACAGACTGAGAAAGACGGCGGAAATGGACGACTTGTCATATTTGACGTACTTGCCCTTGCCCTTGTCGACCTCGTGATACCTGTCCCAGAAACGGTTGTACAGCGGCTCGAGCATCTGCTGGATATCCCTGGCAAACATCTGGCGCACCTCTCGCTCCATGCTGTACGACTTGTGCTTGGCCACCATGTCGTCAAAGGACGTGTTGAAGGCGGTGAACTTCTGCTTGATGTTCTCCTTGTCCTTGGAGCTGAGGCCCTTGAGGATGGACGCGGAGTCTACTGCGCCCTGTCCAGACGTCGGGCGCTGCGCCCGGTTCGTGTGGATGACATCGAAGAGATGCATCGAGACGTCCTTGCACGTCTCCGTGTAGAGAGAGGTGGCCTTCTTGCGCCACTGGTCGACCACGCCCAGGCGTGGCTCCAAGAGTGGCGCCAACTCGGATGTTCGGATCATGCGCTCGACAATGGTGACACTGTTGGCAATGAAGACGCCCACCACTGGTTTCCTGCCCTGCATAGCACGCGCTCGCCCATCCAGGGATGACAGGAGGGCGTCGATGGTGTCTGTACAATAGTGTGCAAAGATATCCTTGCCATCTGCACCAATGTCAAAAGAGGCAAGACTTGGGATTGCATCACCCCCACCGACGCGCGTAGCCGCACCGGATTTCCAGCCTCCGTCGCCGAGCGATATCATGATACTTGATATGGGTCTCAGGAATTCAACCATGGTTTGCAGCCGCTGCATGGTCTCGGACACGATAGGGATGGGGGCTCCATCCATCGGCAGAGTCTGCAAGTTACCCACTCTCCGCTTCGTATCATCCAGGAGCTCCCCTAGCGACCACTTTGCCGTCTCCCTAACCGGCTTGAGAGATGCAGCTAGTGAAGCCTTGAGTTCGCCTGTGCGGGTGTCGAGATTGTCTGACAGCTTGGAGACAATCTCCACTACCTCATAGGCAAGATAGCAGTCGGTATTGAGGTGGGACTTGATATGGCCGTTCAATTCCCGCAAAGTCCGCGAAAGCTCTGCCAACGCCGCCTGACAGGTCGACTGGAACAGCGGACCCCAGTCATCGCGCAGGAAAATGCTACAAATGTTTTCGTACTCGGCAACAAAGAGGCCTTCCATGGCCTGAGCATACGTGCCGATGCCGTTGGTGCCGGCCCGGTAGATGGCATCCGGATTCTTCTTCTTGGTAGTGTTGACGCTGGCGGCTGCTGAGTTGAGGAGAGTTGCAGACAGATAGGGGCCCCGAACTTCTGCGTAGATCCTCGCCACGGAAGAGTCTTGCGGCGCCGTAGCCCCAGCACCTTGCTGGTTCAAGCCGGTAATAAAGTTATTGATCAGGCCGAGTCTGGTGGTAGTGTCTTGGGAGAGGACCGGGAACGGCTTGTTTTTGGTGATGAAGTGTAGCGGCTCAATCGACCGCGGCGTCTCCGTCCGTAGAAGCTTGTCAAAATGGTTCTCGAGTTGTGTCGTCCCCGACTTGATCAGACGCTGCAGATCAGCCATCGTCTGCTGGGTAGAGCGTAGGTTAGACGCCTTCATCTCGGTAAGCGCCTTGTTTAGCCGTTTGATCGAGTTGAGGTAGTTGGGCAGGCCAGCTTTTTCAGGGCCGACTCTTATGATCTGCTCCTCGTCATTCTTGCTGTCTGCTGGCTGACGAAGCCGTTCGATCGCGGCAAGGACGGCCTCGATATCTGCAAGGTTCGGTCGAGTCAATCGAAGTGCACTACGAACAATGGGGACATGAACAATAATGACAGGGCCAGCTCACTGTGTCCAAGGACCTGCAGTTTCTTGGTCTCCCCGTTGAGAGGGCCAGCCACCTCGCGAACACTCTTCCCTGTCGCCTCTAGCCTTCCCAGAGATGCCTCGATCTTCTTCGTCAACTGTGTTGTCTTCTCCAGTCGCGAGTTGAGCACGTCCACCTCGGCGCGCGCCTCCTCCTCGGCGGCATGGCGCCCGGTCGTGGTGAGGCCGACCGCCATGATGGTGAATGTCGAGCCTGTTGTCGGAGCAGTGGGTGTTCAAATCGACTGCGATTGTACTGCGGTGGGCAGAAGGAACCTTGGAAGGGTCCCAATCCTGCACTCAGGCTATTGGCCGTGTGTCGTGGTCGTCGCGATAACGTAATGCGCTATGGGAGGCTGAGGGGAGACACCTAACAGGGAGAATTTGCGGGCGGGTTGCTCCCGCCAAAATGGCTAGGAATGGTGCCGCTAGCCAGTAAACACATTCGGCTCAGTGGGCCGGACTAGTGCTGTGAAAGAGCCCTGGAGCCCGCTAGACAAACTTCAGCTCTGCCTTCCAGGCTGAAACCTGGGCTAGGTGCTTAGATGACACCTCCACATCAACAACCGGGACCAGATCTTTGCATGTGCTGGAAACAAGTAGGGTACATATTTCTCATTTCCAAAGGCTGTGGGCTGCTTTTCGTATATCATGATGAAATCTAGGAGATGATCCCGCCCGAATGATTGCTCCATGCTTCCATCCGCTCCTCACCCTTGCTTAAATATCCACTCCGATCTCATGCAAATGATGTGCCCCAATGCAACCAATCCCTATCAGAAGCCAAATCCTCGACATTTATGCACCGGCTCTGTCCGCAAAGAAATCCTCAATCAACCTAGCAACTGTGTCGGCAATGAACCTCATATCCTCGGCGCTCACGTTGTAAGGAGGCGAGAGAATGATATGGTCTCCATTTGCCCCGTCGACTGTCCCCGAACCAGGGTAGACCGCGATGCTGTACATCTCGGCGAGCCCCATTTCAGAGATCTCCATGGCCACATGGGCCTGGGCTGGAAATGGGGTGCCAGTGGCCTTGTCCGCAACAAACTCAATTCCCCAGAAGAGGCCACGGCCGCGGATGTCACCAACGTTGGGGTGGTTGCCTATTCTCTGCCGCAAGAGCTGCGAAAGAAGGCATCCCATTTTATCGACGTTTTGGATGAGATTTTCCTCCTTGATGATGCGCTGGACCTCGAGGGCGGCAGCACACCCGACCGGATGCCCTTGGTATGTGTGTCCGTGGACGAATGTGCTATTTGGCAATCAGTACTGTGCAGTCACTCGACAGAGACACTACTCACGCCGTCCCCTTCTCGAAGGCATCCATGACGCGGTGGTTTGCAAGCACCCCAGCAACGGGCTGATAACCGCCGCCGAGGCATTTGCCAATGGTTTGGATATCAGGCACCACTCCCTCTTGTTCCCAGGCATGGAGCGTTCCGGTGCGGCCCATGCCCGACATAACCTCGTCGAAGATGAGCAATGCCCCGTATTTGTCACAGACGGCCTGCATGGCTTTGAAGTACCCTGGCACCGCCGAGACACAGCCTAACGCCTATGATCATCGGTCAACAAATCGTGGTCGAGGTGGCTGGGTTGAGTTTGGGGGCAACACGTACTGCTCCAACAACAGGTTCTGCCACAAACGCACAAACAGTATCTCCACCGACTCTTTGGAACTCCTCATCCAATTCGGCAGCCAAACGGTCCACATACTGCTGGTCGGACTCGCCGCGGTATTGGTTGCGGTATGGGAAGCAAGGCGAGACCCTGGAGACATTGTCCAGAAGCAAGGGCTGGAACTTCTCTCGGCGGTACTTGTGGCCTCCCATTGAGAGGGACCCGATGGTGATGCCATGGTATGACTGGTCTCGGGAAATAAACCGAGTCCTACGGGGCTCAGGTGGGCTCTTCTCGAGGAAATATTGTCGAGCCAGCTTCATGGCCGCCTCCATGGCCTCGGATCCTGTCTTTTGGTCAGCTCGCGCAGGGGTATGCGCGTTCAAGCATTCAGCTACTCACCGGAGTTTACAATATATGCTCTTGCCATATGTCCCCTGGTCGAGTTGACCAAGAACTGGCAGAGCTCTTCGCAGACGTTGGTGGTATAGAAGATGGTGGCACAGTATGCAACTTCACTCATCTGCTTCATGGCAGCTTTGACGACACGTCCATCTCCATGGCCGATACATGCAACAGCTGCCCCGCCTGATGCGTCAAAGATCTTTCGACCGTCTTGCAGGATGAGGTTACTGCCCTGGCCGCGGGCTAGCGAGAGGAAGCTATGGTGGAGATGTCGATGGAGCACGGCGGACTTGGGCTCTGCAATGACTTGAGCCACTTGAGCAGACCTGTCAGTCTGAGTTTCCACTTTTACGACCGTCATATCTTCGGGAGAGTGGCTTTGTTCACTTCCAATGACAGAATTTGGAAGCTGAACGGAATTACGAAGCAGTGGAAGAAGCGACGCCAGGGGCCTGACTCTGTTTGAAATAGGGACGGCAGTGGTCTGTGGGTGCCGAGAAGGACGAGATCGGATCCGGCAAGTTACATCGAGCACCATTCTATCCAACACTATTATCGATTACATGGCGGCCGTCTGCATTACCTAGACCCCATCAGGAGACCGGGAAGCCCAGGCGTGGGGCCGTGGAGAGATATGGCAAGCTACCATGGTCGGTCTACCCGCGCAAGACCCGTCACCTTGCCGATCCTCCATCACGCAGGCCTTAAACTCTATTTCCTCTAGCAGCTTCACGTGGAGCCATGCTATTTGACATGATTTGTCTCGGGCGAGCTGCAGTTGGGCCACAAGCCGTGATGATTCATGGACAGCACACCTGCTTGAGGCTCTTGGTCAGAGTGCCACTCAGCAGGGCCTCGTGACGGGCAGCAGACGGCAGGAGGAGAAATCAGCAATCCAACCATGCCAGCAAGAAGCTCAACCGACCTCGATCGGCATTACCGGCTGACATGACGGGCATGGAGAGTCCTGATCTGTAATCTGTCATGGACTCTGCCGTGTCACAATGGAAGTACCTAAGGGGTGTGCCACGCCTTTCCTTGGCTGGTGCTTGCAAGCCGAAGCTAGAATGTACAGTTTCCGCTCTGTGCGGGGTTTGGTGTGGCTGTCAGCATACCGGTCTCGGCCAAGATGGGGACCGGACTTGTGCACATTGGCCATCAATCTATCAGAGCTACCTGCAGTTTCGCTCACTGGACCAACCGGGGTCTCTAAATTTTAGCTGTACCAGACCTTTGGGTCTGTGTCAGCCGTTTTCTTTTTGCTGTGCTCTGGACGGCCCGGTCTTGACTACCCGTACCCGAGACAGCTTGCCGAAAATTTCGACCACATGTTCGGATAGGGACCCGGTCAGACAAAGGAGGCACATGTGAAATTATTAAATCAGCACCTTCTTGACCAGAAACCCAGATTGAATGTTTTATTGCCAGAAGTCCACTCGACAGGCTCTGTATTCGAGCTGCACTAATTTGTTGTCAGTAACTCAGGGCGGGCTGGGGCGAAAGGTTGCTCTCGCTTCCTAGGCGGCTTTCATCAAGTCTCATTGGTAGTGAACCAATGCACGTTGACTAACCCAGAGTTTCTTTTTCCAAGCAATAAAGGCACAAAAGGACCAACTGCGGCACGAAGAGCGACAGCAGATAATTGGTCGCGCCGAGAAGGAGCTCACTCCATCGCTTCTCACTGGCCAGCCCTTGCTTGATAACGTTCGCCACGACTGACTCGGTTGGAGCCCAAGTTGCATACAACCACCGACTCTGAACCCTGGCTCTGGACCAAGCCAGCTGAGGCAAAACACTTTGAGGCTTTGCCCTGTTTGCAATTGGCCAGTCATACGGGGCCACTTGCTCGGCCGCTTCTAAGTCTGGGTTTTGCCCAGCGATCTCGGACAACAAGTCCTTGCTTTTGTTATCGGAATGTCTGGCTATTGTGAGATGTCCGCATGTTGACGATCGGGTAGTACAGACCACTCGTTGCCATCTAGCCCGGTGTCATTGACATAATCTTGAACGAACGACGTCGACATTTGTATTTCTATTGGGCGGCCTGTAGCCGCTGAGCACAGTGTCAAGAAGACAACTACGATAGGTGCAGCCCAGACGATCTCGAGCCTTGACAAGAGGTGCAGAATCTAGTTATCTGATCGTACGAACAGATGCTGTGATCCGAAGGCGGTGTTCATATGATCCCTGCTGGGCGACTTCACTTGAAGCCACCACATATACGCGAACTTCGTATTTCTCTCACCGCCAGAAATCTTCTTCAGCGAGGCGCGCTGGGACCCTAGGATCATCAATGACATCAGGCTGATGAGTGGGGGGGGGGGTTCTGTCGACGCAACGAGGCAGATTCGTCGGCCTCTACGGCGACCTGTACTCACCGACGGCTTTCGACGTCCGAGCTGCAGTCGCGTTTTGCACCGTGGGACGAGCTAGCCTGATGGGACAGGCTTTTTTTGACGGCGGTTGGGTGCGTGCTGCTGCATGCCGTCACCCCAAATTTACGACGTCGCCGGTGTCCGCAAAGTCGTATCGGGAAATGCCAACGTCAGTTTCGCACACTGTTCTTGTCCACGGCTCAGAGCCAGTGCGACATCCACACGGGTTTTGCGTAACGGAAAAAACGGACGGACTCGACGCCGTTACGTGATCTTGTGAGAGTGCGATGTCAATCACGGACTAAGTGTCAGTCGATTTCACCGTGGCCGAAAGCTGGAAAGGCGGAAAGCGCCGGCATCGACCCTCGGTGCTTTTGGCAAGCCACAGGAAGCCTTGGTGTTACGACCGCAAGCTTCGGAAAGGCGAGGGCTTGCGTATGGTCACATCACCCAAGTGTCATCCAAGCCCTCCTTTCGATCTGAGTGCATTTGAGTCACCTGCAAGCGCCGGGCTTCCTGCATGTTTGGTGTACGGACAAGAAAACCAATTGCGTCTTGGTGTCCTTGCCGATGCCATCAACAGCGCTATTTGAGTCATGTAAGAAGCAAAACGCATAACCCAACAGCGATCCATGAGTACAAATCAAGTAGTACTAGGTAGCTTCACTAGTTGAATAATTAAATAATTGAAAATGGTGCATGAAAGGCACTCGCAGTTATGCAATTACGGAGGAGGCAATCTCCAATTTACATCCCTGTCAAACTGAGGCGCTATGATTGGTTAGATGCAACCACTTAAACGCGCCCTGGCCAAAAGTCGCGTCTTGACGCGCCCACGCGTTTTACTGCCCCTCGCCTTCCCTCACCTCCTCGCCAGTCGCCGCCATCGCTACCCTATCCTCCCGACAAGAACACCAAAGTCGACCCTTACGCCATCTACGCTCTCCTTCAAGACCATACTTTGTGTGACTGGCATCGTCGACAAAGTATTGACAAGATGGACGGCTTCGCTCCCCGCAGAGACGAGGAGGCCGAGAGAAATCTCATCACCCGGGCAGTCGAATTCCTCGATCCCAGTACGCTCCCCTCCCAAAACCCTTCCTCCATCTCCAACGTGATAGTGTCTAACTGATCCTTTGGTGCTTGCTAGATGATCAAAATGTTCGCAGCTACAGATCAGACATTGTGCTCATGCTGCAGAAGAACCAGAGGCGGCTGGTAGTTAATCTCGACCATGTCCGTGACCACAGTTCTGAGCTGGCCGAGGGTATCCTCCTGGACCCTTTTGAGCACACGTTGGCTTTCAACCACGCCCTGAAACAGATTGTGAAAACTGTTGCGCAAGCACGCCCCGACCAGATCGCTGACGACATCCCATACTACTGCGCCTGGGCTGGTAGCTTCGGTCTGCATGCGTGCAATCCCCGAACGCTCTCGTCCCAACATCTGAATCACATGGTCTCCATCGAAGGAATCGTCACACGATGCTCCCTGATCCGACCCAAGATCGTGAAAAGTGTCCACTACAGTGAAGAGCAAAATATGTTCTTCTACAGGGAATATCGCGACCAGACAATGACCAACGGCGTCACGACATCAAGTGTCTACCCCCAGGAAGATGACAAGGGCAACCCAATGAACACGGAGTATGGTCTCTGCACCTACCGTGATCACCAGACCATCTCCATCCAGGAGATGCCCGAGCGAGCGCCCGCAGGTCAGCTGCCCCGTGGTGTCGATGTCATTCTCGACGATGACCTGGTCGACAGGGTCAAGCCGGGTGATCGAGTGCAGCTTGTCGGCATCTTCAGGACTCTCGGAAACCGAAACACAAACCATAACAGTGCAATCTTCAAGACCGTACTTCTCGCAAACAACGTCGTTCTACTGTCGTCCAAATCGGGTGGTGGAGTAGCTACCGCAACCATCACGGACACGGACCTGCGCAACATCAACAAAATCGCCAAGAAGAAGAACCTATTGCAGCTCCTTTCTCAGTCTCTGGCCCCAAGTATCTATGGTCATGACTACATCAAGAAGGCGATTCTGCTCATGCTGCTAGGTGGCATGGAAAAGAACCTCGAGAACGGAACTCATCTTCGTGGTGATATCAACATCCTGATGGTGGGAGATCCTTCGACAGCCAAGTCACAGCTCCTGCGGTTCGTGTTGAACACTGCACCTCTGGCTATTGCCACCACCGGCCGTGGCTCCTCCGGTGTTGGTCTGACGGCTGCCGTTACCTCGGACAAGGAGACGGGCGAGCGCCGCCTCGAGGCTGGTGCCATGGTTATGGCGGATCGTGGTGTTGTCTGTATTGATGAGTTCGACAAGATGTCTGACATCGATCGTGTCGCCATTCACGAAGTAATGGAACAGCAGACCGTCACCATTGCCAAGGCGGGCATTCACACCTCCCTGAACGCGCGGTGTAGCGTCATTGCGGCTGCCAATCCAATCTTTGGCCAATATGACGTCCACAAGGATCCGCACAAGAACATCGCACTTCCCGACTCGCTACTCTCTCGTTTCGATCTGTTGTTTGTTGTGACTGACGACATCGAGGACACCCGCGATCGTGAGGTGTCGGAGCACGTTCTGCGCATGCACAGGTACCGCCAGCCTGGAACTGAGGAAGGCGCTCCTGTCCGTGAAAACACACAGCAGTCTCTCGGTGTGGGTATACAGAGCCAGAACGACACTCAGAAGCCTACCGAGGTCTTTGAGAAGTACGATTCGCTGCTGCATGCCGGCGTCACCAACACTCGCGGCCGCGGGGCCAACAAGACCCCCGAGGTCCTGAGCATCGCATTCATGAAGAAGTACATCCAGTACGCCAAGACCAGGATAAAGCCCGTCCTCACGCAGGAGGCCTCGGACCGCATCGCCGAGATCTATGTCGGTCTGCGGAACGACGAGATGGAGGGCAACCAGCGCCGCACGAGTCCTATGACCGTCCGTACGCTGGAGACGATCATCCGTCTCTCCACGGCCCATGCCAAGTCCCGCCTCTCCAGCCGGGTGGAGGAGCGCGACGCGCTTGCTGCCGAGGGCATCCTCCGTTTTGCTCTGTTCAAGGAAGTCATCGAGGACGAGTCGCGCAAGAAGAGGAGGAAGACCCGCCCCGTCGAGTCCGACTCCTCCAGCGAAGAAGACTCTGATGAGAGCGACGATGACGGCGACTCGCGTCCCGCCACTGCTCGCTCCAGCGCAGCCCGGGCGGCGAGGGCAAACGCTCGCGCATCTCGCACGGCGGCTGCCCGACGTGGTGGTGCCAGCGGGCGGACCGCTGGAAGTTCGCAGGCCGTACCTGAGGACGACGAAGATGACGATGACGAGGAAGAGGAGGACGAGGAGCCTGCCCCAACCGCGCCGAGGCGGTCTGGCCGCACTGCTGCCGGATCTTCGGCCAACAACGGCCAGTCATCGCAAATATCCTTCGCTTCCTCCATGCCGGCCTCGCAGCTCGAGTCGCAGACGCAGGACGACGACGAGGAAGACGAGCTGGCGACCGGCGCCGCCTCTCTCAGCATCAGCGCCGCCGAGATCAGCGAGGAGCGCCTGAGCGCCTTCCGCACGACGCTCGGCCGGCTGCAGAACTCGGACCTCTTTGAGGACGACGCTGCCGACCTGGACGAGCTGATCGAGGCCGTCAACGACAAGGTGCCCGCGTCGAGCGGCGGCGCCTTCTCCAAGGATGAGGCCGTCAAGGCGCTCAAGAAGATGGATGCTAGAAACGAGATTATGTGAGTGACGCCCCTTCCTTCCCGCGACTTTCTCTCCAAGCGAGCGAGCCCGTGATATTGACCATGATATATCTAGGTACTCTGATGGCGCTCTTGTATACAAGATCTAATGTGATGATGATGGGACCCGCGTCTGGTTTGGCAGAAAGCATGTGCTTGGCGTTCTTTGGGTTTGGAGGCGAAAGAGTGTGTCTGATATTCCGTGTGTTACGATGCTTAGGAATCATATATTGCGTTGGAATTGGCCGAACGCTATGTAATGAAATCGTATCCTCTAGAAGGTATGGAAAGATAAAAATGACCGCTATACCTGACGCCTTGTCTATCCTTGCTGGGTTTGCCAAATTGTTTGCCCCCCAACGGTCGAAGTGTGTATTTCACTCAGGCACCCTGCTATATCAAGATTATGGTAAGGTCTTTATCTTTCTTTTCCGAAACCATCGCACTCTAAAAGTAGGCAACCATTCAGACCTTGGCAAGGCGGTCTTGGAGTTCTCTCAGTCTATCATCAACCTTGACCCCGTTCCATAGCTCGTTTCCATCATCGTCATGCCCTAGAGTAGGGACGCCGACCTGCTCGATGGCGAAGCTGGCCGCGACGCTACCCCAGACGGCAGCCTCCTCGACGCACTTGCCCCTCGCGAGGGCGACCGCCAGGCCTCCCATGAAGGTGTTACCCCCACCCGTGGGATCGACGACGACCTCGGGGCCGGCGTCGTCGGCATCGTCATCTCCCTCTCCCTGCTGCGTCTTCTTGGCGTGGTAGGCCGGGATCCACTTCTCGAGGCCCGGGTCGACCTCGATCTCCTCGCGGGCGATGAGCCCGTCCTCGTCCTGCATGAGCCCCGCGAACAGGGCCTCCATGTCGGTGTCGGGCTGCAGGCCGCCTCGGGTGTACTCCTTCTTCCTGTTGCTGCGCTTGGCGGCGGGCGCCGCGGCGGTGGTGGTGGCGCGCTTCCTGCCGCCGTTCTTGGCGAGGTAGCAGCCCTTGTCGCCGGCGCGGACGACGAGGGTGAAGGACTGCAGGGGCATGGAGGCGAGGAGCTGCTCGCAGCTGCGCTCGACGGCGGCGGCCGACACCTCGCCCGTCTGCGGGTCGAGCCCGCGGTCCGGGTCGCCCATGAGCCCGGCCAGCTCGGCGTGGTTGGGGCTGCAGACGTCGACGACGGGCAGCGTGTTGGTGCAGCTGAGCAGCTCGTCCGGCGTGCAGGCGTCGGGCACGGGCTCCCACACGATGTAGGGGCGGCAGTAGGCGTCGCCCATGGAGCGCCGGCGGCGCGAGAGCAGGTCGCCGACGATGTCGCGGCAGCGCGAGGGCGAGCTGATGACGTGGAAGGCGCGGGCGGACAGGAGCGCCGGGGTCAGGTCCTCGGCGTGCAGGCGCTTCCGGGGCGTGGTGTACCGGAACGAGCGCCGCTCCGAGGCGGCGTCCTCGTAGCCGTTCCAGCCGCGGGTGGTGAGGCGGTCCCCGTCGTCGCGGAAGAGCACGGCCGTGTCCCAGCCGTCGATGACGGCGGTCAGGTGCTCTGGGAAGTCGGAGCCCCTGTCGACGATCCAGCCGACGGAGCGGGAGGTGGGCGGCGGGGAGAAGAGGCGGGCGCCGAGGGCGGAGAACGCGCCTGCGCCGCCGAGGATGTCCTTGACGGGAGGTTTTGGTGATGGGTATTCGATCTCATCTTTTGCAAGTATCTTGTGAGCCTCAGGAGTGAGATGGGAGGATATAGTAAGGGCGGCAGCAAAAGTAAAGTAAAGAAAGCCCCTCGAGGAACAACAGCAATATCAAAGGGAATGAGAGTGCAGAACGCTGAAACAGGTCTCAATAAGCAAGCATAGGGTGGATCTGTGACCATGTGTTCATGAGTCCACCCGTGGGTTTGTTTGTACTGAAGATGATCGACACCGATGACTTATAAAATGAACGGCAACACACCGCCATTGTTGATGGTGCAGACACTCAGCCCTCACGACCGGGATGCTTACCTATAATGAACATGCCAAAGGTGAAGAAATCAAGCACCTGGTCCTCGCTGACTTGGGCATCGTTCTGATCTGAGACTCCGTCGCTGACAGCCTCATTATCAACGGCCATGTTTTGCCTGGATAATCTTGTTCACGGCCAAGCACCGTGGTGGGAACAGCATCGGCAGAACCGATGAGGTAGCGAGTGAAGATAAGAGAAGGGGATACTCCAAGAGCCCGAGAAATTCAAGTCAGCGCGACTGTTGGAGTCAAGCAATGGCTCCAGCGAGCCCGCATAGTCAGAGCGAGTGTGTGAGGTGTTGGAATTTCAAAATTTTGTTTGATAACGAGAGAGATATGTGTGAATTTCTCTTGTGAGACGACAGTAAGGCATGGAAGACAAGGCACGGCTGACTGGCTTGCCCGCCAGCCAGCCGCGACCTGCATGAGCACGCAACACACCAATATGCAAGCAGCCTCATGCGGCAGGGGGGAGGGTCGGGCGAGCTAACCCACTGAGAGCCGCTATTTCTAGGAGGCTTGGAGCTTTACCGTGCTGTATTTTTCATCCTTTTTAGCGGACGCAGTTGCTGAAGCATCGACTCGATGGGTCCCTGCCAGCCTGTCCAGGGGCTGTGAGACCTGAGGAAAGCTCCAGGCTAGCACAAAGCTTGCACTCGCATGCTTCTACCAAGAGGTAGTAAGGCTGGCGGATGCCCGCCCGAGGTCCCACACACCCTCAACTCAAGCCAGAGCGAGCTCCAGTCGTGCTGCTGTTGACTGGGCCGCAGGCTGTGGGTCCGTTCACTGCATGCACCTGGCACTCAGTCCGCTTTAGAACAGGGGGTGACGTTCCCGTTGCCTGGTGTCAGGACCCAAGACCAGACCAGACCAACTGCTTTGATGGTCTCTCCTCCGCTTCATCTGCGTCCGTCCGGTTCATGCTTCGTCATCCCACCACATTTCTCCATCCCAGGCAGCCGGATTGGATTCTGGATATACAATTGATTGTTTCTGCCTTGTGTTGTCTCGCATCGTCCTAGCATATCTGGCACAGAAGGCCCGTCGCTCGTCCGAGTTCCCCTTTCGCATAGCTTCTTGCCAGCTTGATCTGCTGTCTGGCTTCGGCTGTCTTGGTTCGACCACCGCGACTATTCCCTCCCGCCCGCTCGAATCGATACCGCCCGTAGAGGCCTGCAGCTGCCCGTCATGGCGACCAACAATGTTAACAACATGCACAACCTGACGACGCTGATCAAAAGGTAGGGAAGCTCATGCCTATGTTTACCGGAGACGCATGCTCACACCAGTGCCAGGCTCGAAGCTGCCACCGCTAGACTCGAAGACATCGCCTCCTCCACCGTCGAGCTTCCCCAGGCCGTTCCCGCGCTCCAGCAAACCCTCGCATCTCCGCAATCGGGCCTCTCTGCGTCCTCTACACCCGCGCCTGCCGCCGCACCTGCGCCGCCGAAACAGCCCGCCGAGCCTCTGCCCGAATCTATTGAGGAGTTCGACGACTTTGTAGAGAGCGCCGTCGGCAAGTATGTGGAGCTCAGCAAGAAGATTGGCGGCGTCGTTGCCGAACAGGTGAGCATGGACACATCACCAGCAGAGAAAAGGGAAGCCGCCAGAGTCTAACACCACTACGTTCAACAGGCCGCAAAGGTTCGGGAAGGCTTCCAGGCGCAGCGCCGGTTTCTCCTCATCGCAACCAAGGCCAAGAAGCCCGACATCTCTGGCTCCGAGATGTCTGTCTACCAAGATCTCCTGAAGCCCATCAACGAGGCCCTCATGGCCGTTACAAACATCAAAGAATCGAACCGGGGTTCAGACGTCTTCAACAACCTCAGTGCCGTTGCGGAGGGCGTTATGGTTCTCGCTTGGGTGACCGTCGATAACAAGCCTTTCAAGCACGTCGAGGAGTCCCTCGGCTCTGCCCAATTCTTTGGAAACCGAGTGCTGAAGGAGAACAAGGATAAGTATGTTACTTCTACGACTATGATATGCAGCCTTGCCGTTGCTGATAATCCACTCTAGGAACGCTGCGCAGGGAGACTGGGTACAAGCTTTCTACCAGGTTTTCCGCGATCTGGCCGACTATGTGAAGCAGTACTACCCTAATGGCGTTACGTGGAACGCAAAAGGTGCTCCCGCCAAGGAGGTCGCCAAGGCCGTCGCAACGAACGCTCCCTCCGCCGCGCCTGCCGGAGCTCCGGCTCCTCCACCGCCGCCACCGGGCGGTGCGGGCGGTCCTCCACCACCGCCTCCTCCCGGACCCCCACCAGTCCTGCAAATCAAGGAGCAGAAGGCCGAAGCATCCCCCAGCTCCGGACTCGGCGCCGTCTTCTCTGAGTTGAACAAGGGCGAGGCAGTCACGGCAGGTCTACGAAAAGTAGACAAGTCGGAGATGACCCACAAGAACCCTTCCCTGAGAGCGGGATCAACCGTCCCTGATGGTTCTGCGCGTGGAAAGAGCCCCGCGCCGGCCCGCAAGCCCAAACCCGAGAGCATGCGCGTCAAGAAGCCCCCTAAGAAGGAGCTCGAGGGCAACAAGTGGACTATTGTAAGTGTCTGTCTGAAGCATAAGGAGCCAGCAGTCCGACAGGCGAGTGAAAGAGAACCGAATATCTAACGCGGGTGCTCCCTGCAGGAAAACTTTGACAAGGAACCCCAGCCCATCGAGATCGATGCGTCCATGTCGCACTCGATCCTCATCTCCAAGTGCAACAACACGACCATCATCGTCAAGGGCAAGGCCAACGCCGTGACCATCGAGAACACGAGCCGGCTGTCGCTGCTCGTCGAGTCGCTCGTCTCGTCGGTCGACGTGGTCAAGTCGGCCAACCTGGCGCTGCAGGTCACGGGCACCGTCCCCACGGTGCTCATGGACTCGGTCGACGGCGCCCAGGTCTTCTTCAGCAAGGAGAGCACGGCGACCAAGATCTACTCGAGCAAGTCGTCGGGCATCAACCTCAACGTCATCTCGGGCCCCGACGACGACTTCAAGGAGGTGCCCCTGCCCTCGCAGATCTGCTCCTACTACGACCCGGAGAAGGAGGACCTCGTCAACGAGATTGTCGCCTACGATGGGTAGACGGAGAAAGTCGGGGAGAAGGGACGTTTGTTGTCAGATAGTCGTAACCAAGGTTATCCACAAAGCATGGGCAAGCCCGTCTTGTGTGGTGTGTGTGTAAGTGTAGGATTGATCACCATATTTGGCTGCGGTTGTAGCGGTGCATTTTTGTAGATCACACAAAAGAAAAGAGAACCATTTTCTTGGACTGAATGGCACGTTCAAAGAGCTCTAGAGACCCCTTTCCAAACAGGTCCACTGCAGAATCGGAAGAACCAGACGGGATGACTTCAATACGGTTCTCGAGCTACTCTGGCTTTTTTGTATTCCCTATCTCCATAATCTACCAACGCCTTCATGGTGGAAAATAGCTGCAAAGTTGTAAAAGAGAATCTAACCGCCTGGACGAAATTGCCCCGGAGGCTATGCAACGACTATACCACGCATCATCTATAATAGTTTACAAAACAAAAAAAATCGAATAACCAAGGAAGCCCAGTGAGTCCCTGTCATAACCTGGACAGAGGGTCCCCACAAGCTCGGTCCACGTCTTCATAGTCTCGACACGCGCGATTCTGGTTCTGGTCTTTCTATAGCTTGGCCTTGGGCGGCTCGACGGTGGGCAGCATCAGGTCGCGGATCTCGCCGGCGGCCTCGTTGAGGTAGAAGCTCATGCGGTTGCTGCCCTGGCCCTTGGAGACGATGTTGAAGTTGAGGCTGCGGGAACACACACACACATGTCAGTCAAATTGCACACAAACACACACACACACAGAGAGAGAGAGAGGGAGAGGGGAGAAGGAGTGGGGGGTTTTCCCATCTTCCCCTCAAGAAAAAAGGGGCAACAAACTCACCTGTTCTCGTTGATCATGTAGGCGATGCCGAAGCCGGCGTCGATGACCTGGCTCCAGCCGTAGCCGTTGAAGTACTCGGAGCTCAGCTGGCTGGTGGACAGGTACCACGAGCTGCTGTAGCCGTAGGCCGGGTCCCTGTAGATGGCGGGCACCTCCTGGCCGGGCTCGAGCAGGCTCTTGAGGCCGAAGAGGTGGCGGTCGACGCCCTTGCCGTCCGAGGCGGCCGTGATGTACTCGACGTGGGAGGCGACGGCCTTGCGGAAGAGGTCGACGCGCGTCTTGTCGTCCGCGGCCGGGTCGGCCATCGAGTTGCACCAGGCGACCGAGGCCTCGGACACGGAGCGGCAGGTCTCGGTGCGGCCCTGCTGGAAGCGGCGGACGGCGGCCGACTCGTAGGTGGGGCGGTTCTTGCCGTACATCTTGTAGTAGGCGAGCTGGATGACCATCTGGACGTAGGCGTCGGGCGAGCAGCGGAACTTCTTGATGAGGCCCTTGCCGTAGCCCTGGTAGGCCTGGATGGCGAGCTCGTGCTGGCCGATGACGTCGTGGAAGTCCCGGGTCGCGCGGTCGATCTCGGCCTGCACCTCCTTGGTGACCTTGAACTGGACCGGGGTCGGCTCGGGGATGTTGGAGCGGACGGTGGGGTCGGAGAAGTCGAGCTTGTTGTTGAAGATGACGTCGTTGACGTAGTCGTTGAGGCGGTGCGTCGGCGTGCCGTCCATCATGCTGTGCTCGCCCATGAAGCCCGAGGTGCCGTTGTCGTTGACGATGAACTGCAGCGGCTTGTCGAACCAGCGGTTGGCGCCGTCGCCGTGCCAGTACTGGTGGGCGCGCTCCTCGAGGGTGACGGGGGCGGCGTCGTCCAGGCAGACGAGGAAGGCGCTGGACTCGATCGTCTCCAGGGCCGCCTTGTTGCCCGAGTGGGCATCGAGGAGGATCTGGCGCGCATCGGTCCAGACGTCGCGGTTCTCGCTGGTCAGGATGCCGACGCTGGGGACGCGAGCCGCACGCTCGTAGATGAGGCGGAACTGAGCCTCGAGCTCCGAGGTGTTGAGCTGTCGGCCGTCCACCTCGTGGGTGACCTTGAAGAACTGGTTCTTTCGGACCGCGACGAAATGCTTGTTCTTGGAGGGATCAAACTTGAGCGGGTAGTCCTTGGGGCGGGCGGCGACACGGCTGCAGTTGAACATGTACTGGTAGCTGTCCATGCAGATGGGAAGCTTCTTCATGTACTCGGGCTCCAGGGTGCCCGAGTCGACCATCTTCTTGAACTCGAGGACGGCGGTGGAGATGGCAGCGGCGCGCTTGGCAGGGTCGCGGCGGCGGCGGTCATCGCGGTGGGAGTAGAAGTAGGAGACATAGGGGACTACGGGGTCCCTGTACGTGAGGTATGCCGCGTCGTTCCACCACTCATAGATCCAGTTCTTGTGCTTGGGATCATCTCTCCTCGCCAGGAGCTTCTTCTGCAGCTCTTGGCCGACGCCGCCGGGCCTGACGAACTCCTCGACCGCCTTCTTGGAGGCAGCCAGCTCGGTGGCCGAAAGCAGGGGCTTGAGGGTCTTGATGTAGCGTTCGGCCGTCTCCTCTAGCGTCGGAACGGGCAGGCGCGGGAGAGAGTCCTGGAAGCGCAGCATGGGGCCCTTGGACTTGTCCTCGACATAGCCTGTTGCGCGGCGCACAATTGGTCAGCCTGGGCGGCTCATATGCGTGTGGATGTGCGATTGGGGACGAGTTTACCTTCAGGAAGGGAGCTGTTGCTCCGTCTGCTTGCGGGAGCCATTGCTGATCTCTAGAAGGGGGGCGCGTGTGTTAGCTGGGTGTGTCTCGGAATATGGCGAGGAAGGCAAATCATACCAATGGTGTCTTTAAGGATCCAAAGCTGCCTCTGAGTAGGGAAGACCTTGCCTCGGACCTTGCAAATGCTGCCAACATCCCAAGCGGTTTGCGACAGGAAGAGCACGTGTACGGGAGTGAGGGCGAGGAGTATGGGGGAAAGAAGGAGAGAGGAAGAAAAGGGACAGAATCGAGTCGTGCTGACGAGAAGTATGCCACGGGCTAGAAGAGTAGAGCCAGAGAAGCCGTGTAGTGCCCCGGAGACGATTTCAAGTCTAAGCTCGCTAGGTTCGGGGACGGCGCCAGCAGCAGCAGCAGCAGCAGATGGGGTTCGCGGGTAATGTGAAAGAAGCCTAGGTAAAGTCGGCGTAGGGTGGGACTGGCAAGCTGGAGAGAGTATGGTGTGTCTACAAGTAGTCTCAATGCTCCGCAATGCGATCTAGAGAGTCCCGCCGGGTTGCTGTGTTGGTGGTCGAGGGCGAAAGTGGCCGTAGGGAGCACCGCGGGCTAGCGGGGGACCGAGCTAGAGCCGGGGTTCTCTGTCCCTCCACTGATCGCGGTGGCCCGAGTCACCACTCACAGCGCATCCCTCGAGCCGAGGTTGAATCTTGGCTGGCTCCATTCTTTGACTCTCGGCCATGCCATTCGATATGCATGTCATGTCCGCTGGAGAAGTCACCGTTAAAAAGCCAGCCCTCTCACACACCCTTCTGCTGGTGGAGGATCGTTTAGCCATGGGCTCGCGAGCCGAGATTGGATGTAGATTGAAACGACCGCATCAGCTGCACGCATCATCCGCACTTCATCTGCATCCGTATCGCACATGCCACGCCACTGAGGTCTTTTTATTCACTTCTGTCGAGATGGGTTCCGTTCCTCCTTGTAATTAACTGCTGTGATGAGTAACACAGTTGTCATGCATGCATGCATGCGTGGGATAGAGGGCTTGATCACTTCTTGTACAAGCAGGTACACCAATCTTATATCTTTTCCGACCTTGCGAGGCAAGGCGTCCACTTGAAGAAATCCCGAGCGCCCGAAACGAAGCGCCGAGTGGGCTGCCTGTCCAATTGCCGTGCCCTTGTACCAGCTGAGGCCACTAACTAGCGCTCGCCTTGGGTATGATGCAACATTTGTCCAGGCACGGCACAGGTCAATCCATCCTTTCGACGTAATCCATCACATGCAAGACGAACCCCAAAATATATCCCAAAACAAAACCACCACCCACAAAGGCAAACATGTCCTCCTGATCATTCGAGCGTATTCGAACCCAGACACACCTGCTACAAGTCACTCCAGAACAATCATATGCGGCCACCCGAATGCTTGCAGACCGGACACCGGCAACCATCGTCGGCAAGAAGTTCGGGGTTGTCGTTGTTGTTATTCTGACAGAACGGGCAGATCTTGAAACCAAAAAGACACATTCAAGAAAAGCAACAATTCACCATCAGAATCGAGCAAAGTCTGGGAAACTCTGCGATCGCGATGAATAACACGTAAAACAACTAAATTTGATGATGACGCCCTAGTAGTTCTTCTTTTTCTTACACCGGAATCCTCTCCCCTTGCCCGCGAGGAAAAAAAGAAGCTTCGAAACTCGCGATGCGATGCAGTTTCGCGCACTTACCCCCCATCGTTGTTGTATGATCCAGACCCAACGCCAAATCTTCCGCCCGGTTAAGAAGGAAAGAAGGAAAAAAGTAATATGAACCCGTACCAGAACTTCCTTAGTGACTCGCAAGACTACCCCTTCGCCGACCCAGCACACTGTTACTCGACGCATTGTCACTCGACGCACTGTTACACATACCCGGCACAATACTAGGGCCCTTCTAAGCCTCGTAGCTCTTGACCTGGGCCTCGGCGCTCAGGGGCTGCACGGAGCCCGTGGCCGGCACAGCCTGGAAGCCCACACGGTCGCCGTCCATGTTGATGTCTTGCACCATCTTGACTCCCTGCTCGCCACCCGCGGCCGCCGCGGCCTTGAGCCCGTCCTCCACCTCGCGCACGCGGCGCTTGAAGGCGAGCCTGTCCAGGAACAGCTGCTGCCGCGCCCTCTCCAGCTCGCGGCGCTCCGCCTGGAGGATCGACTCCATCTCGTTGAAGTACTTGAGCTTCAGCTCCATCTTCTGCAGGGTGACGTTGACAGCCGCCGAAACCAGTCTCGTCATCTCGCGCTCCTCGTGGGAGGCAAGGCCACCGGAACGTGCTGCGATGGATGCCAACGGGATGGATGCCAGGCTTGTCTTTGTGGTCTGGGTCGTCGTCATCGTGGTCGTAGTCGTCGTCGTGGTCTCTTGGCGAATGTCAAGCTCCATAGAGTCGCTGTCCTTTTCTTTGCCTTTGTCTTCGGCCCGTGCCTCCTCAGCATGGCCCGCGTTCTCCAGTCTGTTTCTCAGCCCCTTCTTCAGCTCCTCCACCGACTTGCTGGCTGCAGCTGCCGTGCTGGCGGGGTCGGCAAGGCTGGCGAGGAATCCGATCACAGACATGACCGGGTTGTCGGCCGCATGGAACGGAAGCATGCCACCGTCGCTTCCGAGCATTTGCAGACCCGTGGGCGCGCGCACTGGCTGCTCCGACTCGAGATACTTGTCCTCGATATCCAGTTGCAAGAACTGCAAAACACATTCTTCCCGGGTGCGGGTGCCCACATGGTCTGCGATCTCGCCCCAGTCATCGTCGAATCGCTCAAGTCCCTCGAGGAGCCGTAGAATCTCGGCATCGCTCCAGGGCGCGTCTCGGTCAATGATGGCTGAATAGGTAGGATTCTCCATGCGCGTGTAGGAATTGGTGCTGTGGTTGGCAGGAAGGCGGCCCTCAAGATAGCATGTTGGGCACACATCATGCTTGGACTTGGTAGTCGTGTCGGGTTGGATGCTGTGGTAGTAGATCAGCGTGCAGTCAATGCCGCAATTGTAGCAGCTGATCTTGGCAATCGGGGTCTTTGTCAAGCCCTCGGCGGCTGTGGAGGCGCTCTCTTTCACTCCATTGGCAGCGACAACCTCTCCGTTAGTCTTCGCCTCAGTCTTGTTGAGTTTCGTTCCCTTGGCGTTGGCTTCGTAGATGTTGCGGCCAACCTCGAGGTTCAGATCACTCTTGTCAGCTGGGGTAGCATTGGCTTTGACGTCAGTGTCATAATTCTTCTTGCCTTCAAGGACAGTTGGATCAGACGCTGGCTGCCATGGCTGCAAGCCTCTGGGCGTATCGCAAATGACCCTGAAATGGCCAGTGAATGGAGGGCCAACGTGTGAGGGGCGTTGCTCCGCATCGACCTTTGAAGAGTATTAGCCGTGTTTGAATGACAGTAAAGGTCTCGGCAACTTACTTGGTAGTTGATCAGTCCCCATTGCTCGAGGAAAGCATGCACTCGCATGATTGCGCAGACATCGCCGGCCAGATTACGCCTGCAGGCAGTGACGGTCAGATACTCTACGGGATTCAGTCGGTACGTGTTGATCATAAAGTCTCTGTAGTCCTTGTAGACGGCGGGCGTCTTGCTCCGGTTGCGATTGTTGAAGAATTCCGGGAGCGCCTTGCGCTCAATGCTGTGGATCGCATTCATGTCGAACCAAGTGCTGTAGCTGGGCAGCACAATCGCGTGCGTCTGAGAGATGAGATGCTCGCGAGCAGCGTTCTCGGCGCTTTCCTTGGTCTTCGCTTCGGAACCCTCGCCCTCGGCGGCACCGTCAGCCCCCTCTTGAGCTTGGCCTTCTTTGGCCTCGCCCTTGGCCTCTCCCATCTCTTCATCCTCTCGCGTGGCTGTAGTCGTCTCAGGAGCAGGGCCGTCGGGCGCATCGAGGGGGTTGTCAGATGCAGCAACCGGGGCAGGCGTGGTGCTATCTTGCTTGATCACAGGCTCTGTTGCGCTGCCCTCACCCATTTGGACATCTATGGGGATGGTCGCGTTAGTGGAGCGACACTCGAGAGGCTGGGCGGGCTTGTTCCAGGAGAATTGAGGGACTGACCTTCATTTTCAGTGCCGGCAGCAGGTACGTCTGATTGCAGGGGAGGTTGGGCTAGGATAGGGTTGCTGTTTGGTGATGCGCCATTGGCAGGGCTGCCGTAGTTGACAGATCCCTCATCCATCGCGAAGGTGTGTAATGCGATTCAGGGAGAATGGCAGGGGGGAACAAGTAAATGGCGGGAGCCAAAAAGAACGATCGAAAGTACGTCGTGACAAAACAAAGGATGGAGGAAAAGATATCGCGATTACTCAGAGAAATGTTTGACGGCGACTGGGGATGGTTGCTGTCGCGAATCGCACTATGCGGATGGCCCTCGACGTCGTGCTCTCTCGTCTGGAGAAGGCTGGCTGGCTGGATCGCGTTTGGAAAAAATCCGGCGCGACATTGGCTTGGCCTGAGAGCGAGAGGGTTGATGCCTTGCGTGCCTGGCGTGGAACAAGACACTCCTGCCTGCTTGATTAGGTAAGTCAATCACGGGCAGGGGCATGGGCTAGTCGCGGGTGGCCCGTGCGGCTGCGCTTCCGACTTTCGTCTGGTAGCCTCGGGCCGTGTAAAGCCGCAATGACGGACAAGCTGGGTGGGTTTGGCCCGTTGTATCCCGCATCAACCCTCCTCTTACTCTCTGTCGGTGCTCGAAGACAAACAACAAATTCGCAGAATCAAGAATCCAATTGATATCTGCAAGATGTTGTCGGCCACGAGAAGAGCTGTCTGGGCACAGAGCAGGTCCCGTCTGGCGCAGCCGAGCTGCCCAGCTTACTCCTTCAGCCCCTCCGCACTTCGGAGGCTCGCATCGTCCCTGGCGATTCTGGAGCAGCGGGATGGCAAGCTCAACCACGGCTCCTTGAGCGCCATCACGGCCGCGCAGAAGCTGGGAGGATCGGTGCACGCATTCGTTGCCGGCAGCAACGTCAAGCCGGTGGCAGAGGAGGCTGCCAAGGTAGACGGCGTGGAGAAGATCATCGCCGTTGAGAACGCCGCCTACGAGAAGGTGTGTGCCACACGCATGCCGCCGTTGAGCGTGGCAGACATCGATACTAATGAAGCGCTTCAATCCAGGGCCTTCCCGAGAACTACGCCCCTCTGCTGGTCGAGAACATTAAGAAGGGCGGATACACCCACATCATTGCCGGCCACACTGCCTTCGGCAAGAACCTGTTGCCCCGTGTCGCTGCCCTCCTAGATTCGCAACAAATCTCCGACATCACTGGCATCGAGAACGAGACCACCTTCGTACGTCCCATCTACGCCGGCAACGCCATCGCCACCGTCGAGTCGTCCGATCCCGTCAAGGTCATCACCATCCGAGGAACTGCCTTTGCGCCTGCCGAGGTTGCCAGCGGCTCGGCCGCTGTGGAGGACGGTGTCGACTCCAAGCCGGAGAGCCCAACCGAATGGGTTTCCGAAGAGCTTGCCAAGTCTGACCGGCCAGACCTGGCGACCGCCGGCAAGGTCGTCTCGGGCGGCCGGGGTCTGAAGTCCAAGGAGGAGTTCGACAGGATTATGCAGCCGCTGGCTGATTCTCTCGGTGCCGCCATCGGTGCCTCGCGCGCCGCTGTGGACAGTGGGTACGCCGACAACAGTCTGCAGGTTGGCCAGACAGGCAAGGTCGTTGCGCCGCAGATGTACATGGCTGTCGGCATCTCTGGTGCCATTCAGCACTTGGCTGGTATGAAGGACAGCAAGGTCATCGCTGCCATCAACAAGGATGCGGATGCCCCTATTTTCCAGGTCGCGGATGTCGGCCTTGTTGGTGATCTGTTTGAGAAGGTTCCGGAGCTCACTGAGAAGCTGAAGAAGGCGTGAGTTTATACAGGTTCTATTTTTGGCTAGGTTGCAGGAAAATATACAATAATTCGTACAGTGGTGTCGAGCTGGGGAGGCTCCTATGACAAGATATCCAACATCTCCGTGGTTGTGGTGAATTTCTCTCTCTCCTTACCCTGGGCCTGACCTCTGCTCCTTTCCGCTTGGTCGATGCGCTGCCAGTCCTTCCACTGGACGACCCTTGCACCGTCAGCATCGCCTTCGCTCAGAACCCCTTCCCAGCCCGATTTCTGGCCGGAGTATTCTTTTTCAAGGAACGCGGCCCCGGAGGCCCAGTCGCTGGCTATCACATCGCCGGTGGTAAAAGCATCCTCCATGGTAGAGGCGATGACCCCAGTCGGACCGCGCTTAACCCATCCCGCGCAGTAGAGTCCCGGGTAGTGAGCTTGCTCCATGGTAGCTGCGACTGTTCTTGTCTCCCTCACGACTCGACCGAGCCCATCGTTGGCGATGACGCCTCTGCGCTCGTCGAAAGGAATGTCAAGCTCTGAAAATCCCTGCAGAGGTTCGGATCTATAGCCGATGGATCGGAATACGAGCGAGGAAGGTAGCTGCGTCGTCTGGCCTGTCCCGGCCGCGTGAGCGTTCGGCTCAAAGGTGGATGACAGCGAGGTACGCTCAAATACAGTGGCTCCCACTCTCGATGCGTCGCTATCGCTGGCCAGAAAGCTCCGGGGACTTAGGCAAAAGTCCAAGGACCAAGACTTGGGAGTCACCTTTGCATTAGCCGCCGAGCCCTTGACTAACATCTCCATCAAGCGTCTTGGAGCTCTAGGCAGGGTCTTGAGATCCTCTGGTATGAGACTCCGATCAACAGGGTGGAAGCCCACATCAGGAAGCTTCATGAGCTCTCGGGCCTCTTTGATCGTAAATGCCGCCTGTGTATTCCCTCATTAGACTACAGGCTTGGAGGAGTGGAATAGAATAACAAATAGATATGTAGATGTAACGTACCTGTAAAGCCCCGCGACGTCCGACAACGTGAACCCTTTTTATGCGACTCTTGGAGAGTGTTTCAATGGCGTGATCGGCAATGTCCGTCTTTCTCAGCTTGTCGACATCCTCAAGCAGCATCCTGGCACAGTCGAGCGCAACATTGCCCTGCCCTATGATGACAGCCTCGTCGCCGCTGGTGAGGTCGGGTGCCAGGCCTGCCCACTCGGGCAGGCCGTTGTACCAGCTCACAAACTCACGAGCAGAGTACACGCCCTTGAGCGACTCGCCGGGGACTCCAAGCTTCCTGTCTTTAGAGGCACCGTAGGAAAAGACTACTGCATCGTAATGTCGCAGGACTGACGCCAGAGAGATGCTTCCACCCCCTTGGTGGGTGCTCGGATGGCCAACTGAGACATTGCCAATAAAGGTGAAATCTGGCGAAGTTGCGACTTCTTCGAATTTCTCCTGACAATTCTGCGGTCCAGTCCACAGCAGTCAGAAAACCTTGTATGATGAGGGCATCCTCGAGGCTCGCCTTGCAGAGGGCACATCAGTGTGGATGGCATACCTTGACTTCTGGGTGGTCTGGAGCAACGCCAAATCTCACCAGGCCATACGGGACAGGCAGAGCCTCGTACATGTCTACCTTGGCGCCTTGGATTCTCGACATGACGCGGTAAGCGGTGTAAAAGCCGGCCGGGCCGGAGCCGACAACGGCCATGCGCAAAGGTCGATCATGGCGATTCGCAGCTGCTGTCGCATAGGAGCGTGTCCGAGGTGACAAAGGCGAGAAGCTGGCCCGCAGAGCGTGCCGGCAAGAGGCGCAAATTGCCCGCGATGCTACAGGAGCGTGCATGGCTATGGCGCATGTCTGACGGTATCGTAAATCTGGCTAGCAGACGGAGAGAAAGACCAAATCACAGCGATGCAATTTGTAATTGAGCTGGCGCAACGTTCAGACGAGGATCAAGGTTCCGAGTCCTGAGTTTGGAATTGGGAGGTTTTATTCTGGGTCGAATCTCGTCGGCGATATCGCCTTTTCAAGTCCTGAGATTGACTCATCAGCTCACTACTTTGGATGTTCCCGGGTTTTTGTAGTTCAATTTGACCATCAAGAGTCAAAAATAATTTATCCTGAAAAGTACTATGAGAACCAGTCTAGTATTATCTAGACATTGGCTACGATGCTCATCGTTATGAAGTGCAACTCTTTCATTCTCTCAAGGATGAGCTTGCAGGTATTTCCAGTCAGTGGTTTATACTTGAATTAGCGAGCTAGCAAGTACCTAGAGGTACCTAAGGAACCTGGGGTTCAAGATCAGTCAGGACCACAACCACCATCCTCCATACCCGGTTCCTATTCGATGGTGTATCAATCAAGCAGGCTGTTTGAAGCACTCTGTGAAAAGGTTAAACGCCAAAAAAAGAGGACAGGAATACTCAAATGTTCTATTTTTAAACCCAGGTAGTGGTCGGACTCCCAATTGGGGGAAGGCAGCAAAGATGTCATCGTTGGACTCGACTGTTGCTATGCCAACGGACCTTCATGCCGCCAACACACGAGCTTCCCGTCCCTCCATCAGCCTTCCTCACCACCTCCCCGCATTCCTCACAGCTCTTAAGATGCTCTAGAGATATTACCAGCATTCCAGTCGTTATAGTTCGGCCGCGTGGCAGCATACACTCGCTCGTTGGTGACATTCCACGCTCACGTCGTCGTCGAACCAGCAAGAATGGGCCCTCAGCAGCCCTTTCTCTACGAATCCGACAAGGTCGACTCTCGTTTTCCGACCTCGAGCTTCGATCCCAAGGCCGTCACTCGCGCCAGCTGGGAGCCAAAGCCCAAGAAGCCCAAGCAGAATGGCCCTCTCATCTCGATCAACAGGCATCCCGAGTAAGTCAACCCGTGCATCATTCCTTTATGCCAGTGCCCTCGACTAACACAGTGTTAGTGCTCATGAAGTCATCGGCCAGCGACGTCCATTCAGGACGCTGGGCCACCGCACGAAGGCATGGATCAAGGGCATGAGGAAAGTGCAGCTGGGTCTGCGCGTCCTCGAGATGATTGGTGCCGCAGGCATCTTGACCCTTATGATCCTCATCAACCATGTCAGTGACCTGGTCGCATGGGTTGCTAGAATTACGGTACGTAGTCGAACCGCGCCAAAACCACGTAGGAGGAAAAGACAAACGACTGACAAACCCCATCTAGGCCGGCGTGGTCATCGTCCACTGTGTGTACGGTATCTATCACTTGTCACGGCACGCCGGCGGCCGCACTCCCGCTTCGAGTGCCGCATACCAGCTCTTCGCTGCCGTCTCGGACCTCTGCGTTCTGCCGCTGTACACCTACGTGTGTCTCTCGACCCGAAATAGCAGCGAAGGATGGGGCACTCTCGTGGCGAACGAGACTCTCCTCCCCAAGTACTTCATCCCGGCGCTCTACTACACCCTGATCGGCGCAGGGGGGCTGCACCTGCTCTCCCTGGCCATCGGACTGTGGCTGGCTCTCAAGTTCCGGCAGATCACCCGCATGCCGCCCGACATGAACCCCCTCGAGGCGCACCTGACTTCCAGGGCGCACAAGCGGAACAAGTCGTCCGTCGCTACGAGCAGCACCTTCTCCGAGAGCGAGAAGCGCCTCTCGACGCCCCTGGAAGACCGCCGCCGCTCCGGCATGCCGTACCAGGACCTGTCCCGCCCGCCCAGCATCCCGTTCACCCACACCCGGACCGGCTCGTCCACGAGCCTGCACTCGCGCGACTCCCGCCTCGACCTCCCCAGCCGCCAGTACCAGATCCCCGCCAGCAACCGCAGCTCACCGCGCAGCTCCCTCGCCCCCTCGGAGCTCGACCGCAGCGGCATGAAGCGCATGTCCCACTCGCCCCTCGTCAGCGGCGGCCCCGATCGCCGCTCCGGAGGAGGCCTGGCCTCGCGCGCCTCGTACATCGAGATCCCGCTGCACGAGACGGGCTCCCCCCGCGCGAGCACCGGCACCGTGGCCTCGCAGGTGACGATCCAGTCGGCCGGGCCGACGGCGCAGCCCCGCGCCGCCAAGTTCACCGAGGCCTGGTACACGTCCGAGTCGCTCATCAACCGCACCCAGCAGCGCAACAAGGCCATCAACACCATGATGCTGCAGGCCTCGAGCAAGAGGCGCAACTACGAGGCCGTCCACCAGCGCGGCGGCGCCGAAGACGATTCCGACTCCGACGCGTCGGACAGGGACGAGAACGCCTACGACCTCGGCGGCCTCGGCGCGCGGGGCAACGGCATGCAGACGCCCGAGCAGCAGCAGCAGACCCAACAAGACCATCCCAACCCGCTGCGGTCGAACCCCATGGCCCAGCGGCCCAGGACCCCGTACTACCGCCCCGCCATGGGCGAGGTGAGCAGCAACGCGCGCAGCGCCAGCGGCAGCCAGGACATCGCGGACGCGCAGGAGCAGAGATCCGCCGACTCGCCGCGGCCGCTGTCCACTGCGAGCAGCAGCAAGAAGAGGCACACGTGGGCGCCGCAGCCGCAGCCGCGGAACCGCGACAGCTCCATCCAGCCCGACAGCGGCTTCTACTCCAAGCCCTACGGCGAGCTCAAGTCGGCGACGCCGCCCATCATGGTGGGCTCCGGCCGCCAGGTGTCCTCGGGCAACGACTACGACCTCGGAGAGCGCGCGTTGTTCCCGCGGCAGAGGGGCGTCAGCGGCAAGATTGCCGAGGAGGGCAGGGCCGGGCTCGGACAGAATGGGTTTTCTTCTCGGTTCTCGGTGCTGAATGCGTGAAGAGGAGGATTATGGATTCGGATGATGGCAAGGGGAGGAGGGGAAGGAAGGCAGGCTGATAGGGGGGGAGGCTTGGTTCAGGAAGCTGTGCGCGGGGGATAAAGCCTGATATTTTGGGATCTGGACTATGGGGCGTCACATCATGTTGGGATGCCAACCAAGGAGTTATTGCTTGTACATTTAGGGTCTCGCTTTTCTGGGGCCGATTCGGGTATCTCAAGGGAAACGAGGAGAATTAGGGGGATTAATGAAATTCATGCACTTGTCAATTGGCGACTGATCGAACCAAGAATAACTCTGTGATATCTTGTACATGGTTCCGAATACATCTGGACTCTACCGCATCCAGCAACATTACATGCCGTTACCTCTGACATAGCCTGCCCAATCTACGGGGCTGCCGGCCTCTTCAAAGTCATCGCCTTCCACCCAGCCGCGCTCATTCCAGGTGCTCAGGCCGCAGAGATGCCTCATGGTCGGCCTCCCGTGGGGGCAATTCCACGGCTTCTCCATGCCGCCCATATGCCTGACGACCTTGGTCATCTGCTTCTGGGACAGCGCTTTCCCGATCATGATGCTGCTTCTGCACGCTCGCATGGCGAACATCTTGCGCACCCGGGCGGGCCTAGGCACCGTGGTGGCGCTGGTGTGCTCTGCCAGGAGCGAGATGAGCTCCTCCAAGTCGACCAGGGAGAAGGTCGTCTCCCGGCTGAGTGGCAGGGCCAGGAGCTGGCACCTAGAGCCAACAGGTTTGTCCCCTGACTCATCGACGCTAACAATGAACCCGTTGGCTTCGAGTGCTGCTTTGTGTTCTAGAATGATCTCTTCCTCGATGGCCGTGAGCTCGAGGGTCTTGGGCTGCACCAATCGCTGAGACTGGACCACGGTATGCGCCTGAAGCCTCTCGAAGTTGTACTTCTCATCTGAGGCATGCTGGTCGATGATGAAGAGCTCGTCATCCTGTGCGCGTGGCATGCTGGTATCGTCATCCATCGGCTTCGCAGCTTCGCGAACGGCAAGGATGAAACCCAAGTTGAACTGGCCAATGATCCGCATCCTGTCAAAGTCGGTTTTCGAAATCGCGAGTGAGAGCTTTTCCTCGGGATCCGCGGCATCGAGGCCGCCTCTAGCGATGCTACTGGGCGTCCGCTCAGCGAGAGAGTCGATTGCCGACTGCCACTTCTCCAGCTGTCTCCGCAGGTCGTCTTCGTCGGTCTTATGTCGTTGGAGCATATGCACTGTGGAGTCTTTTCTCCTGGTGTTGCCTTTGATGAATACTTGGCCGCGTTTTTCGCTCTGATCGGTGGGTGCTTGCGCTGTTTCTTCTGCAGCCTTGATCATTTCTTGCACTTTCTGTTCCTCTTGAGCTTTCTTCTCCTCTTCGTCAATGTATTCGTCATCTCCCGCTCCCTCGGCGCAGGCATCATCACTCAGGGCGTCTGAAGTAACAAAGTCATCTCTACTGATCTCTTCGGATAGGGCGCGTCCTGCTGCATCGACCTCTTCACTGGGCGACCGAGAAACTTCCTCTACCTCCTCAGATTGCTGGACGAATAGTTCCTCGTCTTCGGACTCTTCCTCTTCCTCTTCCTCTTCTTCTTCCTCTTCTTCTTCTTCTTCTTCGGCAGGCTGTAAATCTTCTGACACTTGATCCGGGTCTGTGGCCGAATCGGAAGCATCAGGAGAAGCGGCTCCCGAGTTTGCAGAAAACATTTGCGTCAGTCGTCCACCAAACGACGGTACCTTGGCATTCGGCTTCTTGCGGGATGTCGCCTGATGCGAACTGGCCTGCAGTGCATTGCTGTCGAGCTTCGCCCTTTTGAATGTTGAGCCAATAACACTAGTAACAGTCTCGTCGCCTATGGTAATTGTGGCCACACTAGGTGGGCGTTTGAATCGTCTCGAGGGGGAAATCTGGTGGACCACGGTTGCCTGAGACCGTGACGGCGTTGATACGGCAGGTATTGGTTGTTCCTGCAACTCGGCCTCCTGGTGCATCGTCAAACTGCCGTCGCCGCCGGTGACATCATAGTCGTGCCTTGATTCACCTATGGTGTGACTGGAGCTGACATTATCGAATTGTCGAGACGAGCTTGCTTGGCCCCCTGTTGAACGTAGCGCAGACGGCGAATCATCTTCAAAGCCTTGAACGCTTTCAACCCGGACAGCTTGCATGCCTGTCGCAGTATTCCCGTCCCGCCTGAATCTGCGTATGGAGTTTGAAGTCGCCTCAGTCGGTTCCTCCTCCCCTGAGTCATCTGAACTGTTTTGTCTCGCAAGTGTGGTTTCGTCAACGGGCGATGATCTCCTCTCAACCCAATTAGCCAACATATTGCTCCCATGGCTTTTGATTGGTGGGGTTTGCTTGGCCCTGGAGGCTCTGTTTCCATGGGACATGCCATCGTCGCTGGCATCTAGGGTCGTTGGGAGGCGATCCGATCCGTCGATATGAGACGAATCAACACCGGTGAGAGTTGGTGAGCCACCGTCAACAGACGCGTTTGTACCTCCATCAGAGCCCAAGGTTTTTCCTTTGCTTAAAGTAGGCGCTATGAACGACGTCATCTTCTGGGCGGGATGTTGCGATATAGGCACCGTGACATCTTGCATCTCAAAGAGTTCGATGAGGGACTCCCTCAAATTGTCCAGCATTCTGCCCTGGTCATGAAGGAGGATGGTTCTTTTGTCGGGGCTCACATTGACATCGTAGAGATGGGTATCGAGCTGAATATCCGCAAATATGAAGGGTGACTGGGACACGTTGTATGACTTATACACCTCATTGAAGACCTTAGCAAATTGAGGTAGGTGGCAAGGCCTGCTGTTGACGTAGAACATCTGCCTATCCGGCGTCTGCCTGCCTTCACCATGAGCCGGCCGCGACACATGGCCAACGATCAGGACCTGGTGTGGCTCGTTCGATTGGCCAGACCACTTCTGGGCACCAGTTGCGGTGGGTTGGAGTTCCAGCTTCAGGTCAAGCTTGATCAGCGCGCTCATCGTCTTTGCGCCGAACACGTTGATGATGTTTTCGCGAGTGGATGCATTGCCCCTGGTCGAGAAAAGCACAATGCGTTTGCCTTTGGTCGGTTGTTGAGAAACAGAGAATTTGACACCAGTCTGAACGCAGGCGTACTGATTGAGGAGATTGACAACCTTGCCCCATTCGCGTTTGATGTTTCGCTCGAGCTCCCGTCGCCTGACTGGCAAGTTCTTGAATATCTTCTCGACAATGACAGTTGTGCCTTTCTGGGAAGCAACGATGCTTGTGGACGTGAGCTTTCCAGAAGTTTCAAATTCAAGTTTCGTGCCCTTGGGGACGTCGCCTTGAAGACAGGTGATGACAGTAAAATTTGACAATGCACATAGTGATGAGAGAGCCTCTCCGCGGAAGCCAAACGTTTGAAGGCTGGTCAAATCTGCATATGTCGATAGTTTTGAGGTGTAATGTTTCAGTGCCAGACTTTGATAGTTTTGAGGCGATATTCCAGAGCCGTTGTCTTGCACTTCTATCAGATCCAGGCCCTGGTTCTTGAACCGGACTTCTACTCATCCTCAAGGGTCAGAAAAGCGAGCATGTCGTCAGGACCAACGGAGACTTGCCTATGTTGGTAGCCCCGGCATCGAGACTGTTCTCCACAAGCTCTTTTGCAACAGAACAAAGGTCGACAATGACCTGGCCGGATTGTATTTGATGAACCTGAAGAATGCGTTAGCCATCTGGCAGTCAAACCATGCATGTATACACTGTGGCATCACATACTGTACTAGGCTCGATGGCTTTGATGGTTGCTGATGCTGCCATTGTCATGAGAATAGAATGGCCCTCCGTAACGACTTGGCCACTCTGGTGGCTTCTGCCTGACAGCTCGTGTGTCCCCGGCACACCAAGCCTACATTGAAGGTTGACGTCAAGCAATCAGTCAACAAGCTCAACAACACGGGCAGCCTCTAGGGGCAGTGGTGGTTATTGAAAGTAAGGCATGTACAGTTTGAATGGCGACAATGCCGGCGTGTCTGATGTCACTCAACACACAGTGCTCCGGTCTCCCTGCTGCGACGCGTTGTCGCGTAAAGAGGCCCTTAGCTGATAAGGATGCCTACCAGATAAGGGTTAGGGGATTATTCGGGGTACATGTACCAGACGTCCAAAAGGCGGGCGGTTGAGAACCACCCTTATCTAAGGTACTGCCTGTACCTACCTACAAAGGTACATAATCCACTTGCTACGGCGGACATGCGGAAGAATTTGAAAAGGCAGGACGCTTGGTAATTCGGACGATAGTACTTGCAGTGGAACGTCGTCGTGTCTCACAGAGACGTATAGGTAGTGTAGCGCTCCTGAAACTCCATTGCGTAAGTGTCGAACTGGAAGTACGCATGTCCTTGGCATGCCAAGACGCACGTGCTGAACTGGATCAACTACATGCGACATTTCTTCGGTCCTAACTCTGCTCGGAGCAATTGTCCATTGCTGGTTTGTGGAAGAACTTCATGATGTGGGCTACTGGAACCCGAAGGCGCCGCCGGGTGAGTGAGGCCCTGAGTCAAACTTCCCAGCCTTCCCGGCTGAAAAACAGTGCGTCCTGCATCTGCTAGCCGTGTCGGATGTACCGCCTGCTGGCGGAAGAGACCACACGGCTCAGGGAGCATGAATAAAAGGTAGGCGCTGGGTGAGGTGATATGAAGTGTGCCATTCGTCTTTTGTCGATAGCAGCATTTATCTGAAAGCGTGGATTTACGAAGCGAGAGTCTACCGTCCAACACCATGAGGAGATTGAAGGAAAACACCTAAAGCATGTAAAGCAGTGATGCAGGAGTACCTAAGTATATGGCTTGAAGTCGTCGTCCAGCCTACATCAACGGTCCGCTTCATTTATTCGCCAAGATCACCCGTTTTTGAAACAAGATCCAAAAACGTGCTAAGGAGCCCTAGTGCCTCAGGCGATCTCCAACATTCAAGTTTCGAGCAAAAACAGGGAGCCGTGGTGGGTGGGACGGCGCAGATCCTGTTGACAGGGGTGCAGGAGTCCGGCCCTTGCTTGAATCCAACCGACATGGCTGCCACGGTCGTTATCGACAGCCTCCCATGCTCTCCCGCGCCCCCGTGATCCATCACCGGGTGGGAAGGGAACTCTTATCCCGTAAGTGGTCGTAGCCACAGCTATCTGTTTGAGTATGATCGCATCCATTGCCTGGCCGAGAGATAGGGTCATTGAATGAATGAGAATTGGAGATTGGATCACGGCCGATGAGGGAATAGTCCGTCCGTTGTGTGTACTTGTAGGTATGTAGTCGAGACAGAACGAGCTGTCATATTTGCGACGGGTGAGCTTGATTGTGCATAGCATCTCAAGCAAGCATCGAGTCCATCAGCATGCATTGCCAACTTCTCTCTAACCGCCAACACGCAATTTCCCTATCTACCTGCTGCGGACACGAACAAATGGTAGGTCTTATCTCCGGTGCGCGCCCTGCACTGCTTATCAATGATGCACCTGTGATGTCGCCGGTTCATCATCTGCCTGCACCAGCCCGGAACTCTAAAGCCCAATAGTAGTCCACGAGGATGCGCGTTCTCTGGTAGCGGCGGAGCCGGGCCTCGCGCCAGCATGCGTTTGGATGACACAGTCGCATGCATGCCAGGTTCCTTGGACACACATGGTCGGCCACTAATGCACCTCGTTCTCCGATGCATATATGGTCCTTGGCAGCCAGGCCAGACATGTCTAGTACCAACTTGAGCTCCGGAAGGGATAAGATAGCTAAAAGAATTCAATGGTCAGGTCTGTTCCACGGACGCACGCGCTGCACAAAGTTGATACAACCAGATTCGTCACCGATTGACACGGAACGGTCTCCTGTTGCTTCAGGACAACCCGGACAGCTGCAGCTGGGTGTTGACTCTGACGATCCCCAAGGCCTCAAAACATCGATCTTCTGCTGTCATGTTTGATTATGACCACCATGACGGACCCTCCCAAGCCTCCTGAATGCCCACCTTTGCTGTCAATGCACACAAGGCACAACACTGACCTTCCTACTCTATCTTATCTCATGTACAGTACCGTTTGTTCCGCGAGTCCCCGTGCAATACACCGTCTGCCGTTTATGATGATTTATCCGAAGGCGGTTCGGGAAGCAGCCTGTAGCCTGTAGCAGAGTTCAAGCCGATAGCCACCAAGTCCATACGGAAAAACAAGGAGTTGTTGGCTGGTTGGTATGCATACCTTCCAGGCTGACTTTGCGCTTGCAGGTCGCGTGAGAAGCCATCGTGAGCTGTTGATCCTTGCCATGACTTGCGCAGATCGAAGCAATTTTCCGATCGCCATGGTTGGCGGTCTGGGAGAGGGATTTCTCGAGCTCTGTTTACATTGGTTCGGTGGAAGCGGAAATTGGCCAAAGCCAGGGTCAAGGAACAGAGCGACTCGAACAAAATACATGCAACTCCTCCAATAGGTACTGTAAGTACCTCAGTACTTTGGGTACCACCCTCACCAAAAAGGGCGCGGCAGTCCCAAGTTGGGGGGCAGTTTAGTGTCCCACACGCTGGCGCGGGAGGCTCCCCTAATGAAATAGGCTCTCCCCACCACCGCCACCAAAGGGGTGTGATTTGGAGATACAGAGAAGATTTTGTGACGACGAGGCACATACAAGTACCTTAGGGTAAGGTAGTTAGATGTGCTTGACATGGGCTTGACCAAGCACTCTCCCAACTCACCTGGAGGTCGTTCGATCAGGCAGTGTACATAGTGATTCAAGTTGCCCTGGAGCTGTTCTTTCGCACTTCCAGACTCTCAACGGCCCTCCGTCTACCGATCCATCGATGTCCACCTTGGTCCCATTAAAAGAGCTCGAGACGAGAAGGCGATGTTTCTGCCGCCCCTGGCTGGCCCGGTACCTGCTGCAACTGCATCCGCACCCGCCTGTACCCACACCTTCATCAGCACCCACACCAGCACTCTAGCACAGCACCAGAGCTACTGCTACTTGAGGCGGGCGGGCGCACGCAATCTCCAAGACACCCGCACCCGATGCTTCCCACTGGTCCAGGCCTCGACAGAGACCGCACCACCAGCAGTCACACTCGCACTTGCAGATACACCAGCCCCAGCCACCACCTCCGACTACCTCTCACTTTTGGCCTTACTTATTAGCACCTTTTTTGCGGGCAAGACAAAATTGTCCACTGCGCACCCCGATGCGAACCTTCGAGCCTCAATTCTTCGACAGTTGTATCGGTCCGGGTCTGCCAGTGCGACTGCTCAGCATTGGAGAGTGTGGGGGAACCGATTTCCAGTCTTATCCCTCTCACTCTTTCCCATCCGCTCGTTGTATTTTTCTTTTGCCTCTCTTTTCGGAGTCCACCCAGACCCGGTCTCGTCCAGCGTCGATTTGTAGTCCGTCTCAAACAACGTCCTGACCAGACTGCCTACGTGACACGAACAGGAGACAGGAGGGAAAATAAGGTGGCAGCCCCCCCAGCTGGTGCCCCTTGACGACGTCTCTGGAATGCTGAGGCGTTCTTCCGGCTCCTCGGACGGCGACGACTCTCCTGTCAGAACCCCCAATGCTGTGCCTGCCAATGCGCATGACCTCCTAGACAGTCGCGACGCTACCGCCGCGCCCAGCCTGTCCAGCGCCCACGAGAAGCGACTCCCGAGACTGTCGACAGACACCAGACCCTCCTCGGCCAGAAGCAGGAGATCCGGTAATTTCAGTTGGAAACCTCGCCAGCACGATGACTCTGCCGACAACCTCTCTCTGAGCCCAAACACCCAGTCGCCCTCGCTTCTCTCGCCAGTGCTGGGCGCGATGCCCTCACCCGTGCCCTCCCCTGTCGCAGACATGGAGAAACCGTCCGAGCTCAAGCCTCAGAGCCGGCGGCCCGGCTCTCGCAATCCCTGGGGCATCTCGGTCCTCACATTCGTGACCGCCGTCGTCGGCATTGCCCTGCTCGGCGCTATCGTTCACTCCTCATTCAACCGGCAGCTCGACCCCAAAGGCTGCCGCATGTCCTACATGATGCCTTCCTATGCCAAGCTCAATGATTTCGATACTGAGCACACGCGATTTGCCAGCAAATACTCGCTCTATCTGTACAGGGAACAAGGCATTGATGACGATACCAAGGTATGCCACCCGTCCAATGGACCTCATGATCGGGGCGAAAAAACATGCTGATCGAGCTTTGCAGTTGAGAGGGGTTCCTGTCCTCTTTGTCCCGGGCAATGCTGGGAGTTACAAGCAGGTTCGACCGATTGCCGCCGAAGCTGCGAATTATTGGCACGAAGTTGTGCAGCACGACCATGCGGCACTCAAGGCTGGTGCCAAGAGCCTCGACTTCTTCTCGGTAGACTTCAACGAAGACATTACCGCTTTCCATGGCCAAACAATGCTAGACCAAGCCGAGTATTTGAACGAAGCGATTCGGTACATCTTATCTCTATATCTTGATCCCCGAATGTCGGCGCGAGATCCCGATCTCCCCGATCCGACCTCCGTTATCATCTTGGGGCACTCCATGGGCGGTATCGTAGCTCGTACGATGCTCATCATGCCGAACTATCAGGCGAATTCCATCAACACTATTCTCACGCTGTCTGCGCCGCACGCCCGAGCACCCGTCACTTTTGACGGGCAGATTGTCAAAATCTACGACGCCATCAATGACTACTGGCGCCAAGCTTACTCGCAGCAATGGGCAAACAACAACCCGCTGTGGCATGTGACTCTTGTTTCAATAGCCGGAGGCGGGCTCGATACCGTGGTCCCGTCCGACTATGCCAGCGTCGAGTCGCTCGTTCCCGAGACTCATGGTTTCACAGTGTTCACCTCGACCATCCCCACGGTATGGACCAGCATGGATCACCAAGCTATCCTCTGGTGTGACCAGTTCCGAAAGGTTATCGCAAGGGCTCTGTACGAGGTTGTGGATGCAAATCGCGCGGCAAAGACAAAGCCGAGGGCAGAGAGGATGAGGGTCTTTAAGAAGTGGTTCTTGACCGGGATGGAGAACGTTGCCGAGAAAACCGTTCCAAACAAGGAACCAAGTACGCTTCTCACTTTGGAAGACAATTCCAACGCTATCATTGCGCAAGGAAAGCGCCTGATCTTGCGCCAGCTTGGAGGACATCCTGAGGTTCGCGCACACCTTCTACCCATCCCTCCACCTGGATCTCCGGAAGGAAAACGCTTCACCCTCATGACCGATCAAAGACTGGACGAGGCTGGAGAAACCGGACGCCTGGAGGTCCTATTTTGCAGCGTGTTTCCTTTGCAACCTGGCCAAGCTGGGGTCCTGTTCCCGATCAAACTTGACCTCTCCCGGGAGAGCACTGGCTCCGCCCGGCTCGCCTGCAAGAACGCCGCTTCTGATGCAGTCCTCCTACCAGCATCAACTCGTGCGACACGGAACCCTTTCTACTTGGCCGAGGAACCAGAGATTGCTCCGTTTTCATACCTGCAGTACGATCTTGACGACATCTCGGAGCACCAGTTCGTCGCCGTCATCGACAAGGCCAATGCGCCAGCTCCTGGCTTTGTCATTGCCGAATTCAGTGACCAGACACAGTCACACCGAACAAGGCATATCAGCCTGCGCCGGCTTCTAGCATTTGGCATGAAGCTTCGGCTGCCCAATACGCGCCCCATGGTCACCGAGATCAGCATCCCCTCCCTGACGTCCAGTCTTCTCGCCTACCACTTGGAGATCGGGCACCAGACTTGTGGCGACCATGCAGAGCTATTTGCGCCTTTGGTCAGGCAGTATCTAACGGAGCCGTACGAGTCGAAATACTTTGTAAATGCTAGACATGAGAGCGTAAGCCTGCACGGCGTAGCGCCTTACGTCCCTCCGCCCATGAAACCCAAGGATTCCGACGATGGCCTGAGCTTCCAGTTCTGGACCGACCCAACATGCGATTCTAGCATTCACGTTAAGCTCACTGTTGACGTGCCCGGGAGTCTGGGCAAGCTGGTCATGCGCTACCGCACCGTGTTCGCTGCCTTCCCGCTGCTGATCGTAGCGATGGTGCTGCGCAAACAATTCAGAGTGTATGACACGACCGGCGTCTTCATTTCGTTCTCGGAGAGTCTCGACTTGTGCCTGCGGCAGTCGATCCCGCTGATGCTTGCATCTCTCACCTTTCTCTCCTTGTCATCTACAAGTCCGTCGTCCGAGCCTTCAACCGGCTTCTGGCCCTGGAGCAACGGGACGACAGCAGCAGTGAACTTCCACCAGAATGATCTCCTGGTCGGGACACAGGATCCCTTCTTTTGGTTCTTGACCCCGCTCATCGGCATCATCTGTGTCGGAGTCTGTGTTGTGCTCAATTATGTCACGTTGATCCTGACGCAACTGCTCGGCTCCCTATTTGCGATTCTGAGTACGCGGCCGGCCTGGATCCGGAACGATGACCGCCGCCGGGTACCCGTTGGTGGTTTCATGGCGTCATCGGTACGACGGAGGATGATCACCATGGCGGTGCTCTTCTTCCTCGTCTCGACGTTCATCCCCTACCAGTTCGCATACCTCGTTGCATGCTTGGTTCAGCTGATCACGACTGTTCGGGCACAACGGATCGCCTATGAGATGCGCTCTAACGCAAACTACAACTTTTACAACTACGTCCACTCCATCTTCATCCTCATGCTTTGGGTCCTTCCCATCAATCTACCTATCTTGGTTGTCTGGGTCAGAAATCTGGCAGTGCATTGGCTCACACCCTTCTCGTCACACCATAATGTCCTATCGATCGCCCCGTTCATCGTCCTCGTGGAGGCTCTGACGACAGGCAAAATGGTGCCCCGCGTGACGAGCCGTCTGCGTCATATCACCAGCATCCTCCTGTTCGGGGTTGCCATGTGCGCCGCAACGTACGGTGTCTCTTATGCATATGCTCTGCACTATCTCGTCAACCTGACTGTGGCCTGGATTGTCGTGATCCACTCCACCACCGACTCATGGTCTTTCGCTGGCCTGAATACTCTATTTGGCGACGTTCCCGACGATCGAAAACAGGGCAAAGCGCCATGATGGCCAGCTGTCTCGGAGCTCCCCAACTGGGGGAGCGCTGATAGGACACGATCAATCCCTAGTTCACGCAACACTGTGACCTGAGCCCGCAGCTGTTGACGACTATGCAACACGTTTCAAGTTTTACTTGATCAAGACATAATACCAATTCATTCATGTACATATATTCGCTACTCTGGTCGGCATAATCGTCCTCACGGTCCCCGTCTGAACGGTGGAAGCACCTGATTATCACGCAGTTCGCCCCGTTCTAGAGGCGAATCAATCGGTCAACCGCCACCGCCTCGCACTCATCAACCCCTATTTCTCTATCAATCCGCCTCATCAATCATGAGTGGTGCCCGCACCTTTCCATTGGTTTTCGAACCTTGCCTTGTTATACACTTTTCAAGATTTTCAGCAGCCACAGACAGGGCTGTATAAGAATACGGCGTACGGCGACTTATGGGCATTGGGAGGCTTCCCTACTTTTCTTTTTTCCATCTTCATTTTCTGGGCACAGCGAGCAACATCGTCCTTTTTTCTTCCCTTTTCTCATCTTTTCTTCGGCCCGATGCATCATCCATGGGTGCATGTGGTGGCTAATTGATGTGTCTTTGGTATTGCTGCGGAGGGGAGCTATGTGCACCGAATGGGTCTACTAAACAGTAATGTCTTGTATTCCACTGCATACAAGGAGATGGGATGGATAGCTTCAGGAAAGTACGACTTGGCCATTACGGGGAAGGGGGGTTTCCTTGGAGCCACAGAGGCCCAGGCAGGGTTTTAATCGTGGTGATAGATACCTAGGTAGTATCCTCTCCTCCCTCCCCCCCTCTTTGTGTCATATACACATCTTGCATGCTTCGAATGGAGGCTTTGTTCTGCACACGCTGTAGAACAAGTCGTGGTGCATAATCGCATGCTTAGAATATCCCGACCGGATGACAATAACATTGAGAACATCTTGAAGCATATAAAAACGAATCTTGCCGGTGATATGCTACGTGTGACAGAAGATTCGAAGACAGCAACGCATCAAGGGAATGTTGTATATTAGTCGCGTGAAGAAAGTTTATCCTCATCATGAACGTTACCCATCTCACTATGGGGAGGGAAACCGAAACCGTACGCCTCATTTCCCAAAAAAGGAAATAACAAAACACAAAAGGGGTATGCTGTCATCTCTTCCGCTCCATGCCTTTCTCACCTGCTATTCTAACCGCTCCGTCAGAGACTTCATCACCCGCGCGTAGAACTTGGCGGCGTGCGGCCGGGGAAACGTGATCTCCTCCACCAGGTAGTCCGGCAGGACCTCGATGAGGGCCCGGTCCCGGTTCGCGTCCAGCTGCGGCTTGTACATGAACTGCGCCTCGTCGTAGTCCTCCTTTGCGCTGTCGTTGCCGATGGTCAGCTTGAAGTGAAGCGCTGCCAGTCCAGGTTAGCTTTTTCTCGGGTCCCTTTCCAAGTCTTAGATTACAAAACTTACTTCCGTTGCGCCCAGTCTGGATGCAGTCGTACACGTCCTGCTCGCTCTCGCGCTTCACACCCCGGACGATGAGGCCCGTCAGGTCGCCGTACAGGATCTCCTTCATCTGGGCCGCCTGGCTGTTGGCCTGCAGCGCCTCGCGGGACGCGGCCGCGCCGGCCTTGAGCGCGCTGCCCGGCACTTTCATCTCGGAAGATCGGGCAGCGGCAAGTTTCGTAGACAGCGACTTGATCTCCGTCTTGGCGTCGGAGAGCGAGCTCGTCAGCGAGGTGATGTTGGCCTGCAGGCTGTCGACTTTGGCTTCGCTGGCTTCCAGCTGTTTCTTGAACCGCTCTCCTTCCCTGGCTAGGTCGCGTTGCGTGGCAAGCTCGGACTTGAGACTCGCGATCAGATCGTTGTATGCTGTCTCTCTAGTCAGTAAAATGGGATTCTTGGTAGGATCTGGATGAGATTCGAGCTTACCCTTGGTCTTATCGTCTCCTTGCTTCTTAAGCCTGTCAAAGTTCCGCTCGGCTTCCTTGACGCCGATATCCCTGAGGTCCCGGTACTTCGCCTCCAGTGCATCGTATTTCCTTGTCAGGTCGCCGAGCCGCCGGCGGACGGCCGCGTCACTGCCCTCAGAGTCTACGACGCCGGACCGTCGCCGAGCCGCAGGCTGTTTCCGCTGGACAGGCTCGGGCTCTGGATCTTCCTCCGCGGGTAGCGCTTCCATCTGGGTGGTTTCTTCTTCTTGGTCGACGTCCATAGCGTCCGCCGGCTGCTGCGTTTCCGGTATCTCGGTCTCGTCCGCGGCCTCGGGTTCCTCCTGTTCCAGAGGCGGTGCTGGCGCAGCCGGTTTGCGACCTCGCCTGGCGGGCGCCACACCAGCGGCCGGTGGCGCAGCCCTTTTGGGACGGCCACGGGCTCTGGGCGCCGGCTTCGTGTCGTCGCTTTGAGGCGGCGAGGCCAGCGACGCCGCTGTAGCCTTGCGGCCGGCCCTGGGCGCTGCCTTTGGCTGCACGTTGGTCTTCTCTGCCAGGACCTCCCGCTGTTCCTCCTCCTCCTCCTCTGCGGCCCTCTCTACCGCGGCGGCAACCCTGTCACTGGCGCGCCGGTTCGATCTCTGCTGCGTCGGCTTCGTGACCTTGTTGGCCGCCGCGGGGCGGCCGCGCGTCTTCTTTGCTGGCGGCATCTTCTCCTTTACCGTTGTTGTTGTTGTGCTTGTTGATTTGGCTTGCTTTGCGGCCGTCGCGCGTGCAGCGCGTACACCTCCCAAGTCGTCCTCCGAGTCCGAGTCCACTAGTCCAGCCAAGTTCCCGTGGATTCTGGCTCGCGCCATTTGCCGGCGCAAAACAAGAGGATGAGCCTACGTTTGGGTGGCTGTACCGTGTCGCGCAGTGCAAGTAGTCGCGATTGTGTCCCTTTGTTGGTCGCAATTGGAGTTGTGTGATGATATCTGCAATCGATGGTAGAATTGTGGGAGTGCGGGGGGTTACCAGTGACGGAGAAGATGTATGCTCCAAAGTCGCGTGGTCTTATTAATGGTTTGACACGGAAATTGAGCCCAGGTTGGGTATATCAGGGATGTGTTTTGGGCGTTTCCTCATCGGGAAGAAGGTAAACAAAGGCCTTGAAGAAGGCTAGTGGTACTTTCTACTTGATTAGATATCTATCTTAGCGGGGTTATGTGCTTATCGGGTCTTGTGGGGCCCACTTGGTGCTCTCAGCGAGTCCCGACCGAGGTCGCATTTGATTGCGTGTAGAGTGGCGGAATACTGGAGGTTAGCACGCTGGCGCGGTGCAACACCACATCAGTGCTTTGAGAGATTCCCGGTCTCTGGGGAAAGTCTTCACGAATTTTTTGGGAAGTGTGTGGTTGCTTAGACTTCAACTCTTTGGGAGGCTGGTCTCTGCACATCATAAGCACCGTCAAGGCTGCATAGTCTGTGAACACAATCACGGATTAGTGTCCAACCACCTCCCCTATCTCGCTCGTCCTGCATCTCTTACAACGTTATTGGGTTCCTTTGACTATATCGAGGCCAGTTGTAGCCCACGATGGGTGATCGAAAGAGAGCGGGAGACTATCTCCTGGATATTGCCCTCTTTGCGGGCATGGTAAGTGTCTTCTTGGTCTTTGTGACAAGCCACAGAAAAATGATACTGACCACTTGGATGGCAGACCATAAGTCTCGTCTACCTCACCAGGAATATCCTCTCGACCTTCGCCAGTACGATGGGCGACCCCGAGAAAGAAAAGCACGAGCAGGCAAAAGTAAAAGCGCGCGCCAATCTACAACGCATACAGAAGTCTCGAGGAGCAGACCAGGCTGGTGGCGACGGGGCCGAGGACGATGGGCAGGTTCAACGGATCAGCGACATAGAGCTCAATGAATACGAAAGCCAGGTCGCACTAGACGTCGTTGCGCCACAGGACATCTCGGTGGGCTTCAATGACATTGGGGGCCTGAATGATATCATCGAAGAGCTAAAGGAGGCCGTCATCTATCCTCTGACAATGCCTCAGCTCTATTCTCACGGGGGATCATTACTCTCGGCACCCTCTGGTGTTCTCCTCTACGGCCCTCCTGGGTGTGGAAAGACTATGCTGGCCAAGGCAGTGGCGCATGAAAGCGGCGCATTCTTCATCAACCTGCACATCTCGACTCTGACGGAGAAATGGTACGGTGACTCGAACAAGCTCGTTCGCGCCGTCTTCTCGCTCGCGCGCAAGATGCAGCCGGCCATCATCTTTATCGACGAGATTGATGCAGTTCTCGGCACGCGGAGGAGTGGCGAACACGAGGCTAGTGGTATGGTGAAAGCAGAGTAGGTTAAAATTTCCAATATCCGCGGACGATTTGGCTTCTGTGCTGACTACCTGAAAGGTTCATGACCCTTTGGGACGGCCTGACGTCGGCCAATTCAGCTGGCACACCTTCCCGCATCTGCGTACTAGGTGCCACGAACCGCATGCACGATATCGATGAGGCCATTCTCCGAAGAATGCCCAAGAAGTTCCCAGTGCCTTTACCCGCTCGGGACCAACGCCGTAGGATCCTGCAGCTCGTTCTGGGCGACACCAAGAGGGATCCGTCCTTTGACCTGGAGTATGTGGCCAAGGTCACGGCCGGGATGTCGGGAAGCGACCTGAAGGAAGCATGCCGTGATGCGGCCATGGTGCCCATGCGAGAGTACATTCGCGCCCACCGCTCGACCGGCCAGGCCATGGGCATGGTTGACCCGTCAAAGATCCGTGGCCTCCTGACCGAGGACTTCTTTGGGCGGAAAGGCGGCGGCACAGTCATTGATGATAATCGCAAGCGTCGGGACTCTACTACCAAGACGGTCACTGCCAAATCCTCCGGGGACGAGTATGAAGACGTCGAAGATGACCACTTGACGGCTGCGTCCACTGATTAAGTGGGCTTGATATGATGTCCCCCTTCAACAGAGGTCGGATAGACTGCAAGTTGACATTCCCTCCTCCTCCCCCTCTCGACTCAGCATTCATCCTAGTTGGCGTTTTGGTAGCGATGATGGATTGTTTGATGCTTACTTGGTAACTTGGTGCAAGGCCGTCACGCGACATAGAAGGGAAATCAAAGCGGGATCATAGACCTACCACTATACCCTTGTTCAATACTTGCAAGGCACTGGGAACTGTTACATATGTATGGATCAATTGTACAAATACATGCCTCATTCATTTCATCTCATTGCCACTTTACAACCTGGGCAGTGCTCGCTCAATGTACTTTATCTTTTATCTAACAACTTGATATTGATATCTGTTAAACGTTGTCGCTTGCTTGGACGCGATTAGTAGCGTTGAAACAATTGCCGGGGCCTTTTGGGTGTTTCCGCTTAGCGGGCAGCGATGGGCGAGCACGTCATTTTGCTCCCCACAAAATGTCGGGCAACACCCGATGACAGGTACATGCTCAACGTATGGAGAGTGCTGTGAACTACCAAGTCACCAAGCTCATCAGCCTAGAACAATCCCACCACCTCCGTTCATCGGATTCAGGCTTTTTACTGGGCACCCGCATGACTCCCACGCACCCTCAGAAGAGCGGTCGGGCGGGGAAAATGCAGTGGGTTCTAGTGGAGCGTTGGACGCTGCAAGGGCCCTGAAGCTGTCGCATACGCCGCCCGCCTTCTACTATCACGCACGCATCACCAATGCCACACAGATTTCTCTTCTGCATTCTTTTGTCAGACTCCAATTGATACCAACGTGGTCTGGTTACTCGGTCACTACATCTGGCGAACAGGTTACCTAGCACTTTCAATTCCACAGCCGACGACACTGTCCCTTGGCCATTGTGCTGCTGGCATTGGACCGATCCGTCAGTCTTTTCCCCGCTCTCAGGACATTTCGCCGCTGCCGGCTTTGAGTCACCGACAGCCGCCGACCGAGATCATGTCGACACCGCCAGAGACCGGATCAGGCTCAAAGCCCAGCATGGCGAAGAAGGCCTTTGGCAAGGTCGATCTCGACGGTCACAACCTTCCGCCCTCGCCGGCGCCCTCCAGCCCTTCCAATGGCCGCCGGCGCTATGCCCTCGCGACCGAGCTGGTTTACACCGACTCCAAGGACCAGTATGGAGCCTCGAGCATTCCCATCTACCAGTCCGCCACCTTCAAGCAGTCTGCCGCAACGGGTGGTGGTGAATATGACTACACACGGTCCGGTAACCCGACGAGGACGCACCTCGAGAGGCACATGGCCAAGATCATGAATGCCACACGGGCTCTCGCCGTCGGTTCCGGCATGGGTGCGCTCGACGTAATCACCCGTCTCTTGAGGCCCGGCGACGAGGTTGTGACTGGCGATGATCTCTACGGCGGTACCAACCGTCTCCTTACGTACCTGGCCACGAACCAGGGCATCGTTGTCCACCATGTTGATACCACCGACGTCGAGAGGGTCAAGGAGGTCATTTCCGAGAAGACTGCCATGGTCCTCCTCGAGACGCCGACCAACCCCCTGATCAAAATCGTCGATCTCCCCTCTATTGCCCGGCAGGCGCACGAACTGAACCCCAAGGCTCTCGTCATCGTCGACAACACCATGCTCTCCCCCATGCTCTGCAACCCCCTCGAGCTCGGCGCCGACATCGTCTACGAGTCCGGCACCAAGTACCTGTCCGGCCACCACGACATCATGGCCGGCATCATCGCCTGCAACGACCCCGCCATCGGCGACAAGATGTACTTCACCATCAACTCGACCGGCTGCGGCCTCTCCCCCAACGACTCCTTCCTGCTCATGCGGGGAGTCAAGACCCTGGCCATCCGCATGGAGAAGCAGCAGGCCAACGCCCAGGCCATCGCCGAGTTCCTCGAGAGCCACGGCTTCCGCGTCCGCTACCCGGGCCTCAAGTCGCACCCGCAGTACGACCTGCACTGGTCCATCGCCCGCGGCGCCGGCGCCGTGCTGTCATTCGAGACGGGCGACGCCGCGCTGTCGGAGCGGATCGTCGAGGCGGCACGCCTCTTCGGCATCAGCGTCAGCTTCGGCTGCGTCAACAGCCTCATCAGCATGCCCTGCCAGATGAGCCACGCCAGCATCGACGCCAAGACTAGGGCCGAGAGGCAGATGCCCGAGGACCTCATCCGGCTGTGCGTCGGCATCGAGGATGTCAACGACCTCATTGATGACCTCCAGCGCGCAGTAAGTTTCCAAGCTCGTCATGCCATTGCATATATATATATATATGCCGTAAGAAAGCAACTAACATGAAAACCTCTCTAGCTTGTCCAAGCTGGCGCCGTGACGCTGACGATCGACGGCTTCCACGCCAACAATGCTACCCAGTCTTCTTCCGGAAGCGCATCATCATGATACTGTTGCTAGCTATCATCCTGAAAAGAAGGAAGAAGAAGAAGAAGGATCCACAGACCAAGAAAACTGTATTCATGACAAACTGATTTGGAGTTTTTGGAGGTTTCTATTCACGGCACGGCATCGGTCAACAGGCGCATGGCTTCTACCATATTCTTTTCCATGAAAACCGAAAACCAAAGCATTAGAACGGGCAAAAGGCTTTTTCTCACTGGGACAAATGAACAAAAATCTGCATTATATGAGCAGTTGAATGATAACACTGAAGCTTGATATGATTTTATTTTATTTTTTTTCTTTACTTTGAATGATGTGATGTAGACAAAATGGAAGATGCTGATAGTTGTCAATCCTGTGATGCACAAAGAGGCTCCCGGACTCCATATTCATTCTCCAACACAAAAAAAAGCAGCAGTTCCTCCCTTCCCTTGTTCGTCCTATATACCAAGTCTCAAGTCCAGACCTCAGTCGGCGAGGCATCTACCCTAGGAGAAGTCGAACCGATCAGGAAGCACGACCGGGGCCACAAGAGTCCAGGTGTACATGCCGTAGCAGACCCAGGCGCTCACAATCTTGACCCACGAGGCCCAGTAGGTGCGGCCCACGGTGGCAAAGTCGCCGTCGCGCGTCGAGTCCTCGTAGTTCATGGTCAGCAGCGTGGCCACCCACGCCGTGGCCAGGAAGAAGATGATGTGGAAGACGGTGTAGTTGTACTGCGTGCGGCCGCGCTCGTCATCGCCCGGGGCGGCCGCGCCGTTGCCGTCGCTGTCGTCGTCGTCCTCGAGCAGGGCGTCGGCGGGCAGGCTCCCTTCCTCGACGGCGCGGCGCAGGGCCTCGGCGCGCATCTCGCGGCGGCTCGTGGGCTGCTGGGTGACGAGGTCGTGCGAGTCGTCGTCGCCGTCGGAGTCGTCATCGGGCAGGCGGATGCCGCCGCGGCTGTTGCCGAGGCCGAAGCTCTGCGTCGCGGCGCGGGTCGTGGTCCAGGCGACGGTGAGCATGGTGACGATGGCGCCGATGACGACCGAGGTGGTGCGCGTGCCCTGGGCCAGGAGGAGCGGGTTGCAGCGCTTGTCGGGCGACTCGTCGGGCATCATGGAGACGGCCGACATGGTCAGGTAGGTGCAGTAGACGGCGACCATGGCCGACTGGGCCAGGCCGGCCTTGGGGTTGAACTCCTGAACCGCCGGGTGGACCGAGATGCCCGACACGAGGACCCAGAGGATCAGGTTGATGGTGATGGCGGCCTGGTTCTGCGAGCAGCCGCCCTTGGCGAAGAAGATATACTGGACGATGGTCATAGCCAGCGAGCCCACGTACATGCCCAGCGTGGATCCGATCAGGACGAAGCGCCACACCCTGGAATCAGTGTCCTCGATCTGCTGGAGACAGTACTCGGCCCAGGTGTGCGCCAGGTCCACGAGGAGAATCAGGCCCAGAATCAGGAACAACATGGCGCAGAAGAAGGCAATGTAGTTGCCGTAGAACATGAAGAACTGATCCGGGATCAGGAAGGACAGGACGATGAAAGCGAGCCAGGCGATGATCTTGGGGCCCCAGAAGCCGTTCTGGAGAGCAGCACGAGGCTGCTTGGAGGACGTGACCCCGAAGAGCAGTCCCGCGAAAATGAGATGGAACAGACCGAGCGCAAAGTTGATCCGGTGGACGGCGGTCCATCCATAGCATTCACCCGTCGGGCAGTCGATCTTGACATAGTCCAACATCAGATGCTGCAGCTTCTTTATCGCCCAATCCGTTTCCATAATCCATGCTAATATCGAGTTCACGAGCAGGATTAGGGCGTAGCCGATACGGGTCGCGACACTACACAGAGGAGAGAAGGCGATCGAGTTAGCAACATTACGGGCTCTCCGGCTCAAGAGAGACGAGCAACAGCAGCCTTACCTGTTTCCGCATTTCCCGCAGGCGCTGCACACCATCGAGCAGGTCGCTGCACCGCAGCAACTGGCTCCGAACGACATGATCTAGCCAAAGGATGAGCAACCGAGATCTCGAATGCGGTGCAATGGGAGAGATTGTACTCACTGTGCCGATGCTTGGCACCGCCATGAGCGGCAGGGAGAGAAGCGCTCCCATGGTCTCGGAAGTGTTGCGCTCAGACGCTGAAGAGTACGGTTGTCTATCAAAGCAACTTGCGTGCAGAGCTCGTGTGAACCGTTGGTGACGGAATGAGTGTTTGGAGGGGATGATTGATGCTCGGGTGACCGATTTCGAGAATGCGCCAACTTTGATCCCCAGCCAGTCTGCCATGTGCCCCGTTGTAGCCGCCTGGGTGTGGCGGTTCGGCACCATTACGTAGTGCGCTAAAGCGTGCAAGGCAGGTAGGACTACAGCACCCGCAGCGCTGGAGTGGGGAGCCCAGGCCTTGGGAAACACACCTACGGTGTGAACTTAGGGGTACCTACCTACCATTATTGCACGGGGCGGGTCCCGATGGGCCCCCTCCTGTATCGGAGTCTCGCTGACGTTAGTTACCGATGGGCCAATGGGATAGCGTTAAAACCAAATCCTATCTCTGGACCCTCTAGTCATCCGGGGGTTATCAGGAGGACTGGACCCGGACCCGTCGAAAGTCATTGTGCAACTCAACTGTGCCACTACCAGAGCATATTATCTTGGTCGGCCTCCTTCGCAGAGTAATGCATTCCGAGCACGATTCCTTGTGTCAGATCTGCGACATGCTCTCTCCCTTGCACTCTGCTTGGAATTATTGACACTCGCACCCGATCCCTCGATGGGACCGATATCTCCAACTCAACTCGATGACTGACCCGAATCGGCGGCACTCTCCGATGATATTTGACCTGCAAGCTCCGATATGATCTTGGACCATAACAGAAACAACAACGACAGAATGGGCGAAGGACGATCTAGACGGGCTCGCATCATCTCGAGCGTGGCTGCGACGGCTATTGCTCTGGCATGCGGCTCGAATGTGAGTCTTGTTATCATAAGCCTCCTGATGGAGGCCCCGTCGCTGACTGGCGTGTCCGTGATCAGTATGTCTACTCCGCGTGGGCACCTCAATTCGCCGACAAGTTGCAGCTCTCAACCACACAGAGCAACCTCATCGGCCTTGCTGGGAACCTCGGCATGTACACCTTGGGTGTTCCAACCGGCATATTGATCGACACACGAGGCCCGCGGCCTTTTGTTATCGTCGGCGCGGTGCTCCTGGGTCTCGGTTACTTCCCTATCAAACAGGCCTTTGATGCGGGATCTGGATCGATACCCACGCTGTGCTTCTTCTCGTTTCTGACCGGTTTCGGCGGCTGCATGGCCTTCGCAGCCTCGATCAAGACGTCGGCGTTGAACTGGCCTCATCACCGCGGTACTGCGACGGCATTTCCCCTGGCGGCTTTTGGCCTGAGTGCATTCTTCTTCTCGCTCCTCGGCCAGCTGGCCTTCCCAGGGAATACTGGAGGCTTCCTCTTACTTCTGGCCCTCGGCACCTTTGGCATCCCTTTCTGTGGCTTCTTCTTCCTGAGGGTATTGCCGCCTAGTTCCTATCATCCTTTGTCGGATGCTCCGGACAGTCATGATCCAGTTGAATCCCAGCGACTGCGCAGAACTTCCTCCCAGGAAGCAAAGCCGGTCCGGCACGGGCGTCTCTTCGTTGAACCTGGTATGTCCGAATCTACAGCACCCGAGACATCCTCAGAAGCCCGCGCCTCGCCGAGCCATCATCCGACCAGTGATGCCCTGGCCGATGTCGAGAGACAAGCTATTGAGGAAGAGGAGGAAGAGATGGACGAGACGTCGTCGCTAGTCTCGAAGTCATCATCCCTGCCTGGCGAGGTGTTAGTGCAGAGCAGTGTTGATTTAGATCGTTCTCATCGTGTAGACATCCGCGGCTGGCGTTTGCTGCGTAACGTGGAGTTCTGGCAGTTTTTCACCATCATGGGCCTTCTGTCTGGTATAGGACTCATGACCATCAAGTCAGTACATCTTGTGTTGTCGGGAAAGCTAGTATTCGTCGGGGTGCTAACGTGACGAACAGCAACATCGGCCACGATGCCAATGCTCTTTGGAAGCATTACGACAACACTGTCGACAACACCTTTCTTGTCACCCACCAGCAGATGCATGTTTCGATTCTGTCGGTCGGTAGCTTTGGAGGGCGGCTTCTCAGTGGTAAGACGATCACTCTTCCTCAGGCAGCTAGCATGATTAATGGGATCAAGGCTAACTTCAGTGTACAGGCGTTGGTTCTGACTTCATAGTGAAAAGGCTGCATGCGAGCCGAGTTTGGTGCCTCGTTCTTGCTTCTGGCATATTCTGCTTCGCACAGTTCTGTGCCATCACCATCACCAACCCGCATTTTCTCGGCCTCATCTCTGGATGCTCAGGCCTGGCCTACGGCCTGCTGTTTGGCGTCTATCCGTCCATCATTGCTGAGACCTTCGGTATCCACGGCCTGTCGCAGAATTGGGGCTTCATGACGCTCTCACCGGTTCTCTCGGGCAACATCTTCAACTTGTTCTACGGCATTGTGTTTGACAGCCACTCAATTGTGGAACCGAGCGGTGACAGGAGCTGTTTGCAAGGCGTGCAGTGCTACCGAAATGCATATCTGGTCACGCTCGGGGCAGGCTTTGTAGGTATTGCCGTGACTTTGTGGGCCATTCTGCACCAGCAACAGGCGCGTGCGAGAGAAGAGGGCAAGGGTTTAGCTGAGGACTAGTGGCGACTTCGGAACGTCTCTTTGGACATTTATCGAAGCTTGCAGAGCTAACGAGTAGAAACCAACAACGCCCTTTAGGGTTTCTTGTTCAGCAAAGGTAGCGAGCGGGCTTACATGGGACCTTGGCTTGGATGCAGATCAATATTGCTCACTCCAATGAGCGGAGTTTCGGGAATATCTAGATAGAATAGATGGGGAAGTTTGAAATTAGAGGTCAGTGTTGACCTCTGTGTGAATATCACCAGCAGATCACAGGTCAATTTGACTGTAATACACTGATTCAACTTTATTACTTTTCATAGTTTCGGTCTCTAGTCTTTGTTGCTTCAATGGCAAAGGAATTATAAGCAAGCAATGATTATTGCCTTCCTCTAGCAATTTGATGAATATCCATGTCAGGCTTTTTGTTATGCGCCAAGTTCAGGTGCATGTGCGCAAGCCTCAACCATTGCCCTGGGATAAACAACCTTGGAACCTTGATGAAGATATCAGATCTAGGCACATGGTATCTATCCTTGGCAGATTGGGGCAATGCTTGACATCAGGTCGAATTGCTAGAAAAGCACACCTCTTTCACCAACCCTGATGTGTGTCCACGATCGAGTTTGCTTCTGATTGGACCACTAAGGGGAAAAGGGGGCGCACTACGGACCAACCGGGTGCGCCTCTCCAGGGCGTGCTGCATCGCGGCAACTGCCTAGCGCCCCTGAATTGGATCCCCGTTCATGGATTGATGATCCCTGTAGGAAAAAAAGTGTCCGGCTGTGACGCGAGCGCGACTAGGGATTGCTGTACGTAGACTCGAGCAGTCTAATTGACATTGAGGACACCGCACCTGTTTCCAAAAGAACCAGACAACAGCGATACTTTGAGAGAGTCCTGGCGCTTCTCTCTCAGCCATCTGGATGCTTTCTTGTCCGTTCATTATTCCTCTTGCCTCTCCCAACCAGTCATTCCTTTTCAATCCCGTGTCTTTGATGGACAGCACAGCGTGACTTGCACTCTGCTCCGACGCCCGCAGATTCGAGTCCTCACCCCGCTGACGAAAGAGGACATCCCAGGCGGACAAGATCCGTCTACACGACTGGCGCAATGGTGTCGTACCACCGGGCCATCTTCATGGCCATCGCCGTGGTGTTCCATATCGTCTACTTCTTCTCCATCTTCGACATCTACTTTGTCAGCCCCATAGTCTCAGGCATGCGCTTATTTGAGGTGGAGAGGCAAGCTTCAGCAAAGGCGCCCGCCGATCGGCTTGTTCTCTTCGTCGGTAAGTCTTAGCACTCTTGGGCGCACGGGCAATACGTGTTGCCGTATTGCCAGTACCAGGAAACTTACAGAGTCTAGGTGATGGCTTGCGCGCCGACAAGGCATTCCAGTTCCACCCAGAACCGCACCCGAAGACGGACGCAGACCTTACGCCTCGACCGCTGGCTCCTTTCATACGATCCCGGGTACTCGAGCATGGTACCTTTGGAGTTTCGCATACTCGTGTACCAACCGAATCAAGACCCGGCCATGTTGCGCTCATTGCCGGACTCTACGAGGATGTCTCTGCCGTGGCTACGGGATGGAAGCTCAACCCCGTCAACTTCGACAGCGTGTTCAACCGCAGCCGGCATACATGGAGTTGGGGTAGCCCGGATATCTTGCCAATGTTCCAGCAGGGAGCCGTCCCAGGTCGCGTTGACGCGCTGACCTACACCGCTGAAGATGAGGACTTTACATCCGACTCCACGATCCTTGACTATTGGGTGTTTGACCATGTCAAGGAAATGTTCGCCGAGGCCCAGAAGAACCAGACACTTGCCAACGCGCTGAAGCAGGACAAGACCGTCTTCTTCCTTCACTTGCTCGGATTAGACACCGCTGGCCATGGGTTCAGGCCCTACTCCAAGGAGTACCTGAACAACCTCAAAGTGGTGGACCAGGGTGTGAAGGAGGTTACCGAGCTAATCGAGAAATTCTACGGCGATGACAGGACAGCCTTTGTGTTCACAGCGGACCATGGAATGACCGACATGGGAAGCCATGGAGACGGGCACCCTGACAACACAAGAACCCCCTTGGTAGCGTGGGGTTCTGGTATCGCCAAGCCTAGGGTTTTCCCAGGCTCGGTTGCGCCAGGGCACGACGAGTTTTCGTCAGACTGGCATTTTGATCATGTCCAGCGGCACGATGTAGAGCAAGCAGGCATCGCTGCGCTGATGGCATATCTGGTTGGTCTTGAGTTCCCTGCGAACTCGGTGGGAGAACTACCCCTGCCCTATCTCGCAGCAGGGATCGGCGAGAAAGCAGAGGCATCCTTGGTCAATGCGCAGGGTATCCTCGAGATGTACAGGGTCAAGGAACAGCTGAAAGCTACCGCTCAGTTGAGATTCCGTCCATTTAAGCCCCTGAGCGGGAGTGGTACAACTGCCGATCAACGCGTCGCAGCAATCAAGGCGCTTATCCGGGCCGGCAACTTTGAGGAGGCGATCGAAGAGTCGGATGCCCTCATTAAAGTTGCGCTCGAGGGGATGAGATATCTACAGACCTATGACTGGCTCTTCTTGCGCGTTCTCATCACTGTCGGCTACCTCGGCTGGATGGCGTACGCCCTGACAACTGTCATTGATCTTCACGTACTGCACGGAAGGATGCAGCCTAAGAGGACGCCAGCCGGGATCGTCGCATTTTCATCCGTCCTTGTCATTCTCTATGCATCATTCGTTGTGTCCCGCTCACCATCGTCATATTATGCCTACGCGTTCTTCCCCGTCTTCTTCTGGGAGGAGGTCTACGCCAGACGTCCGAGTTTGTTGCAGGGCCAGAAGGAGCTTCTCGGTCAAATCAAGTCTGCTCCGGAGGTCCTCTCCTTTCTGTTTAATGCTGCTATCTACATTGCCGTCATCGAATCCTTGGTAAGTATCAGATGGACTCTTGGGGTTGAACATCGTATGCTCGATGCTAACTTAGATTGGGTAGGCATTAGGATATATCCATCGAGAGATTTTCACGGCCATATTCATCATCAGTGCCTTTTGGCCGACTGCTTATGGCTTGTCATTTGTCCGAGAGCATCTCGCACTCGTTGGTCTTTGGTTCATCTCCTGTCTATCGATGAGCACTTTCACTCTTCTCGCTGCCGTCAAGGTCGAGGACATCAATCTAACGTAAGTGGACTCGGAGTGACCCTTAGGCTGGATGCTTTCTAAAAATCCCTTCTTGCAGTGTATTTGGAGGTGCCCTCATGACCCTCGTTGGCATTTTGTATCTCGTGTTCGAAGACACCTTGCTGGCTGGCACCTCGTCGGCGAGGAAAGGTGTCCAACAAAAGAACCATATCACCAGGACAATTGTAGGAGTTCAGATCGGGCTGATAGTTCTTGCTACCATCGTAACTCGCTCCAGCGCACTGTCATTGCAGGCCAGACTGGGGTTGCCTCGTGGTAACCAGATTGTTGGGTGGCTTGTCCTAGGTAAGTCTTTGCGGTTGAGGCCCTCAGGCGCATCGAGCCGGCTTCTAACTTTGTCGAATAGCCATTTCACTCGCGATGCCCCTGGCGTACCGGGCCCAGCAAAACAACCATTACCTGCACAGGCTGATGGTCATCTTCCTTACCTTCGCCCCGACGTTTGTCATTTTGACCATTTCCTTTGAAGGCTTGTTCTACTTGGCTTTCTCTGCGACGCTAGTGGCCTGGGTTCATCTCGAGCATGCCGTCTCAGAACTGTCGACTCGCAAGTCTGCATCGGGTGTCAAGGCGATGGCAAAGACCGAAAAGGTCTCGAGTCCCTTCCGTGCATTGGGCTTGCAGGATGCAAGAGTAGCCCTCTTCTTCTTCATCTTGCTTCAGGCAGCCTTTTTTAGCACGGGCAATGTGGCATCCGTATCGGCCTTCAGCTTGGAGAGTGTCAACAGGCTTTTCCCAGTCTTCGACCCCGTCTCCCAGGGCGCCCTCCTCATGCTGAAGCTCATGATTCCGTTCGCTCTCATCTCGGCCAACCTGGGGATCTTGAACATCCGTCTCGGGGTCGCGCCATCCGCGTTGTTTATGTTGGTGATGGCTATCAGCGATATCCTGACGCTGTACTTCTTCTGGGTCGTGAGGGACGAGGGCTCTTGGCTCGAGATTGGGTCAACGATTAGCCACTTTGCCATTGCCAGCGGAATGTGCGTCTTCTTGGCGATGCTCGAGGGCGTCAGCGCCATGTTCATCTCTGGGGTAGAGATCGAGCAGCAGCATGGATTAGTCGTGGAAGCCGACACGACAGTGGGCAAGGTGTCGGTGGAGAAGTCTAACGGGAACAGTGCGACGCCCAAGTCAAAGTCGAAGTCGAAGTCGAAGAAGACGTGATCCGGGAGAGGCGAGGGTTGTACCTTGGGGCGTCATAGTGAGGTGGTGGCTAACATCACCTACCGTCTCAGCCACCCCTTTTCACATTTTGAATGTTGAGCATGCGCAAGCAGCTGCGCTGCGCGTCTCTGGTAGGATGAAGTACCTGCTACACTGTAACGATTAGACACCAGTTCATGGATAGATATTGCGTGCAGCATATGCTACGCCGAATAATAAGACGTAATTTACATATTCTCTGTCTCTCATCGTTGTGGTAGACGGATATCTCCGTCGCCATAACTCTCGCAGCTCCTGAGCTCACCGAATGCTGAAGACACAGGTGGAACTACTAGTGTCGATTCGACACACATCGAGGCGTGAAACGGCGTGGGTCAAAGTGGACAGCAACCTCGGCATTTCCTTTTTGGAAGCAGTTCAGACCTGTCTGGGAAAAAAAAGCTCATGGAAAGCTTCTGTTCCCCGCGTAGTGGAGCAGACTATGTCACCGGTAGGCCAGGGGTATGTCAGATTTTCTGGGTACTTCTTCAATACCAGACAGTGAAGGCTGCTTTTTGGCTTGTGATGAGTTAACTACAAGTACGTACAAGTTCTAAGGACCGCAGCTGAACGAGAATGGTTCGAGAACGAAGGCCGAAGGCGTTAATGATCATCCTTGACAAACTGTCATGCCATGTCGATGTCGGTCGTTTCGACTTGCATCTGTCCCAACGGCCCGGGGTTGCTGCATCTTGAGCGTACAGTCGGGCCCGGAGGCTATGATAGTTAATGGAACTTCTCGGAACACTAACTGCCAACGCCACCACCACGATGATCGAAGTTTCCAACTCCGTCCCTACCCAGGGCGGTGGCACACGAGCTCTCCTGCCACACCAGACCGGTTTGTACAAGTATGTGTGTGTGTGTTACGAAGTAGCTTAGTGATGCCCAGGCGCTCCCAATGCATCTTCCCCACGATTATGTTGCGGGAGGCCGGAGAACTATCCTAATGCAGGTAAGGTCGCCAGCCCTTGCCCTCGTCACGAGCCTGGCTCGCGCGCTTCTTTTGGATCTTGGACACAAAGTGTAGGTATGCATTGTATGCATTGCCTCGAGCAGAACCAACCCCCTTGTGCCAAGTAAGTTGGACGAACCCCTCATCAGGTCCCAACCCCAGAGGCCAAGCAGTCACAACCCACAAACGGAAACGGTTAAGGCTGGCTGCTGTGCCCGTAGTCATTACGAGACAATGAGCACATGCTCGACCTGTGAGGTCCTTTTAACTTCGAGCAACCAATTTCCCCCTCCCCTATGGAAGACAGGCAGGCAGGCAGGCAGCAACCACCCACCCACACAGAGCATTGGCACGGAGAAGATCAGCAAAACCCGTCTTGCTGGTGTCGGTGGGGTTCGGCTAGCACAACCGTACCTGGCATTTGAGGAGGAGGAGGAGGAGGAGGAGGAGGAGGAGGATCCATGATGGGAGGCTTGCGTGGACAGGGGGAAGACGAAGGAGACGAGCTCGTCGGTGACGCTACATTACATTAGTGTGCTAGGCTCCGATTCTTGCAGTTCTACTAGCATAGGAAAACAGTTGCCATCACGCCGCGGCCAGCAGCGTAGATCAATATCAGTCGAAGGGCAAGGAACATTGGATCATGCTGTTCAGCAAGCTCAGCTCTCATGCAAGGTAGTAATAAGATTTACAATTTCGAGTAAAGCCCCAAGCTTGATCGTACCATCTGAATTTCGAGCAGATCCTTCTGGGTATTTATAATCTCACGCCTCCTACTTGTTAAATATCATTCCCAATGAATGTCAGGGATTCATATACCAATCCTGTGTAAGTCAGCGGGAACAATCCTTTCTCGAGAAGTGAGCTGGCTGTTAGATGTCTCTAAGAGCCCCAAGGTGCACCTGTATTCCCAGTCATGTTGATATTGATGTGTGTAAGTGCCTGTCAGGTAACAGAAAGGGACCTTTCTGCTTCGACTTTACTGGACTATCTCGTCCAAAGCTCCGAGCAATGAACACAAACAACTTCCCAGAGCCATTCTTGTTCTAGAAGTAGTATAGGTATGCCACACACCCCTTTCCCACCCCGGTTACGCCATCTCTTCAATGCGAAGTCATCACACACGCTGATGAAGACCCCGCCCATGCCCTGGTTCAGCCCTCAGCCATACAAGGCTTGGCAAATGGTCAATCTGGCTTGTGAAAGTGGTCGGGCCACGCCCCCATGGCGCTGCTATTAGTGCCTTGCATAGTCGCCCTTCAGGGCTGCAGGCGAAAAGAAACCGCGCCGGATGCCGTGGATATAAAAAACGCGATACCAGACTGCAGTCCCAGAGTCTCTTGGGGGGGGGGAAGAAGAAAAGTCGGCCCGTTAAATCTCTGTTCGTGCTGTTCTTCGAAATTAGACTCCGTCTGAAAGCACGAGACAATGGCGTAGGTAGCCGCCTCGCGCTTCGACAGCTCTGCTGGAATTTGCCGCCTCGCCTGTAAGGTTATTACGAATCAGCGCCAGTGGTACATTACTCGCCGGCGCTACCCAGGACGATCTCTAGGTACCGTACCCACGAACCACGTTTTGCAGCGGAGGGCTCGGAACCTGGAAACGCCTACCAAGGGACCCCGGCCCCTAGGAGTACCTGGAAACCGACCGTCAGCGGACTGACACAGGGCAGCCCACCTGGGCAGTGTGCGCGCGCTGGGCAGGTGGCGGTGCGGGCGGTCATCATATGAACTCTCGTATGCGAGAGCATTGTGTCTCGGGCGGACCCTCCTCGACTCAAGCCCTCCACGCGAGCCAGTTCTCCAGCACCGGGATTCCGTCCTACTTGTCAACTCGATAACCTCGCGCAAGTTCTTTGCGACACAAACATACAACCGCACTTTCAACCCGGCAACAACTCCAGTCCTTTCCCCGTAGAGCGCAACCTCGCATCGATCGACCGAGTATCGGGCTCCCGCTGGCGCCAGAGTCTCCTCCAGACTCTTCTTCGAACATGGACGTCGACATGGCTTCGACCGACGGGGCGTCGCAGAAGCAGGCCTCCAATTCCCCGTCGCAACCAGGAGCGCCCGCCTCGACGACCGCCACGACCAATGCGCAAGGACAGTTGAGCTTTCGGAGGTACGCTACACAAGCACTGCCAGACTGCGCACTGCTCCGACACCTAGAGTACAGTGGCTGACGAGAAATCTCCAAATAAAGGCAACGAGCATCCAGAGCTTGCGAGGTAAGTGTGGTGTTTTATTTTCAGGCGCCAATCAACCGTCCGCTGGCTGAACAGATATACCTCCTCTCGTGCCCACCCTGTGCGTCCGAGGCTGGCACTGAGCCGAGGCATCTCTCCGCGCGGGCACCTACATCCCCTCTGTGCAAGATCTCCATTCGCTAACCAGCTGCTGTGTGCGCAGACATGCCATGCTCGAAAGGTAAGCAAAGTATCCGCTGCATTGCTGCATGCCCAGTCCGCACGTTGAATAAAGGGCGCTCTCCTCCGAACCCCCGAGTATGGCGCATGCTCACCTATCCCCCGCCAGGTTCGATGCGACGCCGCAAGCCTCGGCGTACCTTGCACGAATTGTGTTGCCTTCCAGATTGAGTGTCGCATACCTCAGCCCAAGCGGAAGAAGGCCCAGACATCCACGTCCCGGGATTCGGACAGGTATGTGTGCCCTTGTCGCTTGCGTGACCAGGTTCCGAGGCTCTGATCTGACCTTGTCGAAGTGAGCGCGGCGATGCCTCTGACGAGCGCTCTCCGCGGGCGGAAAGCGCCGGCGCCGCTCCCCTTACCGGCCGACCTCCTGCCGTGTATCATACCAGCGAGGGAACGCCGACGACCAGCATGACTGAGGCCCAGACCAAGAAGGAAGAGGTGGACAATTCGACCTTTGTGAACATGGTCATGAAACCCAAGTTCACCAGGGCGCCCATCACCGAGGCTGGCCGAGTCGCCTATCTCGGGGAATCGTCAAACCTGACATTGTTGGTCCATGATAGAGCCGGTTCAGCCGATGTCGTTCACTATCCTCTGCCGGAGAATGTCCGGGGGTCCAGAGCCAGGCTTACAGAGCTGGACAATGTAGAGATCGACATCCTACACAAGCGAGGCGCATTTCTTCTCCCGCCCCGAGCGCTCTGCGATGAGCTCATCGAGGCCTACTTCAAATGGGTACACCCCATTGTCCCGGTCATCAACAAGACACGCTTCTTCCGACAGTACAAGGACCCTAAAAACCCGCCATCCCTGCTCCTGCTGCAAGCCATGCTGCTGGCTGGGTCCCGCGTTTGCACAAACCCTCAGCTCATGGACGCCAACGGATCGACGACGCCGGCGGCGCTGACATTCTACAAGCGGGCCAAGGCCTTGTATGATGCCAACTACGAAGACGACCGGGTCACAATTGTTCAGTCTTTGCTGCTCATGGGCTGGTATTGGGAAGGCCCCGAAGATGTCACTAAGAATGTCTTTTACTGGACACGGGTGGCCACCATTGTTGCTCAGGGGTCCGGGATGCACCGGTCGGTGGAAGGGTCGCAGCTAAGCCGACCCGACAAGAGGCTCTGGAAGCGGATCTGGTGGACGCTGTTCACGCGCGATCGCTCCGTGGCTGTCGCCCTCGGCCGTCCGGTACACATCAACCTGGACGACTCGGACGTGGAGATGTTGACTGAGGACGACTTTATCGAAGACGAACAAGACCAGCAGAGCGACTATCCTCCAGATCCCATCCACGTGCAGTTCTTCCTGCAGTATGTCAAGCTGTGCGAGATCATGGGGCTGGTGTTGTCACAGCAATACTCGGTTGCCGCGAAAGGCCGCGGCAGAGACCCCATCGACCTAACACACAGTGACATGGCTCTCGCGGACTGGCTGCAAAACTGCCCCAAGATCGTGTATTGGGAGATGCCCAGGCATCATTTTTGGTCGGCACTGCTTCACTCGAACTACTACACGACCCTCTGCCTCCTCCACCGAGCGCACATGCCACCAGGTAGCTCATCTCGGTTCGGTGACGACAGTGCGTATCCGTCACGTAACATCGCGTTCCAGGCTGCATCCATGATCACGTCCATTGTCGAGAATCTCTCTGCCCACGATGAGCTTCGCTATTGCCCTGCCTTCATCGTGTACAGCTTGTTCTCGGCGCTGATCATGCATGTCTATCAAATGAAGTCGCCCATCCCATCCATACAGCAGGTCACGCAAGATCGTATGAGGACATGCATGGCGGCATTGAAGGACGTTTCGCGAGTATGGCTTGTCGGAAAGATGGTCTATACCCTCTTTGAGGCTATCCTAGGCAACAAGGTCTTAGAGGAGAGGCTCCAGAAGGCGGCAGGCAAGCGACATAAGAAGGCACAGCAGAGTCTAGCACAGCTGGAGCAGCATGCGCAACGGCAGCAGGCTGCGTCAGACCTCTCCAAACGGAAGTATGACGAGATGGCTATCGACTTCAGCGTCAATACGCCGCAGGCGCCCGAGTCTTACGAAAGATCGCGGCCACAGACACCCAGCCTGGCTTCAAAGAACGACTCAACACCGCACACCATGCCACCGCCGATCACGTCGCCGCCGGCTCGGCCGATCGACGCGTTCATGGGCGGCACATCGTCCCGCCCCCATACTCGACCGACCACTCCCTTCAACCCGTCGTTCTCCGTCCCCACTACGCCGCCAGACCTCTATCTCGTCACCAGGAATTCGCCCAACCTGTCCCAGTCGGTGTGGGAGAACTTCCAGCCCGACCAGCTCTTCCCGGAGAGCTCGAGCATGCCGATGGTGCCAAATATGTCTCCGCCTCAGCCGCACCAGACCATAGATTCGAGCATGATCAGCCAGATGCAGGCCCAGAACCTTGGGGGCCAACCGCATGCGCACCAGCAGTACGGGCAAAGGATGACGCCCAAGGGCGGCATGGGCGGCAGCCCGCTCCAGGGCCACCACCTCTTGCAACCGGGCATCCAGGGCTTCCCGGGCCAGCCCGCCAACAACCTCTGGCAGCCGGGCTTTGGCGATACACCGATGCCGGACGGCCAGAGCCCCGATAGCTGGAGCACGGGTTCTGGGCAGGGTCAGCCGGTGCCATCTACGCTCAATGTTGAGGATTGGTATGTCGACGCCCCCCAACATAGGATGATGCCGTAAGCAGTAGGGAGAAGATAACGCTAACGAAATCGTGATCCTAGGTTCCAATTCTTTGGTATCAACGGGGATCCCAACGGGGTGAACTTTGAAAGCTTGGGCCTTCCCTAGCAAGTATCGGTCTCAATCTGTGGACGAGGCTAGACCCTCAAGTACAGCGGCTGGACTGTTTTCTTGGGGGGTTTGTAATCATCATCACAGGTATCTATGGGTGCTGGCTGCTCCTACAGTTTCAGGCTCGAGGACCTGTTCTACTGAGCATTCCGTAGCGCTATCATCTACCTATTATTTGTATGGGAGTTCAGTTTTGGTTTCCTTGATGCACATGCGCGGCTCGGAAATGTGGGTGGCTACAATCTACAATGACAGTCATTCGAAAGCGGCCGCGGGAATGCGGAAAATAAAATCTTAATTATGGCAGATGCTCGTATTATCTCGATTGAGCATTAAGGATATCATTCGGCGAATGTTTGAGCTGGTCGATGGGCGCTGCTGCTGCTGTCTTGAAGAATGCATTGCATTTGAATGAATTGAGTGAGGGACACCCCCCGGCCTCTTAGTTAGTTATGTAAGCCGCGCAGCACCCGCGTTAGGTATGGAGCTTTGGTGGAGTCGAATGTGGGAGGGAAGCTCCCCCGTCCGTCCCCACTCTGACGCTGCCGACTCTCGACTCTCAATCAAAACAAACCCGCTCTCGGTCTAAGCCAGAGAGTAAACACGCCCTGGAATTGGCAGAACCTGCTCTGACCTCCAACGCTGTCTGCAACCACAGACACTCTGATAGCTCACCACCGCCCACGACTTTATTCGAGCATTCGCCCATCTCTCAATCATGCTTGCTTAGCCATCATCTGCTTTCCTTTTTTCTTCTTCTCTATTTTCAACCACAACTGCTCTCTTCTCTGCATTCGCGAGGTTGCATTTCAAAAGTAAACACGACCCACGATGGCTATGAGAGGACCGCGTCAACCCATTGGGTCGGCGTCGTGGATCGCCGAGGAGAGGTCCTCTGCGCTACAGATTGCTCAGTCGGAGGTCGAGGAGTTCTCTTTCTCGGCCAGGAACGATGTCGACTGGCTCAATGAGCACATGGCGGAGATCTTCTCAGAGAATCAAATGTATGCACGACTCGAGCCCTGCTTGGTGGTGGCAAACGAGACGAGTCCGAGTATTGTATCCATGCTAACCATTTGTCTCTTTGCAGAAACGTCGCCGATATCTTCAAAACACCAGGAAAACTACGCGGCAAGACGCCTCGAACAGCGCGAAAGGCGAACACGGCCGAGGTCCGAGTGGTAAGTTTTCCCTTGCCTTAGAGAACTCCAAAATACTATATCGAGCAATCTCCCGCGCCGGGAAGAAAACACGCGTGCTGATGATCACAAACAGCCACTTTCGAGTCTGTTCTCTTCGACGCCTAAGGGCACGCCGAATCCGTTCGCCATCCCACACATCGACAGGAATCAAACCCCCAAGCTGAAGATAGCGGAGGACAGACTTCTTCCGGCAAACCCCATCCGTGCCAGCCCTCAGAAGCATGTTGCATCTCCCGTTGTCGCGGCCCCGAAAACCACTATTCCTCCTGCGGACTCTGGTTATCATGGAAGCCAAACGCAGGACGCCATGGAGATCGATGAGCTAGCAGACGATGTAGTTGAGCAGATTCCTATCGACACTCTGGCTCAGGGCAAGGAGGAGCAGATCGCTCAGGACGAGCTGAGGCAGCCATTACCGGAGCCCATGGAGCAGGAAAGCCCCACACAGCCGACGCGGACTTTCCACTCTGCAAAGGAGGAGCAGACCATGACAGCCAAGGTGTTCTCTCCCATGCCTGCCAGGAAACCGGTGCCCAGCCCGGTAAGCCGGTATTCACCATCGCCGATTCGCATGGCCCCATCCACCTCCCCTAAGAAATCGTCACCTCTCAAGCCATCATCGCCCGTCAAGAGCTCACCTACGAAGTCCGTTGCTCCTTCATCACCGCGCAAAGCCCCCGCAGAGGAAGAGATGGATGTTGATGCTGAGGATGACGAGGCTCAAGACGACGATGTTAGATCGCCCTCTGATGGATCGAGCCCTATTAGGGGCGTCCTCCGCAAGAGCAGTCTGAACTTTGCGTCGCTTCCCGCTCGGGAACCTCTGACTTCGAATAAGAGTCTTGGTGCGAGGATGTCTAGGACGAGTCACTTGGACCAGAACCGGCAGAGTTACTATAACCGACACACCCACGGCAAGAGCCTTGGAGTTGCTCGCGCTGAGGCTGTTGATGACGATGAGATGGATGTGGATGATGATCCCACCACCACTCAAAAGTCCATCCCACAACCTGCCGTCAACGCTGCCAAAACTTATACACAGAGATTGCAAGATCGGATCAGCATGTTAGGTAAATCGCAAGCGACTGACCTGAGGATGTCTAAGCCGATCGCAAGCCTTGCGGCATCTCAGCCTGCAGCGATTGCGCCGGCCCAGCCAGCTCAGCAGGTACAGCCATTGGAAAAGACGGAGAAGATGCCTTCTCCATCACCTAGAAAACCGCAACAGTCCCTTGCGGCGCCTGGGGCTTTCCCGGAAGAGGATGATGAGGATGATTGGATAGCCCCTCCCGCGTCCCAGAAGGAGACCGCCACGTCTTCGATTCGACCTGCTCCGCTCCCCAAGAGCCATTCTACCGATGTTATGGAAGGGCTACATGGCAAGGAGACCATCAGCGAGTCTGATTTCGTCTTGCCTAAGCAGCGACAACCAGAGACTCTTCCAGGCTCCCCTGCGAGAATACCCACCAAACCGGCCGGTGGTTTCGGCCACGTCAAATCAGCATCCGTCCCTGCGCTCCCTCAGTACATTGGTGATGAGCACGATTCGGATACTGTTAGTCTTAAGAAGACGATCTCTGTGTCCAATCCAACCCTCGGTACCGTGCCAGAAACGGACGGACCTGCGACCCCATCCAAGTCACCATCCCGAGTTTTCCGTGATAGCCCGCTCAAACAGGTCAAAAACAAGCTGTCATCAATCTTGAAGAGCTCTAAGGGCCTCTTAGCTAGCAGCGCGGCCATTAGTGCAGAGGGCAAGTCTTCCTTGTTGTCTCCAACCGGAAAGTTCGGCTCATTTGCTGGGCCCTCAGTTGAGTCGCTTGTGCCCAGCACCACCCCGGCTGGGGAACCGATGTATCCCGATCTGTCACGAGCTCAGGCTCCTGTGAGCCCCTCTCGGCCTGCCAGTCCAGCGCGCACAATCAATCGCAAGACGAGAGCGTCGGCTGAGCGGGAGAAGCGCGAGCAAAAGCAGAAGGACAAGGAGTCCAGAGAAGCGCAGAAATTGGCGGAGCAGATGGAAAAGCTCGAGAAGGTCCGCGAGAAGGAGCGTGAGAAAGCGCGCATCTTCAGCAAAGAGCAGGAGAAGGTGGCGGCAATGGAGAAACAGCTAGCGGCGCAAAAGGAAGCCGACGCCGTCAGCCAACCCGCTCCTCCACCTCCGGCGAAGGATGCACCTAAGCCGACACGGACGAGTCCTCGTAAGGCGAAGCCTCAGGCCGAATTTGAAGGAAAGACGCCTGCACCTCCTGAGAAGAAACGGCATAACGCCGATGCCGACATGACGGATGCCCAAGCAGCCATGCCTCCTCCCACTGTACCTCGCTCTGCTGCACCGACCCCTGCCAACAGGAGTATCAAGAGGCCAATCAGGCCCACGACCCAGTCCGCCTCCAAAGGAAAGCAGGCTCCTACAGTCATTCGTGTCAATACGACGAGCTCGCAGCAATCTCAGTTCCACCCTACAAACAGCGTCCTGTCTGCCACGCTGCAGGATACACTTGGCTCACAGCCACAGCTCAAGAGCAAGGCCAGCTCCGCCTCGCTGCACAACAAGCCGTCTTTGCAGAGCCTGAAGAGTTCGACGACTTCGAATGGCCGACCCAAGGCACTTGAGCTCGCGGCCAAGCGGAAAGAACAGGAGGAGCGCGAAGCTCAACGAAAGCGCGACGCCAAGGCTGAGATGGAACGGAAGAGAGCAGCTCTCCAAGAGGAGGAGCGGAGGCAAGAGGAGCAACGGCGCCAGGAGGCGCAGCGACAGCGGGAACGTGATCAGGCCGAGATGAAGAAGTCCGTGAAGAGGCAGGATATCGAGAAGGCCAAACAAACACGTGCGCCACCTCCGGCTCCGCGCAATCAGCCTAACGGACCTCCCGACTACAATGCGGCTCGTAGTGAGGCTGGGCCGTCAAGACCGGCCTCGAGACTGGACTCCACCATGCACCGGACGCAGGAGGATTCTGGTCGCCCAGTCAATGCTGTCCTTTCCAATGCGAGCAAGGCACCTGTCAAACGGCCTCTGACTCAGGAAGGTAACGAAGAGGGTGCTCGACCTTGTTTCGCGCGCAATGGCCCGTCGTTCCAAACCAAGGAGACGAAGCGTATCCGAATGAGTGAAGAGTTTGATGAGGATGAGTTGGAGATGGGAGGGCAGCCCAGCCAGTCTCACCTTAAAGGCCCGCCTGTGCGGCCATCGGCTGGGGTCAACAAGGTATTTTTTTGTCCTCTCGACACAGTGCCAGACTGATTGCTAACATGTCTTCCCAGGGTTACATGCCTAACAAGTCAATATTCCCGAGCGGATACGGCAACGCACCGCAGTCCACTAGTGCAACGCGCGATCTGTTCAAGGCTACTGTCACGTCGCAGCAGACCAGCCAGCCCAAGGCAGCTCGTCCTCTGGATATGGCACAAGTCTCCAAATCGACCATTCCCTTTGCTCCTAACCCCAATGCGGCTGCGCATGCCCACAAGACGCCGGCGCGACCCGCCGGCGCCCAGCTCGGCGCGAAGTCAGCGGCCAAATCGGCGACGCGCTCGTCGCCGAGGATGCCCAACGGTGATGCTATCGAGCTGCCTGAGATCCAGACGGACGACGACGATAGTGACGACGACGGCCACGTCGGGGTCGCGCCGTGGGCCGACTCGCCCGATCTCAGGAGGGCTCTGATGCGGCAGGAGACTGTCGACCCCATGCAGATCTTTGGCCCGCCTGCGCCGCTCAACATGGAGGAGGTCTTCAGCAAGAGCAAGGACCGGTTCCACAAGTTCCGGGCGCGGACGAGCAGCGCCAACTGGAGCGGCGTCGACAGGCTGACGGAGGACGACATCCGCAAGGACCTGGCGGCGAGGGACAAGATGCGGAGGGACGGCGGGTGGACGTATGAGCTCAGCAAGGATGTCATGTAGCGAGCGGCGTGTGGAACGCAGGCAGGCTAGCAGCAGAGTGCATTCATACGGATCGGAGTATCGGTAATGGATGGTTCCTGGTTCTGTTGGAGGGGCTTCTCTCTTACATGGCGGTACCGGGACGTTGGACATATTCATGAGTGTGTATAACAGTCGACAAAGACATACAAGACACTGGATCATTTCGGGGTTTTTTGGGCGTTTTGGGGGGGAGCAAGGCAATGGGGGTGGCTACGAAAGGGTACAGACCTCTGCATGATGATAATTCCAGAGAGAATGGGCAATGCTATCTATCTATGGCTCGGCCATTGTTACAATTGATTCTTTATTATCGTCAAGATGCCAAGTGAGAAGGTTTGGGATTTGATCGAGAAAGCGGAGAACGACGAGACCTCTTGCTTCTCTCTAGGTTTGTTTGTGTGGACTCTGTTTTCCATTACGGACTCTCGCGATTGTTTGTTGTGTCGTGTAAACAGATGATGTCAGTTCTCATGCATGGCCCAAGTGCTGCTGTTCCCGACAACTCTCTCTGGGAAGGCTAGCAGGATTGTGGGCATGAAGCCGTTCCACCTCGAAATGCTCCATTTCGTCACGATGCGTATCAACCTATAATCCGTGTCGCTGAGCATCAATATTGAGGAGGAGGCATCCCTAGATGCCCTACCACACCGCATCTAGCCAGTGAGATATCCGAGTTCCGGGGGACTCCGGGGCATATGCACTCTGACGTTGAAAGTGCAGACAGACACCTGCAGTCTGGAGCAGCACCCGATGCCCTAGTAGGCTATTCCGGCAGCTGCCGTTTGGCTGGACGGGAGCTACTGGTGGTATTTGGGGTGGCTTCCTTCAGGGAGGCTTCTTTCGTGTCCACGATGATCGTCGTCTTATGGCACGGGTGTAAACTTGGGTTGGAATAGGATTGGGAGTTGACTTGAATCTACTGTTGAATTGCATAATTCTGACCGAAAAAGACCAGTATTCGTCCTATGCAGCCACAAAGGGTGTGTATGTATGGCTCGATCGATTCATGGCTTTCATGAACAACCGACTCTTCCTATTTCAGCGGAAAGCGTTCTCAATGTTCATCATAAAGCGATTGACAGCATCGTTCTTGCGGCATCAAGCCGGTGCTGTGCTTGATCTTGCATTCAAGATGGTATTAGAGGGGCAAATGATACTTGTACATACGAAGTAATCAATGAGCAGGCTGATAAGTGAGCTGGGGCGGGCCTCTTTACGTCATTTGATAGTTGCCCCGGCAAGTCGGAATGTTTGTCCAGACTACAGTGCTGTTTACCTACATTATCCCCAGGGCTCAGGCTGTTGGTTTCGGGCAGCAAACACACTAATGCAGTGATGGGCCCATTGTTCAATGCATGTGTACTTGTACAATACAGCCCTGCTGCAAACTAGGTAGGGAGGTACTTACGCTAACTGGAACACAGCGGCGTGTCACCATCGGAGAGGGTCCAAACACATTGATCTCTCGACTCCTCGAGAACAAGGCAAGGCGAGCCAGGGGGGGGGGCGGCAGGGAGGCGACTGGCCAGCAAGCTGCAGCACATTGTACTACTGCTGACTGTGGTCATCTGCGCTCTGCACTGACGACTCTGACGTGAACCACTTGCAGTGCCTCCCCCCCGCTCCGCAACCATCACAGACCAGACCAACGATAAGTCGCGGAATCGATGGCCTGCATCGTAGCTGAGAGGGTGTTCTGCCTCGTGTGTCTTGACCGCCAGTAGGATCCGAGGAATACCAGAGCACTCCCGCATACTGCATACCTCCTTTTCCTGCTCATCCCGACAGACTTGAAATGCCTCGTCTTGATTTTACTTCACTGGGGGGGAGGGGGGATCCTTTTCTTCCTTGCAGGTTGATATCAGATTGTAATGACAAAGAAGACTACTGGTTGTTTATACAAGTTCACCTGTCAGCTCAAATTAACTCCACCACTGGATGGTGACTTGGACTTGAGGTGGTGGTGGTGGGGTCACTAGACAGTAACTAGCACCGGACATCACCATTGTTTCTAGGCATTAAAACAGCCTGGCAGAGATCCTAGGCAGGTACTAGGTATCTTTCCCCACCCTCAACTCCCTTCCCAGCTCCTGGGACTAGTACTTTTACTATTGAGGCCTGCTTGACCTGCCTATCCCTCCAGGCTTTGGTCACATGGAATCGCGAACCACTCTTGACTCCAGAAAGAGGAAGACACTGCACTCATGTTCCCTTTCTCTCAGAATTCATGCAACCTGACCCAACGACTGGCAAGCTGATATTTCTACAGCTCACTCTTCCATCACCTGTGCTCCAAATCACCACCATCCCCTCTCAGGACCCAAAATACACCACCCACAATACCCTTCTGTCACCCCCGACTTGAGCAACAACCTACTGGCCTCGATCTCCAAGCTGCAGCTTGAAGCCAGTTGAGCAAACACGGTGGAATGCCCTGGTAGCCTTCCAGCCTTTGCCTTGATCGGAGCTTTCCCGTTGCTGGAGTGAAGGACATGCCGGGTCTGGAGGGATCTGCAGAAATAGCTTCGTTTCTTGCAACCGCTCTTGCTCGTGTTGTGAGAAATCCGGCGAGATGGTGAAACTCGATTATAGTCGGGACTACTACGCCGACTTGGAGCTCTCTCCTACGGCTGATGTCAACGACGTCAAGAAGCAGTTCAGAAAACTAGGTTTGTAGCCCCGTTCCCGAGCCGAGAAGCAGTTTCCTCGACTGACCAGCATTGCCTAGCTCTCAAATATCATCCCGACCGCAATCCTGGTCGCGAAGCCGAAGTGAACTCGAGATTCCAGACTATCCAGTCTGCACACGAAGTCTTGACGAGCCCAGACCAAAAGACCAAGTACGATACCCACCGTCGGTCTCGTTACCCTAGCGCTTCTGGCGTCAAGGGAAACCCATGGCAAAACGTGTCGTCTCAGTTCCCTACGCCGCCGAAGCGGCCGCCGATGAATCGCAAGACGACCTCGGGAGCGCAGCGATACTCGAGCTTTGGCGTACCGCCCACGGCCAAGTCGGCAAGGGAGGACCCCAACACCCGATACCAAGCATGGGAAGACATGAGGCCCAAGTCCAAGGGAAAGACAGGACCTGCGCCGACCGCACCCCGCACACCACGAACAGAGTCTTCTCGCCCACAGAACCCGACGAGGCCCGAGCCGAGGACAATGCCGCGCACGGCATCTCAACAGCAGAAGGCGAATGCTTCCTTTGGCACGGCGCGACGGCAAGGCTTTGTGCCGCGTTCCCCTGGGCCAGATGAGCCTCCAGTAGCAAGCAGCAACTACTTCACGACCAGGTACCAACCCAGTCTGTTCAACGATCTTTCTGCAAATTCGGCATTCAAAACTCAACGGACCGCATCCGGGACGAACGCGGCAAACATGTTCCGTGATTCGACAATCGACCCCCGTCAGAGCACCCCGTACCAGACACATGGTGGAGAGAAGACGAATCCTTTTGACGGTGCGGACATCCGCCGTTCGGGAAGCACTCGAGAGCCTCCGCGGAGACAGCAGAATGCTGCCAATACAGGGCGCGCCAGGAGCTCAAGCGTCCCTGACATCCCCGACTCGCCTACTCCTGCTCCGAGGAAGAGCGCCACTCGCCAGCAGGAAGACCCGAATGCGAAATTCGCTGGTGTCTCGTCCTCGACTTCAAAATTCGGCGAGAGGTACCGGCCTCAGTCTCAAACCCAGCCGTCTATGAAGGCTTTTACGGCCCCGAATAGCTCGACAACGTCACTCGGCAGTGATTCTGGTGAGTTTGGCTTCCCCATTTCGCCTTGTATCGGCCATGCTAACAAGGTCGCAGCGACTGTCAACGGAGGCAACGGCCCATCCGCGCAAAAGGATGACCCTTCAGTGTATGCTACACCGCTTGCTTTCAGTTACCCCTCTCCCTATCCAGTCAACCCAGGTAAAGAAAATACACGGCAACCCAAGGTTGCCAGCGCCAAACCTGCGGGCAACAACAAACCAGCTCAACCTGCTCCGAACACGCCCGAGTGTGATCCCCAAACATCACCAAGTGGACGTACGGGAAGCTCGGAGCGTGTTCTGAACCCTTTCGAGCAGACAATGTTCGATGTGCTGTCTCATCTTGCCAGCCCACCTGCCGCCAATTCAACTGCGCCTTCGGATCTACGTTCTTCTTCCACACCTGTTCCACCAACTGCCGCAGAGCCTCGTCAAGCTGACAATAGCACTTCTTCCAGCTTCTCATTCCACGTCGACAACGAAACCTTTACCAGAACCACGCCTGATCCTGCTCGCTTTTCTCGCAGTAGTGCCGATAATATCAACACTAGGTTTGTTGCAGAAGAGCACGCCAATGCTGACTGGAAATTCAATGCGGGAGGTGGCGTCCCCCTGAATGGAAGCCCTATCCCCCCCAATCGTCGATCGCAGTCTGGTAGCCGCCTCGGACGACGGTCGCCGGCAAAGGACCGCGCGAGGCCAAAGCCAGCATCAGTAAACGAGCAGGATGAGACCAACGGTGATGCCCAGACGAGTGGGTTTAACGCTGGCGAATGGACAGACAAGATCGGAAACGAGCACTTCTTTGCACCTCAACGGCAGCAGACTTCCACGTCCCCGACACGGAATGCGCGACCGCTCAAGAAGCCTCGACCTGTACGGGCGACGATGGGTACTGCTGGGCTTGTTGACGAGGACGAGACCTCGAGCGAGGAGAGGACGCGCCCTGGAACGGGCACGGGCAGCGCGAGTGGTGTTGAGAGCCCTTCAGCTATGGACATTGACCCGCCTATGCCTCCGCCGCCGGCTGCGGCTAGCGGCAGCGCACCACAGAATGCCAACGGTGCTCGTAATATACCCGTGGAGCCTGAGCGCCCTGACTGGAGGGCAGGCAATGCTGCGGGACTCAAGTCCAAGGCAGGCGCGAGTATCAACCTACCTGCGAACAATGCAGCAGGCTCGGAGGATACAGATGACTTCCGGGCGAGTTTTGCGGATCTCAAAAAGACGGAGCCCTTCGCCCCCTCGGCGACGGGCCTGAACTCTTTCCAGGACCTCAAATCCAACCTGCCCTTCGAGAGTAAAGCGTCGGCCACGGCACCCGTCCCGAAGCCGAAGCCCTCTCGCATCAACTTTCCGGTACCGCCGCCGGCGCCACCCCCTCCGGCGGCCCTCGCGGTACCGGGCCTCAAGCCTAGCGCTGGGGCCTGGGAGAAGTATGTCTGGCAATTCGGCGACTACATGCAGGAGTGGGCTACCTTTAACAACCGGTACGTCGACCACTTCCAGGCCCGTCGCAACACGTTCGAGAAGCAGCGGAGGGGCAGCAACGGGACCAAGGGCGGGTTCGCGTGGCTGGCGACCAAGGGCGACGACGGGATCCGCGAGTACCTCGGCTGGATGGAGCAGGACCGGGAGGTGCGGACCAAGTGGGCGGCGGCGGCGAGCGAGCACGAGATGCACGTCCGCGAGTTCATGGCGCACCGGGACCGGATGAAGCAGTGAATTTTGTGCTTGTGCGTGCGAGCTGGAGACGATACGACTTTTTGTGTGTTTGTGTGCCCGGCAGTCTACACTTTGGATGACGAAGGAGCAGACGGCGAATCGCGTCTCTATTTTACTCTTTTTTTTTCCCTTCTACATCATTGCGCGTGTGTATTCAAGATACCCACGGTCGTGGCGCGGAATTGGAGGATTGGAAGGGGGAGTCAGATTACGGTTTTCATGCGAGTAGGTTGGGTGCGCATATGGCTCGAGACAGAAGAAGAAGGGGGGGTCTCGACTTGGAGATGCTTCGTTTTTTGAGGGAAAGGGGGAACATGATCTCACTTAGATGGCTGGAGCTTGATGGTTTGTTTTTTGTCCCTTGTTGGGTGGGAAAGGCATATATGGTTTTTTTTTTTCGGCCTGGCGTTTTTCCCTCATAAAGACAAGACACGTCCCTGCATAGAAATCTTTGGCATTGGAAGGGTCGCAAATGGGATGGTGCTTGGCTCATTAGGGGCCGGGGGGAGAGGAAGGCCTCCAGTCGTGCACCGTTGCTATGATCAGAAATCTCAAGTTCTATTGTTCCCCTCATGGGCAGTCTCAAAGGTACTCTGGACGATGCGTGAGCTCATCGTGTCATGTTAGACCAGTATAGCTTTATTCGAACCGTCGTCACGGGGCCCCGCGAGGAATAGTCGTTCTCTTGGGGGACGGACCAAGTGGCGTCTTGTCTTGACACTCGTAGTGCCGTTGGAGTAGGAGGTACCTACCTGATCGAGGATATGGCGAGGCTCTTGAATAACTGCTGACTGGGTCTGCATTCCTCGGGCAATCCAGTTCGGCCGAGTCATGGTCGCTGAGGCTCGGTCTCTCTTAGCTCAGGTACCGCATGCCTCGTGGAGGTTGGTGCTTTGGCCGGGCTTGACGGTTAGCCTTACGTGGCGCATACCTCACAAGAAACAAAGCAAAGCTGTCACATCCTAGACAGAGAGCATGACAAAGGGAAAGAGGAGGCTGGGACCTCGGATAGTGGCGTGGACCTGCGACCTTTTCCATGTTCTCGTTAGGCGGGTACCTGCTTTAGAGAGCTGTTCGAGGCTCCGTCTCGCGGGTGAGCCGCATCGAGCCCGGTTGTATCCTCAATGGAGGAGGATGAGAATGGACAGATGCGATTTGATAATTTTTTTCTCTATGTGAGTTGGGTTTGCATTGCGCTCTCATGTCACGGATGTGCGAGGAACTGCGTTTGAGACGAGACGAGACGGAGATCTGCAGAGAAAAGAGGCTCTGTGCTGATGTTTTCCCAGTGTTTGTTACCTGTGCTAGCGTTGAATCACTTGGGAGGAAACTCGATCCAAATTCCGGGGTTGCCATCTTGCCCGTGTCATTCGTTCGTCGTATCTTGAGATGAAGGATCGTCTCCTGCGGGACGACCAAAAAAGCAATTCGTTACAGGAAGGCCGTCCATAGGGAGATACATCACTTTCTCGTGAACGTTTTGGCACAGACTCCAGAGCCCTGCCAATCAGACCTGGAGGGCCCCCCTTGAAGAAAAAGCAAGGCGCCCTGTGGGTAATGCGGTGAGCCTCAGTGGAGAGCTTGGGGTGTACGAGGGGTGTCCTGATTTGGCGTTAGGGGTTTTTTTAGGGGAAGGGAAGGGGGGGCCCGCTACGGAGAGACACGTGGTCGGGGTGAGATCGGACGGATGGGCGATATGATTCGACGACAGCGTGTTAGCGAGCTGGCGGAGGGGGGGGGGGGGGGGACCGATCAATTATCGTCGTCCTCTGGGGTGTAGTAGCCGATGCAACAACATCAGACATCGCCCGACCAGCCAGCTGCTGCTGGACCAGGAGGCTAATAAGCTCAGCTCCATCTTTGTCGGCGCCGGGACTGATCATGTGTACGTATGCCTCAACGTAAGCACATATCTACGTGGTAGAGCAACAAACGTGGCTATCATGCCTGAGTAGCGTGTGGACTGAAGACAACATAACAACACAACACCAATACAGATATCGTGATACTGGCACCAGAGGCAATAGTGCGCATTCTGGGCTGTAGGTATTGGACAACAATCTCCCTCGGATCTGTTTTGGCTTTTGGGGGGTGCAGCATCTCAGCAGAGGTGCATTCCGGCAGGGTTGCTGCCTCGTATGCCTGTGCGATTTGTTCGAGAATCCGTGGCCCTGCTGGGATGTGTTTGAGGGCATCGTGCAAAAGGCGAAAAAGGGCAAGGGGTTTCGTCGCTGTTGAGGCCTTGCCTATTTGAGCGAGAATAAAAAAGGTCCCAAGCCCAAGCTCAACGGCCCGCATTGCTCGTTTCCCTTGCCAGGCTGTCCCCGTCGTGATACTATTTGCCGGTCAGCCCAAAGGGTTGGCCAGGGGTCCTTGTTTGGAGCTTGATGTGTTTCCCAGATCAAAGGGGGTACTTTGATATACTTTGACTTATTACATAACTTGATTAAAGCGAACCTGCTTGCCAGCTCAGCCAGCGGTTCCGCCCAGCCGCCGTGAAGACACGACAGCCGCATAAAACACAAGTCGGCAGGTAGATGGAGATATTTCTGCAGTCATCATGGGAGCGGAGCCCTTTGCAAGCGACGAAGGGTCTAATACGGTTCGCGGTTCGTAATCTTTGTGCAAAGCTCTGCGTGAGACTGGGCGTCGGGGGACGAGAAAAAGAGGAGCCTGCTCGGTGAGCGCATCACCAAGATCCGGCCTGCACTGTCCCAAGCATCCAATCCCGACCGCTGCTGAGAGCATCTGCCCGACTAGGCGCCTCTCATATCTCACCCCAGACCACTCACACCACACACAACTCGGTACTCCGTAACGTAGGTACATACTGACGCAGCCAGGCCAGCGCTGAGCCCTCATTGCTTTTCCAACCTTGTTTTAATATGCGCGAAATTGCCTGGGAACTTCGCCAATCTCCACATACGGGCTGAATAGCTGTCAAATACCGGGTCCCTTTTCCGGTGGCTTGATGAGGTGCCTTTCTGCCGGGTCGGGCCAGCTATTTTATCGGTCCTCGTAGAGAGGTTGAGGTTGAGGTTGAAAGTGACAAACAGTCGTGAGAGGCTTCGTCGATGGCCTTTGCGAAGTGCAGCTATCACGAAACTTGCACACACTGCACTGCACACTAGGTAGACGCACACACAAAAACCACACGTCTGCAATCATGTCCACCAGAATGCTGATGCGCGACTCGTAAAGTGGTGGAAGATGCCCCCAAGTCCCATCGCCCAAGACAAGGTTTTCCACGACTCAAGCATTGACAGGCTGTGGGGGGGGGGGGGGGGGGGGGGGGGGGGGGGGGGGGGATCTGTTCGCTGGCCATGTCAGAAGTACCCTGTGGTACACACCCCCCTGGAACCCCCATCAACTACCATGTCGACCCTGGACTCTCTGCCCGGAAGGATTTACCTGGGTGGTTCGCATCGGCGGGAAGCCTGTCTGACTGACTGCACGACGATTCCCGGAAAAGCCCTTCGGTTGACCAGAAGTCCAAGACAAGTCAAGCCATAGCCGGTGTGGCCCATGCCAATGCAAACACACGCTTGCCTCTCCCTGATCTGATCGGAGCCATGAAGAACAAACACTAACAGCATCCTCCGTTCTGGCTGACACTCTGCTCTTGTTCTATCGACTAAGCAGGGGGACCTCTTACTTGTACTTTAGCACAAAAGAGGCGCATTCGCTGAGTAGCCACCACTGCGCTAGGGCGGCCCACTCCAGGTCCAATCATCACCATCACCACGACGTGCACTCCTCCGCTTCTCTGGCCGCCTGGGACACAGCCGGCTCGAGTCTTTTTGTACTCCGCCCCCAGCCCACACATTGTCCGTTGTCCATCCTCATCGACAACCGACTTTCGACTTTCTCCCACCTCTGCGGCCTTGCAGCACGATCAACACCATTCCTTCCCACCTGGACCCTCTGCCGCAGATAGAGACCACCGACAAGAAATCCCGAAGCGGTCTTTCGAGAGCGGCTCAGCACGGCTCTGGACAGCAGGTTGCACAGCTCACCGACTGTGCATGATCGGAATTAAAGGACCCTGCTGGCCAAAGCTCCCGTATCTACTGTCGTCCAGTCGGGATTACACTACAACCTCACGGTTCTCGCTCCTCGTAGCAGCGCAATCGTTTCGCTGCCGCTTGCGCTTGGAAAGCCTCAAAAGCTGCTGACAGCTACCGAAGCACCCGATCCCCGACACCTTCGCGTGCCCATTCTTCAACGCCCAGCAGACAATTGGTCACCTCTCCTCCACGCGAGACCTAATTGATTACAACATCCTTCCAAACCGTGGCTGATGGGCTTGTAGGCCCAAGGTCTCGCAACCAAAAGACACTTCGTCGAAGCACGCTGTCGGCCACCCGACGCAGGCGCCGAGGTGCCTCTATAGTCCACGGCATACACTAGTCGAGCCATTTCTTGTTAGCTTGGCCAAACCGCAAACATGGGAGCCTGCATGAGCTCGAGCAGTGAGGAGGCGGAGCAGAAGAAGAGGAGCCAGAAGATTGACAAGGACTTGGAGGAGGATTCAAAACGACTACGGAGGGAATGCAAGATTCTACTACTAGGTACGTCGCATCTCTCCAGAGCTCCCATCTCATCATGCTCCCCTCCACACACATGCGCTGACATGGGACCCAGGGTCTGGTGAATCGGGCAAGTCGACAATTGTCAAGCAGATGAAGATCATCCACCTGAAGGGGTACTCGGAAGACGAGCTTTACAACTACAGACCCACCGTCTACAAGAATCTGATGGAGTGTGCCAAAGCGGTCATCAATGCTATGCGCCAGTTCGACATTGAACCCCAGATTGAGGGGAACAAGGACTTGTGCGACTTCCTTCTCGACTACACGGTCGACACGGGGCCGCAGTCACAAATAGACCCCAAGGTCGGGGAGGCAGTCCAGGCCATATGGAATGACCCTGCCCGTGAGCAACTGATGGACAGGCAAACAGAGTTCTATCTGATGGACTCGGCCGAATAGTGGGTGAAGGCTGTCCCCAACCCCGCGAGAAGTCCATGCTGACCCAAACATCAAGTTTCTTCCAAGAAGCCGAGAGGATTGTCCGTCCAGACTACCTACCAAACGAGATGGATGTGCTCCGGGCGAGAACAAAGACCACTGGTATCTATGAAACCCGCTTCCAGATGGGCCAGCTTAGTATACAGTAAGCTTTTCACGATCTCACCCAGCGAGTGGAGCTCCTCGAGGCTGACTATACAACACAGCATGTTCGATGTGGGTGGTCAGAGGAGCGAGAGGAAGAAGTGGATCCACTGCTTTGAGAATGTCACATCTATCATCTTCTGTGTCGCCCTTAGCGAGTACGACCAAGTCCTGCTTGAAGAGAGCAGCCAGGTAGGCCTATTTGCAGGACCGACACTTCCTACCAAGCAACGCTAACTCTGTGTAGAACCGTATGATGGAGAGTCTACTACTCTTCGACTCTGTTGTCAACTCCAGGTGGTTCATGCGAACCAGTATCATCCTCTTCTTGAACAAGGTGGACATTTTCAAGCAGAAATTGAGCAGGTCACCGTTGGGCAACTACTTCCCGGACTACTCAGGGGGCAACGATGTCAACAAGGCTGCCAAGTACCTCCTGTGGCGGTTCAACCAAGTCAACCGGGCTCATCTCAACCTCTACCCACAGTAAGTGCTCCCACCAACTTTCCTGGAGAGATGGGCAGGCCCATTGACAGAACACCAGTCTCACGCAAGCTACCGACACATCGAACATTCGACTCGTCTTTGCTGCCGTCAAGGAGACGATATTGAACAACGCGCTTAAGGACTCGGGCATTCTTTGATTTCGGTTGCATATCGACGACTCCCCACTCCCATTTTCTCCTCACTCGTTCTTCCGACGTGCAAGCACGCCCAACACCTATCTGTGTTGTCGAAGTATCCAGCATTACCTGGCGTTCCGGACTGATTTTCTGACCTGGGCTGCAACGATGTTTTGTGCCGTTGCTGAGCACGACGGCTGCTCCGTTATACCTCTTTGTCTGCTTGGCTTTTGTGATTTCCTGTGTTTTCATCTGGCGCGGTTGGTAGCGAAAGGCGAGCGAGCGGTCTCGGCTTACTCGCTGTCAGAGATAACAGCAAGAGGGGGGCGGGCCCTAGGCATCTGGCACTGCTAGGGAACCTCCAAGACATTGCGGCGGCGATATCTTGACGACTGTCAAGTGACTACGAGCTCAATATACTGGCGCGATCGGGCGACTTCTTGTTTGGTTTTATGGTCTCGCGAGGCCTACGAGATGGTCGGCAGGACAGCACTGATTGTCCGATACAGATGGAAGATATGATTTATGCCCGGCTCGGAGCAGGTGGACAAGGGCAAAGATTCTGGCATTGTGCGCTGCTTGTTAATATACAGGGTACTACCTCTCTCAACTACCTTATTGTCAGGTCGACAACGGACCAGGCATAACTGGGGTTCGTTGAACCCTTAGACGAGCATTGGGAAAATGGCAGGCCGTGCTTGAGCCCAGATGAGATGCATTATCTTATTTTATACTACAGAAGTCACCAGATGGATTCATTTGCACAGATTACATGTTTCTTTGACGTTGACTCTCCCGTCTTGAGCAATGTCTACCAGATCACGGTACTTGGAAGGAGGATGAGCCTCTGTCGGCATACCAGAAAATACTTGTAGCAAGGATGAGTAACTAAAGGGAGCTTGCATCTTGTTGCGGCATCTACAGTGGCGGGATTTCTCCCAAACCTGGAGGTGCATTTAGAGGGTGAATCCTGCCGCCGCACAAGGACTCGAAGCTAACAATGTACAATTACGTCCCAACCGCCTCATCCCGTCCGGGGTTGTCTGTGCGGTGTGCGATTCTTCTCCACAAGTTTCACGACAAACGACGAGGACAACGACGTCAGGCTAGTTCGGTGGGGGTTTGTCGTTGCTGCGGGGCGATGGGGTTTGGTCCAAGGGCACATAGTGGGCTCGGCTTGGATCAGGGCACTACTGACTGGTAGTACCAAGACAACTAGCTGGCGAAATAACATGATGTTAAGCTTGCTATTTTTGCGCATAGCATCCTACATAGAGTCGAGCGTGCGCGCCTCGAGTAAGTCAGTAGCGAGCAAGTACCTAAGTCAAGTCGGTCCGCACGCGTGGCGGGGACGCCGGTACCTGACAGTGCTCATGTGTTGGACCTGGCTAGCCTTTGGGGGATTGGAGCTCTAGCCGTTCCCGCGCGCTCCATTCAACGATGGATTTCTTCCATCTCGCCAGAATGAGGGTTTCGGCGAGGAATGTCGCGTCTGCACCGGCAAGTGCGACAACCGTCGCCCTACGCAATGCCACCATAGCAATCCGTCAGATGCGGCCTCCCCTCCCCCAAATGACAACTGAGCACCCGGCTGTCAAGTGGCCTCCTTGTTTCTTCCCGATGCAAGAAGACTGCAGATGTGCAGAAGACCAATATGCACCACTCGCCGGCATCCCAATCGCTGATTGTGACGGTAGCCCATGTCTTGGAACAAGCAGCTGGGAAGGTGGGCATCATCGGCATGTACGAAGGAGCAACAGCAGCAAGCAGCAACTCCAACGTCTTCTTGCCCGTCCAGACGAGACACCAGATGATCCCCCGCACTCTCCAAACCCACTTGTGATCCTCCCGTCGTCAGTCGTCATCAGTCTTCCTCGAGCTTGCAGTAGTGTGGCACCGGATAGCACCATTTCTCATCTGCGAGCCATCATCGACCATCACCATCATAGAGCTCGACGCAAGTGAATTGGACTGGTCAACCCAAGGCTCGCGCCGTTCCGATCATTGGTACCCCAGACTCTCCATCCTTGATCAAGCACTCACTGGACGCCCGGTCTGGCTCTCTGTAGAAACAACCTGTCCGTCCCTATGCTCAACGGCAAAGATATCTGGCTCGAGTCTGGCTCCCTAAAATCTCCTCAACCGTAGTTAAGCCGCAGCAGGTCCACATCTGGCCTGGCCAAGAGCCCTGTGGCGCGCACACGCATAACGAGACGAGGACACCACTTCGGCCAGAGACCCTCGAGGTCACAAGCAAGCGGTGCTGCCGACGTGCGTCTGTGGTGTGCAAGGTTGTGGTCTCAGTTGGCTGGCTCCAGTGCTGGGATTCCTTGGGTTGGTTGATCAACCACGCAGCAGAAGTGCCCCACCCGGTTGCCATCCGGGCTTATCTCGACGTGCTAGACACCACTCAACGCCGGCTCGTGTCAAGCGGTTGCTCCAGCTCGCTGCCAAAAGCTCCACCAAGCTACAAGCTACTTGCGCTGCTGCCCCTCCTTCCAGTCTCCAAGTTTCATGGTATATAATTCATGATTCTCCCTCGCAACGCCTACACCGTCTCCCCCTTTTATACTTTGCTCCTCAGCTGATATCCACGACAGCTCCGAGACCCTTAGTATCTTCATTCAGTATTCCAGAGCCCTAGATCACAACCTCCTCCGCAATGGCCGCCGAGAGACTGCCAACGAGGGAACGCCGCCCGTCCACTGGAGCTCCCATTGTGGAGATCCAGGGAGCTGTCGGTCCTGCGGGCATCACCCGCCCCAAGCACAAGCGCACCTTTACTGGCTTTGGTGCTGGCGAGATCAAGAGCGTCGAGGGTGAGTTGCTGCCTCCTCCCGCCATCGCCTTTTCCTTTGCGGTTCCCTCGGGGGGAATTCGCGCATCCTGTCTCTGCCACGCGTGTCTTTTCGGCGTGGCCGGATGGATTGGCTCGAGGTACCTCCTGGGCGGATAGCACGTCCAATGCGGGACCCTCCCCAAGAAAGCACCCCACCAGAGCTCGTAGCTGATGATCCGTGATCGCACTTACAGCTTCCATCCCCGAACCCCAGCGCGACGCCTGGACCAAGCACCAGGTCAATGGCTTCAAGAACAAGGACGAGTTCGAAAATGAAATGGTTCGCCATGTCGAGACGACGCTGGCCCGAAGCATGTTCAACTGCGACGAGTCTGCGGCCTATTCAGCTGCCAGCCTCGCTTTTCGCGACCGCCTCATCCTCGAGTGGAACAGGACCCAGCAGCGCCAGACCTTTGCCGACAGCAAGAGGGTCTACTATCTCAGTTTGGAATTCCTGATGGGCAGGGCTCTCGACAATGCCATGTTGAATATCGGTCTCAAGGATGTCGCCAAAGGTCGGTCGAAGTGGTTGCTAACACAAACCAAATTTTCCAATTTCCCCTTGGCCGTGAGGACAAGCGAGACTGACTGTACGTCGCAGCCGGTCTGTCTGATCTCGGATTCCGTGTCGAAGACATCATCGAGCAGGAACACGATGCTGCCCTCGGCAACGGAGGTCTCGGCAGACTTGCCGCCTGTTTCCTCGACAGTCTTGCGTCCTTGAACTACCCCGCCTGGGGTTATGGCCTGCGCTACCGGTACGGTATCTTCAAGCAGGAGATTATCGATGGTTACCAGGTCGAGGTCCCCGATTACTGGCTCGACTTCAACCCCTGGGAGTTCCCCCGTCACGACGTGACTGTTGATGTAAGGACTTGAGACTGTTACCTCGATCTCCGGTTTCCACCCCCTTGCCCTTGCTGACCCATATCCTGTCCTCAGATTCAATTCTACGGCAATGTCCGCAAGTCTCAGGATGACAACGGCAGGACAACCGCCCACTGGGAAGGCGGCGAGATGGTCAAGGCCGTCGCCTACGACGTTCCCATTCCCGGCTACGCAACCCCTTCCACGAACAACCTCCGCCTGTGGTCCAGCAAGGCAGCCAGCGGCGAGTTCGACTTCCAAAAGTTCAACAGCGGCGAGTACGAGAGCTCGGTCGCCGACCAGCAGAGAGCCGAGACCATCAGCGCGGTCCTGTACCCCAACGATAATCTCGAGAGGGGCAAGGAGCTCCGTCTGAAGCAGCAGTACTTCTGGGTTGCTGCTTCGCTTTACGATATCGTTCGTCGCTTCAAGAAGACAAAGCGCTCATGGAGGGAGTTCCCCGACCAGGTGGCCATCCAGCTGAACGACACCCACCCGACTCTGGCCATTGTCGAGCTCCAGCGCATCTTGTGCGATCTTGAGGGTCTTGATTGGGACGAGGCCTGGAATATTGTTCAGCAGACCTTTGGCTACACCAACCACACTGTTCTTCCCGAGGCTCTGGAGAAGTGGCCTGTCGGTCTGATGCAGCACCTTTTGCCCCGCCACCTTCAGATCATCTACGACATCAACCTCTACTTCCTGCAGAAGGTCGAGAGGGCCTTCCCCAATGACCGCGACATCCTTAGGAGGGTGTCCATCATTGAGGAGTCGCAACCCAAGATGGTCCGCATGGCGTACTTGGCCATAGTAGGCTCCCACAAGGTCAATGGTGTCGCCGAACTCCACTCGGACCTGATCAAGACCACCATCTTCAAGGACTTTGTCGAGATCTTTGGCCCGGACAAGTTCACGAACGTGACCAACGGTATCACCCCTCGCCGGTGGCTCCACCAGGCCAACCCTCGTCTGTCGGAGTTGATCTCCTCTAAGACCGGCAGCTTTGACTTCCTCAAGGACCTCACTCTCCTAAACAAGATCGAGCTCTGCATCAATGATAAGGCCTTCCGCAAGGAGTGGGCCGAGATCAAGTATGCAAACAAGGTGCGCCTCGCCAAGTACATTAAGAGCACGACCGGCGTTGTGGTCAACCCGTCATCTCTGTTCGACGTGCAGGTCAAGCGTATCCACGAGTACAAGCGTCAGCAGATGAACATCTTCGGTGTCATCCACCGATACCTCACGCTGAAGGCCCTATCGCCCGCGGAGCGCAAGAAGCAGATGCCTCGCGTCTCCATCTTTGGTGGCAAGGCTGCTCCTGGCTATTGGATGGCCAAGCAGATCATTCACTTGATCAACAACGTTGGCGCAGTCGTCAACAACGATCCTGATATCGGCGACCTGCTCAAGGTCATCTTCCTGGAGGACTACAATGTCAGCAAGGCTGAGATGATCATCCCGGCCTCGGACATCAGCGAGCACATCTCGACTGCAGGCACCGAGTAAGTAACAGCTTCTTTGCTGAGCGCGGTACCCCTGAAATAGAACCAACCACTAACGAGTTGATAGGGCTTCTGGAACCAGCAACATGAAGTTTGTACTAAATGGCGGTCTCATCATCGGTACCTGCGACGGTGCCAATGTAAGTCACGAACCCACCTCCGTGGCGGAGAGTCATCATATATCTAACATGCCTAAAGATCGAGATTACCCGCGAGATTGGCGAGAACAACATCTTCCTCTTCGGCAACCTTGCCGAGGATGTCGAGGATCTCCGACACAACCACACCTACGGCTCGCACTCGGTCGACTCTGACCTGGCCAAGGTCTTTGAGGCTATCGAGAAGGGCACGTTTGGTGAGCCGCACGATTTTGCCGGCATGATCTCGGCGGTCCGCGACCACGGTGACTACTACCTGGTCTCGGACGACTTCCACAGCTACATCGAGACGCACCACCTTGTGGATGAGTCGTACCGCAACCAGGACGAGTGGATCACCAAGAGCATTACGAGCGTGGCGCGCATGGGCTTCTTCAGCAGTGACCGCTGTATTAACGAGTATGCGGAGGGCATCTGGAACATTGAGCCACTGCCCGTCGAGAGCAAGGACGGTGTTGCCAAGGGCGAGCTGTAGGGCACTGACGAGGCATGAGTTGACTGTTCACTATCCCGACCTCCTTCAAAGAGGCTCCAGATTCCAAACCCCATACCCATCCATGGGGAGGGCACTTTTTCCTTCCGCGGATATTTGCGTCGGAAGGCAGGCAGGCAGGCATTACAAGAACACACACAGAGGTACATAATTCACGAGTAGCCTATTCCTTTTCAGTCTGAGTCAATGGAATATTCTTAGTTTGTAAGTCTGCCTTTGTTGTGTTACGGGATATCATCGTGTGCATTTCATGCTCAATGTGCAGGCTTAGCGGGCGCTATGGCAAGAGGAATCTTGATCGCCCAAGCTGTCCCCTCTCCTCCACGAGCCCGCTCGCTGTACTCCAAAAAACGCGGGGGTTGCTCGGGTACATCAGGCGGGAATGACATCAGAGAGGCTATTTCGAAACAGAACTCGACAAGACGTGCCGAGGGCAAAGAAGCGGTCAGGATCAAAATAAGCTTGCTTTGGCCCCCGGAAGACACAACCCGCGGCACACATAGGTCTAGAATTGCTTTTGACGGCGGCACTAGGTAGCGAGGGGACGTTGGGGGGTGGGGTAGATTTGTTTGATATCGTTGCATTATTACCTTGACGAGCTTGAGTATCTGTACAAAAGTATGTAGGTATGGAAGAGGTGTTCTCTCCTTCGTAAGCACTTACCTGACGAAAGAGGACTGGCTTGTATTTTGTTCTGGGTTTTAACTAACTAGCGTCGGTGATGTCATGGTGCAGGGCTTGGTTCTCTGCGGGATCGGGCAGACCTGCTTTGAGTTGTGCTTCCCCGAGTCATATGTGCCAGCCAATCGGTGTGAGTATGTATGGGCTTGAGTGCAGAGAGTGAACGGTCACGATGTGTAGAGCAGATGCAAAAAGGGGGGTTTGCCCATGTGCAGAGGAGATGGTATTTTTCACTAATGACTGTCGATGGGCTGTGTAAAGAAGGTTAACAAGGTTCGGGTGCCTGTCTATCACTTTTGGCCATCTTTGGGAATGGGGACCCAGAGCATCACCTTGATCCCCAGTAAGGGTAACAGCAAGAACGGCGATCAGAGGGGCGGGATGGGATGGAGGGGGGCTCCCAAGGGAGGGGGGACCGAGCCGCGACGCGCCGCGAGGACAATGGCACGGCAGTCGTAGGTTGGTTGTCTATCTCTTGAGAGTATCTTTATTTTTGGAAAACCCCAGAGGGAACGCCCATATCAGCGTTCGAGATGCCGCAGCTAGGGCGTTAGAAGGAACGTCTGGTGATCCTTATTACTGGCACTAACAGCAAGCTGGGCGAGCCAGGGATCGGGGATCTTCGATCTCGATCTTTACAAGATCTGTAGGTAGCATCCATAAATGATCAAGATCGGCCAAGGTAGATTCATTACCCTTTGATATTGGGGACGGTCAACAAGTTTCTCTGCTGAGGGGAGAATGCGAATCGTGGCTTGTGCGTTGGGATGTCTCAAGGAATGTAGAGCTGTGCAGTTCCTGAATATCACTTGACCACGAGGGTGTGTTACAGCTATCTACCTAGGTAGGTAGGTACGCTGAGGGCTGCGGTTCTTGTGATAGGCCGCGGCATCAAGCCATCTCGTTCGTTTTGATGCACAAAGTCAACAGCGAATCAATTGGAATTCTAGCCAGCGTGACCAAATGAAGGATCGCGTGATTCGTCTGAGAAGGAAGGCCAGTGCTAAGGACAGGGGGCACAAAGCCTGGCCCTTTGACTTGGTTGCATCGGGATGTATCGAACAGCACAAAAGCCATCGCGGGAATCGTCGATGGTGCACCAGTTTGGCGATGTTGGGAGAAAGTGGGGGAATGAATACCTGGCAATTTCTTTTTTCTTCGCCTCTGCTGCTGTGGCTTGCTTTTTTTCGAGGCCTCGGAGGGGGTTGATATCGCTGACGTCATGCCGCTGTTTGGGCAAGAATCCCAAGAGCTATCTCCTTTGGTACCTTGAGGCTAACAGACAGACAGAAAGAGAGCCAAAACGGACGGATCTGGAAGATTACTGAACAAAAACCCTAGCAGGTCGGCGAAAGGGCCGTGATGGGGAACTCAAAAATATTGGCTAGAAGCTGGATGCCGAGGAGGGAATCTGGATAAAAACGGGACATTGGGTTGGTTAGCGTTTCGGGAGTGTGGCAGCATGGCAGCATGGTTCGAGACACGTATGTCCAGTCACAAGCTGGCTACTCAGTCACCTGCTGTAGCGTCGAGACGGGCCGGACAAAAGCTCCGGAGGATCCAGACTGGGCACGGCGCGAGCTCATAGGTGGAGGGTGGTGCATGGGCTGGGCAATTCTCACAAGGTGCATAACCAACGGGCTGCGACAAACGGTGAGTGCACGGGCAAGGCCCCAGGACCAGGAGTCGTGCAAAGCCCTAGGTAAAAGAGCGTTGGCATGTAAGATCCGGGATGCGGGATGCGCTATGGTGTTGGTCGCGAAACACCCGGCAAGCAGAGGCACAGACTGACGGGATTACAGGCAGAAAGTGGCACGCCGGAACATCGGAAGACTGCCTCTAACCAGCAAGTTCGTATGGAGAGACAGCGATAGCATCCTGCGATATCGTCCTACCTAGAGAGTAGTCAAGGTGGTGAAGCACCCGAGATAAGTGACCATAATATGGGAAGCCGTACCGACAGCGTATGGTCTCTCGACTGCTAGTTCGTTATCCGTTTCGGACCACCTAAATAGAGTGCATGTCCCTAGGTACTCCGCACCATTTTAAGGCCCAGGCACCGCACCGCCTCACCGTAACGATCACAAGCCCCGTCTGCATGCGTGTTATCTTGCCAGGTACCACCACCACCCTCTGTCCGGCTCGCTTTTACCATCTACGCCTCCGTTTCTTCAATTGTTCGCGACGCCTTCAGTACCCCGCTCTCCAAGCTGGTCGGTCCATGTCTGTTGTCTCCCAACTTGTCTGCCCAGCTTGTCTGCAATTCCAGCCAGGGACAGAAACAGGAACAGGAAGCCCATATTTCTGCAGAGGACCCAGCGCCACGGCTCCATCTGATTCCTCTCTTTCTCCGAGTCCCATTACGTCGTTTCTCCATCATTCTTACTTCTATCCTGCATCTTCTCCCTCCTCGACAACTCTGGGTTTCCCATCTCGGCTTTTCATCGAATTCCCCCAAGCTCGTGGCGGTGCATCCTTCACAGTTGTCTTGCCTCGAACAAACTCTCTCCACCGAAGGCAGGCAGTGAGTGGTACAAGTGTGCCTAACAGCTGCCACCAAGCGGGTTTACACTCCGGGTCAAGGTTCACTTCGGCCCTGTCACAGAGAGGGCAAAGTGGGGTATCCCATCGAGATCCTCGTTCCTGCACTCGCTCTCCCTCACCTCTCCCCATCTCCAAAGGCAAACAAAACCGTGCCCAGCTGTTCTAGAACATCCTCTGCACGCTGGACAGTCAGTCTCCTGTGTGTTGCCAGTGTCAAAAGTCCTTTTGCGCCTCTCGAGAACCTCGATTCGCTACAAAGCTACTGCAAGCTCGGCCTCTGGAAGTAGTAGAGATCACCCTACAATACACTCCGAAGACCACACGCAAGCCACACCTACCGTTGCTCGAGGCGGCATTCCTACTGGGCTGCCATTGCCAATCACAAAGGTACTTTGCTCTCATAACTTGATTTTTTCGCGTTGCCCATCACCGATCGGACGCCAGCGGTAAGCGCCGCCCTGGTGTCCGCCCCTTGCTCTCCCCCAAGAGACAGTCTTGCGCACTCTTATCACCTCCGCGGCAACCCTTCCCACTCACCACCCATACCCCTCGCCAGTTGACACGAGCTAATCGAAACCACCTGCTTGCCCTTCTCTAGACCTGCGAAGCACGAGTTCTTCAAGAGCTCTTCAGGCTTACCCTGCCACCCGGAACCGCAGCAGCATCACTCGTTCTTGCTGTCTTACGTTCGACAACTACGAGGCCCGTAGCCTTACAACCCGTGCTTTGCCTCTGCCCCTCTCCACGTCTTGAAGACTTTGCGCCTTGTCAATAAAGCTTCTTCCTCGGGCAGATCCCCTTTCCAGCTCTTGAACAGGCTATTCCCAGCAATCCGCAATCCACTGGGAACTCTCTGTCTTTCTGGCTATTCTTACAATTGCGTTCGTCTAACGACCAAGCACCCTCACCTCATCCAGGATGGCGGAATTCGTACGAGCCCAGATCTTCGGAACAACTTTCGAGATTACTTCTCGGTTAGATAACTCAGGGTCGCTGTCGGAGGTGTCTCGACTAATTTGGCCTCTAGATACTCCGATCTTCAGCCCGTTGGCATGGGCGCTTTCGGATTGGTTTGGTGAGTGTTCAACGGCCTGTATGGACTACGTAGAAGTAGAGTCGCTGACCGATTACCTGCGAACTAGCTCCGCTCGCGACCAGCTCACGAATCAGAACGTCGCCATCAAGAAGATCATGAAGCCTTTCAGCACTCCAGTTCTCGCCAAGCGCACATACAGAGAACTGAAACTCCTGAAGCACCTGAGGCACGAGAATGTAAGTGACAGACCCATATCTGAAAGCGATAGATGGGCTAACGGTCTTTTGAAGGTCATCTCTCTCAGCGACATCTTCATCTCGCCTCTTGAGGACATGTATGCATATATCCTTCCCTTTCTCAGGCCTGTCGGTCTGGCGCTATTGAGGCTGACACATCGTTTCCAGCTACTTCGTAACCGAGCTACTCGGCACCGATCTGCACCGACTTCTGACTTCGAGGCCTCTTGAGAAGCAGTTCATCCAGTACTTCTTGTACCAGATCATGGTATGGTTGATACGCCGTCATGCGCCTGATGCCATTTTGGCTTGGCTAACTGGATGCGCTCGCAGCGAGGCTTGAAATATGTCCATTCGGCGGGCGTTGTTCACCGTGACTTGAAGCCCAGCAACATTCTGGTCAACGAGAATTGCGACTTGAAAATCTGCGACTTCGGCCTGGCGCGAATCCAGGACCCTCAGATGACCGGCTATGTCTCTACGCGGTACTACCGGGCTCCCGAGATCATGCTTACCTGGCAAAAGTATGATGTCGAGGTCGATATCTGGAGTGCCGGCTGCATTTTCGCAGAAATGCTCGAGGGAAAGCCCCTCTTCCCCGGCAAGGACCATGTGAACCAGTTCTCCATCATTACGGAACTCCTGGGGACGCCTCCGGATGACGTGATCAACACAATCGCTAGCGAAAACGTGAGCAGTTTGGAAACCTGAAGTTGGACAAGACAGTAGGACGCTAACAAGACGGGGTAGACCTTGAGATTCGTCAAGTCGCTTCCCAAGCGAGAGAGGCAACCTCTGAGAAACAAGTTTAAGAACGCAGATGACTCAGGTGAGAAGCACTTCACATGACGGTATGGCGAAGAGGAGATCACAGAATTAATTGTGGGCAGCCATCGATCTCTTGGAGCGCATGCTGGTGTTCGACCCTAAGAAGCGGATAACAGCCACCGAAGCCCTGTCGCACGACTATCTTGCTCCATATCACGACCCGACCGATGAGCCTGTGGCCGACGAGAAGTTTGACTGGAGCTTTAACGACGCAGACCTTCCCGTGGATACCTGGAAGATCATGATGTGAGTCAACGTCTCCGGTGGGACACATGTGCACTCTGTGTCGGCTCATCTAACCTCTGTCTGAAGGTACTCGGAGATTCTCGACTACCACAATGTCGAAGCCAATGTTGCGCAGATGGAGGACCAATTCAACAACGGCCAATAGGTTCTCGAATTGGCAGTTCCACAAAGGACAGAATGACGCTTGGTCCTCGAATTTATGCTACATGTTCTCGCAAGACTGCTTGCACCCCTTCGACGAAACGCTTCTAGAAGTCTGGGTTATGGGCGCGTGTAGATAAGTCCACATCAGGGGATCCGGGAAGAGTACCTTGGAGGATAGACTCGCGAGTACGGAGTCATTTGCGGCATGACAGAAGCGTTTGGTTGAGCGGTAGACTGGGCTGGCGCAACTTGGTTATACTATGGGCGAAAGAGGATAATAAGCGGAGAGCAACGGACGTGGTGCATCGCGGCCGAGCGAGGTTTCGAATGAAAGATTTCCCCTGGCAACAAACGAACGAGGCGTTCAGTATACAGACGGCAAGCTTGGACGGTTTTTTCCCTGTGTGAAGTGGGCAAAATATGGAAGCTCTTGTTCTCATCGCTGAGGAGTTAGGGGCGCAGCGAAATCATTTCTTTAGAAAACAAAATAGATCGGGGACAGCGCTCCCGTTATCTGTTACCGCGGTGTCTTGTGACGGCATTGCCATTGTGCGTGTATGATCCGCGCAGCCTGTGTGGTCTTTTGCAATTTTGCCGAGGGCTGACTCTCTCTTGCTCGTCGCATCAATTGACTGGAGAGTGGAGAGTTGGCGATGGGCTTGCCGTTGACAGGCGGCTACGCAGATATACTTACGAGATCAGGGCACGCAAGTCCTTTGACAAATCTTTGGTCAACGAGAAGCCAGGGACAGGGACAGGGAAGCCACGGAGTACTCCGTACGAGTCGATCGCAGCTGGCGAGGTTCAAGGATACGATATGGATCACAGCAGAAGACTTGCGAAATGAGGCTGCTGGAATGTCGGCACATGGACGGGACCCCTTTACCAGCTCTCCCCCCCCCCCCCCCAGCCGCTATCCAGATCCAGGGTCCCGGATGGAAATTTGATATGGATCAATTAAGCCCCAGTGGCGCGTAACTAGGTACCTAACCCGCTTGGAGGGGGGGAAGGCAGCTGCTAAGAAGAGCTGCTAAGAACACAGCTAGTTACCTACTGTGTTAAGAATCCAGCTGGTGTGTTAAGGTAATTAAGTGGTTTCAGCACTAGACAACGCATCGCGCCCCGCTGGACGCACGAAGTAGCGCGTGGTGGTGGCTCGACCAAGCCTTGGCTGGTGTGCTAGTAGCAGAAAAAGATATATGCTGGGCATATCACAACTTCACCATGACGGCATTCCAGCACAGGAGCTTCTTCTTCTTCTCCTCCTCCTCCTCCTCCTCCTCTTCCCTCCACCCTTCAGACCAACATTGATTGATTGCAACCCGAGCGGGCATACTCGACGAGCGCTAGCTTGGAACCGTTCCATGGAATCGCCTTGGGAGGAAAGTCAAGGCCGCGACTGACTGGCCCAGCTTGACAGGGCGCAATCAGCCAACTACACCTCTTCGCCGTCCCTTGCCTCATCGGCTATCCGGAGGCCATGGCCACGACCGCCGCCGCTCAGGGCGCGAATGGCGCCGAGAAGCCCGCCTCTTCTGTAGATGGCAAGAGCATCAATGGCGGGTTCATACCGCTTGTCTGCGTCGTCGACTTCCACCATGCGCGCGGCCCCGAGGTCGAGAGGTGGTTCGGGGCTCCGGAAGGGACCGATCCCGCCGTCGACAACGACTGGTCATTGCTGCCCTTCATGGCGCTCAGCGATGGTGCCCACGCGTGAGTTCTGCTCTTTGGGGGCGTGTAGACGAGATCCGAATTGACTGACTCTGAGAACCCTAGGTCTACCGAGGACTTCTCCTACTTCACCCTCCTCAAGCCCTACTCCGAGTCGGCCCCCGCGACCTCCCTCTTTGGCATATCGTGCACGAGGCAGATGGACGCCTCGCAGCTGCTCAACCGGCCGCCCGAGGTGACGCGCTCGACGGTGCAAAAGGCCGTCGTCGTCATCGCCGACACGCCCCAGTTCTTCGGCATGCTGCGGGAGCGGCTGAGCGTCGTGACGAGCGCCTGGTTCGCCCAGCGCGAGTTCGCCGACGTCGAGATCCTGCGGCGCTTCCAGGAGAGCCTGGCCGACGAGAAGGAGCGGGGCGTGCTCAGCGAGGACGACGACCGGGACCAGTACCTGGGCATGAGCCTGCGCGAGCTGGTCCGCGAGTTCAAGTGGCAGACCCTCGTGCTGCTCAAGTGCTGCCTCTTGCAGCCCAAGGTGAGTTTCGTGTGATGATGTCTCGCGTGGACATTTTTGCTATTATACCAACCACCCTTCACCATCATCATCATCAAACGGCGGCCGCGCACACATGCTGATGTCTTGAGGGCCTAGATGCTTTTCTTTGGATCTCGATGTGAACGGCTGTGCATGATGCAGTTTTCCTTGATATCTTTGATACCCGGCCTGTTGCGCAACCTGCAAGACTGCGCCGGCCCCGAGCTCAACGAGTACGCAAAGAGGTTGACCAGACCGACGAGCCTGCGGACTAGTGACCGGAACTCCTTGCTCTCGTACATGGGCCTTCCTCTGCAGATTTTCGCCCAAGTAAGTTCTGCCATCTAAGGTTCCCCAACAGCATCCTTTTATATACTTCGTCCATGCTGAATGATGGCCAGGGAAGCTTGTTTGGGCCGTATACCCCTCTGCAGCAATTGGATATCCTAGCAGACTTCGGCACCAAGTCTTACATAGTGGGCAGCACCAACTCGCTGCTACTGCAGCAGCGGGATCGATATAGTGATATCCTCATCAATCTAGACGACAACACCGTCAACATCTCCTCGCCCTCTCTGAAAGCTGCTCTGCAGCTGTCTGTTCCCGATAGGCGCTGGATCGACTTCATCGCCCAAGAAGTTAATGACACTTGGGATGACGCCAATCCCGGCCGGCCCAAGACCATGGGCTACCGGGGCAGCGAGGAGTTCATCCGCCTGCAGTTCGAAGAGTATCTGCTGTCTCTGATATCCTCCGTCAAATACCACACTTACCTCCTGGCGCACGCCGGCAACCCGAAGATGGCCCTGCCGCACATCGAGGGCGACCCGTCGGCGGACTTTGGGCACGAGTTCGTCGACTACTGGATGCGCACCGAGAACTACCGCCTGTGGTCGGCCAACACGGACTCGCACCTGTTCGACATCGTCGAGCCGAAGCACCCCTGCGCCGGAGGGCTCACCATCGACGACGTCCAGCGCCGGATCAGCCAGCAGGTCCAGGACCTGCACCTCGACGAGCGCTTCGCCGTCGGCCGGGAGGCGCTGGGCCGCAACATCGCCGCGGGCCGCGAGAAGGCGTCGACCATGTTCAACAAGCTGTACGCCGACATGGAGGCCCTGCGCGAGTCGCAGCGGAGAAAGGCGGAAGAGCACCAGATGGAGAAGGAGAAACAAGCGGCGGCGGCGGCGGCGGCTGGAGGAGGAGGAACGGGGATGCAGCACAACAACGGCAACCACCACGAGCGCAACGGCTCGGCCTTTGCGGCCGTCGACATCGGCAAGGCGCAGCAGACGGTGCAGTCGGTCGGGTCCCGGGCCGGCGCGTACCTCGGGAGCTGGGCCAGCTGGGCCGGCGAGAAGCGCAAGGCCGCCGGCTGGGGCCGTCCGGCCTCGGGCGCCTCCACCCCGACGACGGCGACGTCGGCGTCCGGAGGTGGCGGGTGGGGGTTCGGCGTCGTCGGCGGCGGCGGCGGCAGGAACAAGAGGTCCACGATGAGCAGCACGACCACCACCGAGACGGCCTCGGACCGGGACTTTATGCTGGCGAGCCCGCGCATGTCCATCTCGAGCGGCGTGAGCGAGGCCGGCGGCGACCGCGCGTCCCGCTCGCCGATGATGATGCGCGAGTCGTTTGGCGGCGGCACGGCGGGAGGAGGAGGAGTCGACACGGCGGCCACGACGCCCCAGACGGCGAGGCCCCTGTCTGGCGGCGAGGGCGGCCCGGCCTCCTCTCCTGCGGGCACGGCGACGAACAGCATCGACGCCGCCCTGCTGGCCGAGAGGAACAAGAACAAGCCGCTGCCTGCGGCGGTCGAGAAGCCCCTCCCCCCCGTCGTCGAGAAGGAGTTGCCCCTGCCCGTCCCCGCGGATGACGACGATCAAGGCAAGAAGGCGAAAGAGGTGGTGGAGGACGACAAGAGCCATGTGCCTGAGAAGCTTCCCGAGGAGAAGGCCGCCGTCGAGCAGACTACTACTACTACCGCCGTCGACGTGGGATCCAAGGAGAACAACAACAACCCTCCTCCTGTCGAGGAGCACGAGCAGCAGCAGGGAGCGGGCACGAAGGAGGAGGAGGAGGTCAATGAGCGCGAGGAGGAAGAGGAACACGATGACGAGCTCAGGAAGGAGAAGAAGACAGGGGAGGGAGGAGGAGAAGATGCGCCCAAGCCGGCCGGTTCCAAAGTAATTCTTAGACCCTGATGATGATGTAACGTCTATTTAATGGATTAACGAGTTCCAAAACTACGCTTCCTCGGATGCTGTCAAGGCGTACCACCTGATACATCTATCTTCGCCACAGTCTGTACGAAAAAAAGATATCTTCTCAGGGAGGGACATTGTTTCTCAAGGTCAAGAGTTATGCGTGACATTGCATGTCTATTTGTACAAATCTAGCCTTGTGGCAGTGACAGAGAAACGCTTGTGGGAGGCGCTTCCTTTCTGGTTCACAATCTCAACCTCCAGGTCTCGACTGGCCCCCGTCATAATTTCCCAAGGGTACTGGGTTCCCTCGTCCACTCCTTCCATATAGTTAGATCTCATACCAAGTCTTTTGAACTTGCTCCATGTGTTGGACATTATCTCCTTCTTGTCTTTTCCTTCCTTTCAAACCCCCCCAGAAAAAAAAAACGCACACTTGGCTACCGAACGAAAACACGCATGGGATATTCAAACGCAACAGCCATGTCGTGAGTCCGGAGCTCTAGTTTTAGAACAGCAAAAGGAAAAGGAAAAAAAAAAACACACATGAGCCTCGGTCACAATTACCAAAACTCACACCCCTCACTCTCGGCCAAGCTGACCGGGCGGGTGTGTCTCGCTCACTTCTTTTCGGGGACGAGGCTGCCGTCTTCGTCGCCCATGTCGCCGGTGTCCTCCTGGACGGGGAGGACGCCGTCGGCCGGCTCGCCCTCGATGGCCTTGCCGCCCTCGTACGTCATGCGGCGCCAGCCGCACTCCTCGCTGCTGTCCTTGATCCACTCCATGGTCGGGAAGTAGTGCTCGTTCTTCTTCATCGTGATGACCCACGGCACGCTGTCAAAGGTAACGGCCTTGAGCCGGAAGTCTGGAAAAAGGGGGGGCCCATTTGTTAGAGTCGTGCCAAAGAGACGGACTTTGCGGCCTTTCAAATGTCAAGATTCAAACTTACATGTGTTGTCGGGGATCGTCCTGACGGCCGCGATAAAGGACTCGAGATCCGGCGTCGGCTTGCCGTTGACATGCGTGATAAAGTTCGTCGGGGCCAGACCGTACTGATAGGCCGGTGACCCTCGCGTCCTCGCCGAGACGTAGACCTCGCTGAAGAGCTTGCTGATCTGCTGGCGCACGGCGTGGTGCGGCCGGTGCAGGATGGCGCCGCAGAAGGAGACGGCACGGTCCGTCTCGACGTCATCGGCCGCCACGGTGGGCAGCTTGAGGTGGAGCTCCTCGCAGTCGCGGACAATGACGGTATCGAGGAACTCGTTGCCGTACATGACGTCGAGCTCGGAGATGCGGGTGATGGTCTTGCCGTTGAGCGTGAGGAGAATGTCGCCCTCGAGCAAGGCGCCGCCCGGCTGCTCGTTGCGCTCAAACGTCCGCTTGGTGACCATGAAGAGCTGGTGGTGGGAGGTGTTCGCCAGGGACACCTTGTGGATCCAGTCTTCGGACACGCCCATGAGACGCGCCTGGGACATCTGGATAGCCCTGAACTCGACCGACAGCATCCTCAACTTGGGGGTGACGCCAGCCTGGATCTGCGAGATGACCGGGAGGAGCGTCGGCGTGGCCAGACCGAGGTGATACTCCTCATCTCGATGAGACGAGGGTGACCGCTCCCCCAGGTAGGTTAGCCACAGCGCCTGAACAGTGCCGTCTGGCGCAACAAGCACGCCGCTACCACACTGTCCACTTAGGCTCGTGTCAATGGTGATGGCATCCACATTGACTGCGCGATACCGAGGAGCGCCAGAGTTTGCCGGGATGGCGACGGCAAAGATTTCGGTGACAGTGGTGGCCGCATGAACGATCCGCCCAATACGGTTGTATCCCATGAAGTAAGTCGATGCGCCTTGAGTGATCTCCTCAGAGCTCAGCTTGGCGCTCAACACAGGTGCGTCCACCAGCTTGGGGTCATACTGGATGATGGCGTAGTTCTGGAGCGGGTGAAGGAAAACGACCTTGCCTTCGACGACAATGGAGTCGGCAATGGTGACGCTGATGTCGCAAAGGTCGTATGGGACGATAGCTCTCGAAATGACAACAAGGCCCTTCTCGGCATCCACAACAAGGCCCATGCCCCATTTGCGATTCTTCGGGAACCCATCGAGCTTGACAGGCATAGTGCAGCTGACATGGACAAAGCTTCGCACCAGGTCGGCGACCGCAGGGTGGGAAGTGTGCTCAAGCTGGATGAAGGACGCCTTCCTGGGCACAGGTTCGACCGCGGGAAGAGGATCTCCCAGGTCCTCGAAGTCCCAAAGGCCTGTCTCATCGTTCCGCTTGGCCAGCTTCATCTTGTACGACCAGTGCCGGTCGATGTAGATGATGGAAGTGTTCAGGGTGTGCAGATCTCTCAAGTGCTTGTACGTGACGACCACACGAGCCTTATCCGGGATCCCCTTCATGACCTCGATAAAGGTCTCCAGGTCTGGAACCTTCTTGTGATCTACAGTCTGCAGAATCCATCCATTGTCGCTGCTATCAAAACGAAAGGAGCCGGTGGCCTCGCAAACATACACGCCTTTGCACGAGACACCGTAGAGGCGTGCCTGCTGGTAGGAGAGGCTGTGAAAGCTGCCCCCAGCGACGGTAACAAAGCGATCCGGGGTGATGCCATGCAGATCGCCAACCTTGATCTCAACTTGAATGTCCTCTCCGCCGCGCTGAAGATCAAGGGTCACGGTGCTGTCGACACTAGAGTCGAGGATGTCATCTAGCCTGATGAACTGCGTGATGAGCTCGCCGTTTACCTTGACAAGAACATCGCCTTCCTCGATCTTTCCAGCAGAAGGACCATCTGGAAGGACAATCTCGGCGACGAGCAAGTTCGTCTCCTTGGGGAAGGCTTGGCGCATCTGCGCCTCACACTCCGGGGTTAAGCCAAGGCGTCGGCATTCATCAAATGGCTTGAGGAGGAATTGGCACTGGATATCACCTCGAGTGACAGGCTTGCCTTCCTGCAGGCACCGCAATGCGCGCAGCGGACGGTCGAGAGGGAGGAAGTAGTCAGTCGCTGCGCCGTCGGCTCGGCCGCCTGCCTGCAGGGCGACGGCGTGGCCATCGATGTTGACAACGGGACTACCAGAACTGCCACCGCTAGCTGCCGCACTAGCTTGATAGTAGCACGTGTTGAAGTCGATGTAGCCATCTCCGTACTCTGGTGCGTTGCGGTCAAGACGCGATATGACACCAGATAGGATGCTAAGCTTCTCGCCGGCATCGTTACCCACCACCCTGATCTCCACGCCCACTGTGGGAAATGGTCAGTGCTACGTCTTGTCTGCTCTAAATTTTTGAAAACACACCTTTGGCGAGCTCGGGTTTGAGTTCAAGGGCGGCCACAGGCATATACTTGATGGCCTTGGGGTCAAACTTGAGGATGCCGAAGTCGTGGACTGGGTCGCGGTACACAGGGTACGCATCGACCTCCTCATGATTGTCGAAGATACAGTAACCCCAGAAGGGCCCGGAACCGACGACGTGGCGATTCGTCAAGATATATCTGTCATCGAGCCATTAGCAAGCGGTGGTCGCAGGAGCAGTCAGTGGTCACGGGAGCAGCGGCGTACCCCTTCTCAGCATCGACGACAAAGCCAGTGGCCTCACTATTCAACGGCGGCTCGGTGTCGAAGGAACATGTCATGCAGAAGCGGACCGACACGACATTCCGCACCACGTTCTCGATGGTGGCCTGCCACTCGGCGGTATCAGGTCCGGCGGGAATGAGGTGTTGCAGCCTGGCGTGGTCGTCATCGTAGTCGGCTTCGAGCATCATCGCGTCTCCGGGATCTGGCGTGTTGTCGCCGCCGGACTCTTTGCCATTGAGAGGACGAGGCATCTTGGTCGGACGCTCCTCAATAGGGTAAGGAGCGGGCTTCCGTTTGACCCTCGGAGAGGTTGCGCCGTTCATTGTGACAGGTTTTTGTAGTGGTTCGGCAGCGGGTGCTGTGGCAGTCGAGTAGAGGGCAGGGAACGAGGTAGGCGACCAAGGGCCCAGGCGACGAGGTTGGTAGCTAGACGTGTGGGAAGATGGCAAGCAGGGTGAGAGCCTGTGACGAGGCTTGCAGCGCGAAGACAGGGACGGGGTGGAACTGGTGATGAGGCTCGCAAATGTCCTGCGCAAGCTCGACAAGAGCAGCACCTGCCTCATCCAGATCCGCTGAGGGCTAAGCTGAGAAACGCAGGGCGCGACGTTGCGACGACCAAACGCTCCAAGGCCCAAAAGAATGGTTAACAGGCAAAAGAACGGTTTTGAGATAGACGTTCTCTTTTTAGTCAAAATCGTTCTAGTTGGTAGTCTGGTAGTCTACTGGGTGGCCAGCTTGGTTGTTGGAAGGGTAGAGTAGAGTGGGCGAGGGTGCCAGGTGGGTATTTTTTCCGTGGATGACGGCGTCAAGGCGCGCGCGCTCCAGGGCTGCCTCTCCTCGTCTTGGTGCGACCAACATCCATCCTGTTGGTTGCCTACCAACAGCTCTGTGATACCCTTCCCTCGTATTTTCAAAGCATCAATCCTCCGAGCGAGGCCCCCCTCACCATCAAAGTTCTCTCTCCCCCCGCTCGAGAGTTCTCAGGCGCTCGCGAGTTCTCAGCGTTTGATGTCCCAGCATGCAGCTCCGTATCCACACGGTCCACGGTACCTGGTTCCCGGGTACTGCGATGCTCTCGACGTAAAGTACCGAGTACGGAGTACAAGTAGACCGCTTTAGCTACCACCCCGGTCCCCTTTCCCCCTTCTGATCACACCGGTGGACCAAGCTCGAGCCACACGTTGTTGATCACTTTACACACGTCACACCCATGGTCATGTCACATAACATAGGTACCTACTTGTACAGGTCCGCAAGCGGAGTATCGTGCATGCTTTGCGAGATTGAGAAACAGACATAAAGATTCCTGCCGTTCATAAGTCCACAGCCACAGGGTCCAGTCGAAGTGGGCAAGAGTGCCAAAGCCATTCTCATCAAGGGTCAGATCAACACCAAAAACGCAGTCGTGAAATGCTCCTTGTTTTGTTCCTTCTACCTAGGGGGAGGGCAAAATATCTAGGGGGTATTGAACCGGAAAGCAGAAGGCTATTATGTACGCCCGCCCCAGCATAAATTCTTGCAGCCGCCCACACTCAACCCGCAAGGTGACCCTATACCAAACCGAGACCACAAATGACGCCCCTCATGCTGCAGGAAAGGGAGTGATAGCCTCGTACGACTCAATCCTAGAAACCAGCAGCTCAGTTCGCGAAGCAGCTCGCTGAGTACGCAGCCTCCTTACGGGGGTCGATCAAGACGTCGCTGACAGGCCGTGAGCCGGCGCTCCGACCAGAAAATGCCGTGTCACGATCGCAACCACGCTTCCGGTCATCTAAGGGAATTATTTGTACACTGAGAAAGACTGAAATGAGAAGTGATGCTGTCTCAAGCTGGCTCAAGAGGCACATGCCTCTTAAGCGAGATAGCCGAGTTCGTCATCGTCGAGGCGCTCGAGGTACTCCTTGTCAAGCAATATCTCGATGCACTTCTTGATGTCCGACACCTTGGGCAAGAAGCGACCCTTAATCTGGGCGATCGTCTCGCTCACCAGCTGGCTGTGCTTCATCTTCTTGCGGGCCTTCATGATTCGAACAATGGCCGACTGGAAAACGCATTAGAACCTGGTCTCATTTTCACGTGCACTGTTTGGCAACGACTCAAAAGGAAATAACGTACCTGGAGAAGGAGCTTGCGATCCTCCTCAATCGTCTTGTTCGTCTCGGCCTCCTCTTGCCGCTGCTCAGACTTCATGCCCACGTTCAGGTTCACACGGATCTTCTTGTTTTTGAAGTCATAGTTGAGCTTGAAAGTCTTGCCTGGACCGACCTTATCGCCCTCGGGGGACATGGTCAGAACCTTGGCCTTGATAATGATGCCTAGCGACGGGTCGAGCGACTCGCTATTAAGCTGCGTGGCCGAGGCGATATCCTCATACGTGTGCTGATCCTGGTCATTGAAGAGCAGGAGGATGGCCATTTGATAAGCAGAGACCTGGAAGGTGTACGGCGTCTTGCTGCTCCGAGTGTAGCTCGTCTTGACCTCGCCCTTGCAGAGTTGCCACAGCCATGTCAGCTTGCGCCCCTCGTGCTTGTTCTTGTAATACCGTGTAAACCGCTCGCAGTCGGCATGGATCTCTGGCGGTGGGTTGAATGTGGTCGTTGGCGCGGACAGGGGCCAGAAGCCGGTGCCCAGAACCGAGTATTGGGAGTCCAGGGTGTGCGAGTCTTCAAGGCTCTGCTTGAGGTGGTCCTTGAACCCGTCGTTCAAGTCTTTCGAAATCTGCATGTCCTGGAACATGCGCTGGAGCTTGTTGGTGTACTCGAACCCACAAGCCTCCTTGAGCTTGCTGATCATGCTAGTCTCAGCATCATCGGATGACGTGCTAGTGTGTACGAGGCGGCGGGCAAGCATGCGAGAGTAGAACTTCTGGAAGACATCCTTGTCTTCGATGTACTTGAAGACAGTCATGATCTGCGTCAAGGTGGCCTCCAATTCTTGCTCCTCGACGCCGGTGCCGCTCTTTTTCAAGAGGACATCGGTGTACTTGGCCAGGAGCTCAGGAGACTTATTCGAGCCAGCCTTACATACTTCGTTTCGGTTCACGAATTCCCGGCAGGCATTATCGAGCGACCTCGTGAACTCGGGCTCATCATTGAAGGCCCGCTTGACAAGACCTTGGTACTGAGTGTGGATCTCAAGTAGCGCGTCGACATAGACTTTGGGCTCCAGCTTCTCTGCATCTGCAGCAACCTTGGCAACGGCAGTCAGGCCGGCATTGCGGACATGGGCCTCGAACTTGACACGGAGCGGGTCTAGTCCGTCGGGAATCCGCTGCAGCAGGTTATACATGCGTGCCATATCCTCCTCGCGGTCGTTATCGAGCAAGACCTGAAACTCGTCTCTCAGCAGAGCCGAGTGATCGGCAATGAGGACCTGGTTGCAGCAGCGCTTCAGACCGATGGCAATGTCAGGATGCAAGTACATCTGAACTCGCTCTTCCTCCTCTGCCAGGCGCATCTCGGCCTTTTTCATGTACTCGACAACGCTGTTCTCGGCCACAAATGCACGGCTCTCGGCTTGGTAGTACTCCCTGGTCGCAGCCAGGAATGGGCGCTCAAAGTGCCAGCGATAAGTATCGAGCGTAGTCTTGGATGGGTCGTGCTCATCGAGGCCAAGAGAAACCATCGAGTCAAGGATTTGCTTGATCTGAAGATACTCAATGGTCTCGCCGTTCCGCTGCTTTTCGACAAGCTTGAGGACGGCATCCATGACTTTGGTCGAGATCGCATCAAACAGGACGTTGCGCCACTGGACCAGATGCAGTGTGTAGACGTCGTAGACATTCTTTTTGCCCTCGTCCATCTCACGTTTAACCCAATGCCGGTTCAGGTAGCGGAAGAGGTGGTGGATGAACTTGGCAGCGACAGTATATCGATCCCATTCTCGGATGTAAAAGGCGAGCAACGCCTCTCCGCTGTGGAGCTCGGCTTTCTGGAGCAGATCCTTGAGATGTTCATCCAGGTAGGCCGTGAGCTTCTTGTAGAGATCTTCGCCAAGAAGATGGGCTGAAGAGACATGGTCAGTTCGGGACAGGCATGATGTGGCAGGGCGCGGCCTACCGCCTCTATGGGCTTGGACACCGGCAGTTGTGGGTGCAGTGAACCCAACAGCTTTTTGCGAAGTACAGAAGTTGTGCACAGCCCTAGTCATCGTCAGCTGGATCCAGCAATTCGCCTCAGGTAGGTCGCCTTACGTGTAAACGCCCATGTACTGTATTACTCTCTGATTAGCATGCATGACGACAGGTATAAAGAGGGAAGAGGGGAAGCGTACATTCTCCATGTTCATGCCATCTTGCAGGTTCATCATGATGCTGTTGATACCCGACTGCAGGTACGTCCACCTAGTGCAAATCAGTATGTATTCACAAGACGTAGGAGCCCGGCTGGGAAGAGACTAACGTATGGTTGATATCGTCATTGTTGGGCTGACTAGGCATGTTTGAGCCCGACCGGAGCGCTGTAGCGGGAGGCATGTCGGCGGCGTGCTCTCAAGTCGTCGCAGAGGGCCTGAGTGGTGTAGTGTCGCTTGGTCCAAGGAGCGGACAAGAGGGGCAGCCCGGCCAGAGCGGTCCCGTTTATTGAGAAGGATCAAAGGTCGGGGGGGAGGGTCGGGTCGAGGGCCAGATTGCAAATGGCAGGAGATAGGTCGATGAGGAAGCTCTAATAGTGCGGTGAGGGTGGTGTCAAGAGATGACCTGGTGGCCAGGGTTTGGGATAAGATTGAGGAGGTGATGGCCAGCTGGCCTTGCTGGTTGAGGCGAGGCGGCGCCTCTTTGTAGGAGAAAAAGGTGGAATAGAACAAGACGAGGGTTGCTGAACAGTGATCTTTGACTCTGCCGAGCTCAAAGAGGAACAAAGAGGTCTTGTGCTCGGCGATGGTGGATGATGTCGAGGGAAATGGGCGCCAGGCAGAAGACGAGGTCAGCGAGTCCTTAGCTGGAAGTGACCCATCAAAGCCAACACAAATGGCGGGACGGGAGTGAAAGGCCTCCACAGCCAGCTCCAGTCTTTGTGGTTTTAGTGAAGCGGCACGCCTGATAAAGCCACAGCCCACGCAGGGCTAGGCAGGACGCGCTAAGATAACAAGCTGCAGAGAGGGGGCATCAACAGCACCAGCGACTCGAGGCCTTAGGTACTCCGTATGTTCCAAGGTTGCCACTTTCCCCTCCACTCAGCCACACCGCTGCCTTCAGTGGTCTACCTAGGTAGGTAGGTATCTTAGTCCAGCTTCACTCAACTCCAGGCAGCTCAAACAGTCAAGTCCTGCTGAGAACTACCAGGCTGGGATTCATTTTGACAGAGTGATCCGAAAGCTCTTTAGTTTGAGTTTTATACAATCTTAGGGAATAGTAGATGTGATGCGAGAGTTCCTTTCTATCTTTTGTTCAGGGACTCGCTCTCCCACTTTCCCATGTTCCAGCACTTTTTGGCGATCCCCTTCATTGGTGTTGAACGAGGACGACTTTCTACACCCTCAACTAACGATTATTTCGCATGGGTGATGAATACCCGGCAACACAGATAGGCCTCGTGGGATCTTAGAGCTTATGTGGATGGATTCACTCATGAAGAATTATTACAGACTCCACAAACACGCACTGTTTCGAGGCAGCTGCCGTTAGCCCTACATTCCAAACCAGGTCCGTCCGCAGCACCACTGCATTGCTGCAAGTGCCGCTCATGTTTGTTTTTGCCAAAAGAGTCCGGCACCCAGCGTCAGAAGCTGTTGTAAACATTCTTTGGATATATGATATTTTCGAGGCCAATGCTCTTGCAACCGCATCGGGAAATGCTCTATCAACTGTGCCTTGATTATCACATCGAGCCCTACATTCCGTCTCCATTTCACTTGGCTTTTTGACCCTCCCAAACATGGCTGCTGCTCTCATCAGGGATCCGCATCTACCTGCAGTGTCCTCGCCTCTCAACCCGGAAAGTTGTTATCAGGTCGATGTAGGCCCACGGGGATTTCGAAGATCATCCAGGAGAACATCACCGCCTGCCAGAGGCGGCCCTCTCAGCCCGACACAGCTCCTGCTGCGTCGAAAAGCGGCCATCGCCTGGCGAGCACAGGTGATGCAACACGAGGCAAAATACACTGTAGAAGAGCGTAGCGCTGAAGATTGTCGCCCTCCGGTATATTGCGAAACATCAGGGACTTCCTCGAGCGACAAAGTCGACCAGCCCTCTGAATCTGTGACATCCTCCCAACCATGCCCTTTCCGAGAGCGGAACGAAAAGGAGCCACTAAACGAGATCACTGTCATACATATCGACCTGTCCAGTTCCTCAAGGAAGCGTGGGGATGTCTCTCCCGAAGCCGATCTCACGGTCACTCCTCTCAAGATCGCCCGGCGCATGCTCCCCGCCATCGCAGCGTGCTGTTTGCTCGGTTGTCTGCCTTATCTAAGACGCACAGCGTTGTTAGAGCGAGTCACTGGCATCAGCTGAGTGAGGCCTCCGCCAGGGACGCAGTAGCCACGGGACGTCCTCCTTGTTCATCAAGTTTCATTACCATTCATATTGGTATCGCTGCCTCGGACGGATTGCCCCCGACCAGGCGTGAGCTGAGACGAGATGGTGCCCTTCCAACAACAACACGCAGCCCTTTGTTTCCGTGGATCTGCGCGCGATCTATCATACAGATTCTTACAAGTATCTGGCCCAGTAAGCGACGAACCTCTCTGAGAGCCATTACCGAGGGGGCTTCTCATCCGGCCGTTTCTCTTCCTTGGCGCCCTTCTCGGCTGTCGCAGCGGCCTCGAGCTTCTGCGCCTCTTCGGCACTCTGCTTCTTGATCGCCTCTTCCACCTGCCAGATGGCACGCTCGAGCTCGACTTCCAGCTGTGGCAGGTCAAGGGCCTGTGTCATCTTCTTGCCATTGGCTTGGCACAGCAGCATGGTCTCGCCTTCTGGGTTCGGATCCGCCTTGCCATGGGGGTGGATGTTTTCGTGCTGCTCAGCCTCCCCTTCCACCGTTGGCTCGGCTGACGATGGAAGTGGTAAAGGTTGCTTGGCATATACCTCATCGAGGATTGGTGATGGCGTCAGGGACAGAAGCTTCTTTTCCAACAGGAACTGAATATGCTTGCCGCCCTTCAAGGCCCTCCAATGAGACCAAGCCCGGTACACTAAATAGAAGAAAGGGATGTTGGGGATCCTATATAAAAGCGGTTCCATGTGAGTAGGATATCGAGAAGTAGAAGATAAGCAGGGAACCGTACACAGGTACGAGCGCGAACGGCGCAGTGATAGGCATGCCAATGCAACACCATATAAGCCTTTGTCGATGCAGTGCCTCTCGTTCCGTGCCCAATTTTTGCAACACGCCAGAAACCTTGTCTGTTGGGATCAGGTTCCTGGGATAGACCACCTCCACCTTGTTGATGCCCTCCATCTCCTCTGTTTGTCTGCGAGACGACAATGGCGGCACCGACTTGAGCCCCCACTCCTCGTATGGAATGCGCTTGAGCGCAGAGTTGCCATAGTTGACGATGGTCTTTTGCCAGCCCTTGTCCTTCTCCTCCCAGTTTGACCATAGCTTGGCTGCCCTCGCCTGGACCTTGTCCATCAGCGTCTGCTTATCCGTCGCCGACACATTGGTGCGGTGGCAGTATAACAGCGTTCTTCGAGTCGATACGGGGAGTAGATACAGCCGCATCGTAGCGGCCAATGACGATGTGCTGTCTTGCAAGAGACACCGTTCTTGGGAGGTGGGGAAGCGACAGAAACTGGAAGGATGACGCTCTTGCTTCTGTTGAATCAAGAATAGCTCCGAGAGCCCGAGCCTAGGTTCTGCCTCACTTCTGCCTCAGTCCGCAACGCAGACCAGATGTTCAAAGATGTACCGCAGGATAGCGCATTGTCTAAAATCAATTATAAAAAGAAAGGAGAATCTGTTTGGGATCGTGGAGGTTATGTGATAGTGTCGAGATAGCAGAAGATTTAGGCGTGTCCACATGTCCGTAGTGGTAGGCCTGGAGCGATTCTTCTCGCCTGATGGACCATCGTCACCCCTGTGTGAGTGAGAGAGGTATGGAGCTGGGTTTGGCTGGGTTTCGCATGCTTTTCCGACCAAAACATGACGACATGCCAGCAGCATAAAGCTTGTGACTGGCCCGCCCTGGACCCGGACACCTGTAGCGCGGGATCTGGACCGCCTTCTGGTTGGGCGCTCTCTGCAAAGCTGGAGCTCCCTCGATCCGAACCCCTGTAGATTCTTAGCTCCCCCCGGCAATGCGCCTGTATGAAATGTAATAACAACGCTGATCAGCGACTTTTGAGCACGGCCCAAGCTTTTGGCCTCCCAGTAGTGGGCTTTATTTTAGTGCTTAGTTGCGCAACAGCAACGGTGGCCGCCGGGCCAAGGCACTCATTAGCTCCAAAACAAAGGCGGCTGTCTGCACTCATGGACAGCTGATCACGGAGCCCCAACTGCATTAGTTTTGGGCGACCATCTTACCATCGTGCATCAGTCAGCCCTCCGTTCAGATTGCGCGCATGATTTTCCCCTCTCACCGATGGCAGGCTTGAGGCGGCTTCTCCTCGACTCCCTTCTCAACCGCATCTCGGGCTAGCGGCTCTTCCGAAGTGGTCGCCGCCGCCGACGTATAGACGAGCGTCAACTCTCCCAATCCGCTCTCATGCCGCCCACCACGGCGAGGACGGTGCCGCGTAAGTCGCAAGATGGGGCTTCTCCCGTGATCACAGTTTGCGCAAATTTTTGTACTGACACAAAGCTTTTGTTCACTATAGCATGGGTCATCACGAGACCACCCGCGTCCATTCGTCCCGAGCACAACGGCGTCCCGACCGAGCCACGCAGGGACACCCACACGACTCACCACACGGCCGACGACGACCAAGATGAGTACGACGCCGAGGCGGCCAGCAGCCACAAGGGCTTCCGGGCGCCGCTGTTCAAGCGCCGCGCCGGCCGGCGGTGGGACCACCTGCGCAGCGCCGAGCCCGTCATCGTCTCGCAGTTCCGCGCCCCGCTCGAGGCCCAGTCCCCCTGGCACGAGTTCGTCGCCTCGTCGCGCTACCCGCACGTGCCCAACGAGGAGTCGGAGATCGTCAGCGAGGAGGACATGGCCAAGTTCCAGCCCAGCTTCGGCTACCCGGTCCACGTGCCCCTGGCCGCCACCAGCTTCGAGAACAAGAAGCAGGCCAAGGCGCGCTCGCTGTGGCAGCGGATATGGCAGATGCCCCTGCGGCACCCGCTCGGCCCTCTGGCCTGCCGCCTGACCGTCCTGTCCACCTCCATCGTCGCCCTGGCCCTGGCGGCTCGCATCTCTCGGCTAGAGGCCATAAAGGGTGACAGTCCGGCTGCAGAGAAGAGCCAGATCATCGTCGCCATCGTCGTTGATATTGTCGCCATTCCGTACATTGGGTACATTACAGTGGACGATTACACTGGGAAGCCTCTCGGCCTCCGTCCGCCCAAAGCCCGCATACGACTGATCCTGCTCGACCTCTTCTTCATCATATTCAAATCGGCCAGCACAGCCCTCGGCTTCGAGGCCATGCTGTTCTTCCATAGTTTCGATACCCAGCCCTACCTTCGTGCATTGGGTGCTTTTGAGCTGGTGGGCCTGATCTCGTGGGCCATGACCTTGACAATCAACGTATTCCGGGAGATTGAGAGATTAGGAGGTTGAACGTGCGCTATCCCACACCCCGCATAGGTATATACCAACATTCGGTTTTCACTGTATCTTCTTTTGTTTTCCCTGCAGGTGGGAAGGTTGTACAATAGGGCGGCATTCCACCAAGGAAGATGGAATTTGGGCGTTCTTGAATGAGACATGCATCCTGTTTCAAGCGTTTGTAGTGCAAGGCAGATATACCCATACACGATCTGAAGCTACTTGGTCATCTCATTGACCGGTGTGTGGGACGTCAAGTAACTTAGTACAAGTGCACGGATAGGCGAAGAGCCAAAAAATACAAAGAGACATGAGCACCACCAACCATTGTCCATATCACAAGGCACCCGTAAATTGATGGTCAGAGTTTGTGATGGTCGTGGTGAACAACTTTTGCATTCCGCGTACATAAAATGGTTTCCATTGCCAGTGTATATATCCTCGTCATCTAGGCCGCTTTTACTCCGTCAACTCCATCGCATAGCCCCCCTTCAAAGCAGAGGTACCACCGCACGAGAACGGTCCGATATCCTCACGAGCCAACCAGATAAAACCATTGATACTAGAGCATGTTCTTGTATCGAACTGCGACGCGGGTAGGGAAATTTTGGGAAAACGATAAAACTCAGCCTCGACGAATCTGCAAAGCTGCTTCTTGAACAAGCGGAAAGAATTAGGAGAAATGTCGATGGGGATTATTTCGAGTTTCCCACGACGGCAAAGCAAGTATCCTCCATCCAAAGACTTTTGCGTTCCAGACCAGATAGAATAGACAAGAGCTCGTTCATTAATAATACATGGGGAGAGTTGGTGGTAGAATAGCCTAGGCGGAGGTGACAGTGAAATGTCAGCTACCTTCCGAAGCAATCATTACCCACACGAGGAGGGTGCGAGATCCTATGATTCGGCCGTCTCTGCAGCCGGAGCCTCAGCCTTGACTTCCTCTGGAGCTGTCATGGCTTCCATGGCAGCCTCTGCGACAGCCGCAGCCTCAGCTGCGGGCTGTTGCTCGACCTGCTCGGCCTCCTTGGGCTGGTCAGGTTGCTCGGAGTGATGTTGCTCAGCCTGGAGCTCAACCTGTTGCTCGGGTTGTTGCTCGGGCTGCTGTTCAGGGTGCTGCTCTAGTAGCGGCTCGATCAATTGCGGCTCAATCTGCGGCTCCTCGAGACGGGGCTTCTTTGCGCGACCGTTCTCGTGCATTTCCAGGGACTCCTTGGCCTCTTTCAATTCCAACTCCAGCTCATCGAGGCGACGCTTGAGCATGTTTTCACGACGGTGGCTGTCTTCTAGCTGGGCCCTGAGCTGCCCTTCGGTCTGGCCAGCAGTATCGAGCTGGGCGCGCAGCTGCGCCTCCGTCTGGTGGCCAGCGTCTTGACCCTCGGCACCGGCATACGGCTCGTACTGGCCGAGGCGCCGTTGCATGAAGTCGTTGATGACCTCGAGCTCCGAGACGCGGGTCTTCAGGCTAGCATTAACCGCAATCAGCTGCTCCTGGGTCTGGATACCGTGCTCGCCATTCAGAGGTGAGCCGTCGCGGGGAGATGCGCCAGTCACACCAAAGTTGGACAGCGCTTGAGCGTGGTACTGGCTCTCTTCTAGCCCGGGGTAATTAGTGAGGTGTGTATTATACATATTCGGTGTCGCAGTGCGCGAGATGGGCGAGTCTGTACCATCGAGGTGGCCATTTGCGGACTTCTGAGAAGCTCTCCGGGCATTGAGGGCCGCGGTTGCGGCATTGGCTTGGCTTTGCAGGTCGATACCGTTTGGATCCGACGCGACGGCCTGGTTCTGCGAAAGGGGCTTTGTCAGTCCGAGAAACCATCATGGTGTCGCACAGTATGGGGGATGCGCACGAACCTTTTTCTTCATGGCCATGTCAGGTCGCATAGATGTCTTGACTCGGTTCCGGCTCTTGATCACGTCGGTCTTCAAAGAGATAGGCCTGGGACGTCCGTGCAGCTTGAGGAACAGGCCGCAAGCATTGCACAGAACGGAGCCCATGTCGTCGCGACGCCATAGCGGCGTGGTGGAAGTACTGCAGTTTTGGCAGACGGGCTGCGCAGATTCGCGCGTGTGGTTAGCCATGGTCGCCATGGTGAAAGTAATATTGCGCAGAGGTGCGCGACAAGAGACGGCGAGCGGATGATTATCGTCGAGATGGGAGCAGGAAAGATAGAGATAGGCAGTGTGGGCAGGAGACGATCAAGCGGCAGATAAGAGGAAGAAAAACCTTTATCGGGGGATATCCACACGATTGAGATTAGATTGGCTGATCGGTGATAGGCAGGCGCAGATTGAGGCAAGTGGGAAAAAAAAGTACGAAAGGAGGAGCGATAAGAGTTTTTTCCGGGGCTGGTAGGTGTGGATTTAGTCACCAGACCCACCGAGCAAATCGGAGCCACGCTACTGGCGGGCTGCGATAGGACAGTGGAGGGTCGGTATCGCATCGCACGTGTGGAATGAGTCGCGCGTTCTGACGGCACAGAGCGGGCGGGCAGCGGTGGTAGTGCCGGTGCTGGTTGCGGGAGAAGAGACGGATGAGAGGGGGAGGAGGGCTAGGTGCTCTGAGAGGGAGACGCGACGGCAACGGAGAGAGGAGAAGAAAGACACTTACCACATTCCCTGAATGGCTTGCTCTCGTGGCCACCACGGGCGACGTGCCAGGCGTCATGATCGGAGCTGGCATCGCCTGCGAAGGTGTCGGCGGTTGTGATTCAGGTGGGTTCGACATCAAGCCCGGGCTGTTTGTATCCTCAAGGTCAGTATCAAATACTGGGAGGCCCGTCAAGTTAAGTAGACCGGTCAAGTGGGCTTTGATAGAGACGAGATACGGCGCAAAGGTAATTTCGAGCACAACTCACCTGGCTTGTGGAGCTCCAATGCAACCTGCAGCGTCGTCAGCAGTGAGGGCCGATAACAGCTGCTGCTCGTCTTCCATGATGACTGCTCAAATGGGGCGAGACCGAAGAGGAGAGTTGCTCATTCAAAAGGACGGGGCGCGGTGTGGTGTGGGTGACTGGCCGGTGCAGGCGGACACGGACGAGGTAAGTCAACCCAAATGATGAAGGGGAAAGGAAAGGAAAACGAGAAAAAGAGTCGAGGCACAGCAACGCTGCGAGACCAGTTTGAGATGGCGACGGGCGTCTCGGTGGCCTGTGCGAAATGCGACGAGTGGTTTTGTGGTCAAGATCTCGCTGATGTGGTATTTTGTTTTGCGGCGAAAGACAACGTGGAAATGTACGAGGGAAAGATTGAACCTCTTCTTCTGTTTTTAAGAAAGCAATTTCTGCGCGGAACTGGAGGAGGCCCCTGATTAGCCTCCACCGCTTGTACCTTGGCTGCCATCGCTCGGATTCACCAGGCTTCAGTTGCTGGTGTGAATTCCGTCGAGGACTGCGATGAAGTCCATCTCCAATATTCCCCTGCCCTCGACCCGTCCGTCTTGGAGTTGTTGAAAGACCAAATGCGATAAGATTCCTCGATAAGCTTGGGCTCGACCTTTTTTTTTTCGAGTCCGGTACCTTTGTACCGATATCGATTGTGATTGTGTCGATATCTGCTACACTACCCAAAAGCAGCCACCGGTCCGCCTACCAGTTGGCACCCAAAGTTCTTTATCTTAGCGGCGATTTGCTTCTCTCCACCCAAAATTTCTCGAGTTCACCACCCAGGCAAAACCTAGCATTCAATCCTAGAATCAAGCAAACCTGAAGCCTGCTCAAAGAACAATCAATTCCAGCTCTTGCAGCATACGAGCAATCATTAAGCTTCAGACGCTGTATCTGATAGCTCAAGTCTTCTCAGTCCCCGGTAACACCTCACAAGAACGTCAAAATGCCTTCAACCCATAAAAAAGACAAGCCCTGGGATACGGACGATATCGACAAGTGGAAGATTGACCCCTTCAAACCTGCCGACAATGCAGGCGGCACTTTTGCAGAGGAATCTTCGTTCGCAACACTGTTCCCCAAATACCGCGAAGTCTACCTCCGCGAGGTCTGGCCCCTCGTCACCCGCGCCCTTCAGAGCCATGGAATCGCCTGCACTCTGGATCTCGTCGAGGGTAGCATGACTGTCAAGACGACCCGGAAGACCTTTGATCCTGCCGCCATCCTCAACGCCAGGGATGTCATCAAGCTGCTTGCCCGCAGTGTGCCAGCACCACAAGCGTTGCGAGCCCTCGAGGACGGTGTTGCAGCAGACATCATCAAAATTCGAAACCTCGTCCGCAACAAGGAGCGATTCACGAAGCGACGACAGCGCATCCTCGGCCCCAATGGCACCACGCTCAAAGCGCTCGAGCTCCTCACCGAGACATACATTCTAGTTCACGGAAACACAGTGTCGGTCATCGGTCCATTCAAGGGCTTGAAAGAAGTTCGCAGAGTAGTCGAGGACTGCATGGCCAACATCCACCCCATCTACCTGATCAAGGAGCTGATGGTCAAGAGAGAACTGGCAAAGGATCCTAAGCTGGCGAATGAGAGCTGGGATAGGTTTCTGCCCAACTTCAAGAAGAGAAGTCTTAGCAAGCGCAGAGTACCGCACAAGGTCACGGACAAGGCCAAGAAGACATACACGGCGTTCCCACCGGCACCCGAAAAGAGCAAGGTCGATCTCCAGATCGAGAGTGGAGAGTATTTCCTGGGCAAAGAGGCGAAGCAGAGAGCTGCAGAGGAGGAGAGGCAAGAGAGGTCGCGGCAGAAGAAGGAGGAGAAGATGCGGGAGCGTGCCAAGGACTATGTTCCGCCGGAGGAGCCGCAGTCCAAGAAGAGGAAAACGAAGGCTTAGGTGTCGCCTTGAGTGCACCATTAATGTCCGAAGGCGACAAACTGTCACAAAGATGTCCTCTACATACCGGCTTTGAGCCAGTCCATTCCAACTTTATGATACCCAGGAATAAACATGATCATACCAAATACGCTTCCTCCAGAGTGAGCGACTGTGTGACAGGGCTTAGAATCTCAACCGCGAGCGAATTTCATCCAGGTGTTTGAGGTATTATTATCATTGCTTTTCGACTTAATGGTACAACATCTTCACAGCTTTGAAGGCGTGTCGCTGCCGTCAGGCGAGATCTGAATGCAGAGCTTGCCGAATTGCTTGCCGTGCTTGATGTCCTCGAACAGGCCCTCGATCCCCTCGAGGTTGTCCAGCCCCTCGACCACCCGGCTGACGACGGGCTTGATCTTGCGCTGGCGCACAAACTCGACCATCTCGGCGAACTCGACGCGCGACCCCATGGTGGAGCCCTTGAGCTCGATGTTCTTGAGCACGGCCTGCATCAGCCAGTCCATCTTGGGCGCGACCGTCATGCCGTACGACGAGATGACGCCGCCGGGCTTGAGCAGCCGCACGGTGCGCTTGACGACGTCGCCGCCGGCGCCGTCGACCACGGCGTCGAGGAAGGGCCGGTCGGCGGGCAGCTGCGCCGCCAGCTGCCGGTCCCAGTCGGCGTCGCGGTAGGACACTCCCCCCCGGGCGCCGAGGCCCACGGCGCGCTCGATCTTGGCCGCGTCGCCCGACGTCACCCACACGCGGCACCCGCGGGCGACGGCGAACTGCAGCGCCGCGAGGGCGACGCCGCCGCCGATGCCCGTGACGAGGACGTTGCGGCCCGGCGCCGCGACGGCGTCGCCGCACTTGGTCACGAGGGCGCGCCAGGCCGTGAGCCCCACGAGCGGCAGGGCCGCCGCCTCGACGGCCGAGAGGTGCGCGGGCGCGAGCTCGAGCTCCGCCTCGGGCACGGCGATGTACTCGAGGGCCGTGCCGGCGTCGTGCACGGTGCTGCCGCCGATGGTGGAGAACTGGGCCGCGTCCTCGGGGCCCGCCGGGTCCGAGGCCCAGCCGCGCGAGGGCGTCAGGACGACCCTGCGGTGCAGCAGCCGCTCGGCGGCCCCCGGGGAGCAGCCCGGCCCGACCTCGACGACGGTGCCGCAGCCGTCGCCGAGCAGGGGGTTGTCGAAGGAGATGCTCGGGTAGAGGTGCTGCCGGATGAAGAGGTCCCGGTGGTTGAGGGCGGCGGCGAGCATGCGCACGAGCACCTCGCCGGGGCCCGGGGTCGGCTTGGGGATCTCCTTGAGCTTGAGGCTGGTGGGGTTGGGCAAGTGTCAATCAATCGAGTCTTGCACATGACGCATTAGAGAGAGGATCTATCGTAGATTATCTTACGGATAGTAAACCTTGCCCGGTTTCCCCCCCTCGATGTGCTGCACCGTTAGACAAAGAGGCATGGCTATTGGGTCAATGCGTTGAGATTGTTTTCAAGGCTCAGAGGGAAAAGGCCACATTGATTGATCAGTCTTCAGTGTCTTTACAAAAGAGTCCAGCTCGAATCATATAATACAGAAACGCTCAACATGAACCCGGAAATCACAGCTTTGTTTGTAAGCGTGGATATTGCGGAGAGTGCGGAGAGGGAGCTCCCCAGGACCGCCCCCACTTGCCGGTATCCCTCCACGGTGCGGGCCCCTCCTGGACCTCGGCAGAAGCGACCGTGGCATCCCCGCCACCCCAACCCGGCCTTTCATCAACTTATCAGTCGGACTTTTGCTGTCATCAAGGAAACACAGGCTTGCTCGTTATTACCATAGCTCCCCGGTCACCTTGAGCGGGAGGTGTAGGAGTCGGTCGCCCGCCTCCGTCGGCTTGGGCATCGCTCCGGCCCGGATGTTCATCTGCAACGACTGGTTGATGAGCTTTGGCGCGGCCAGGGAGCTGTCCCTCTCGGACCTCCACGCCACGAACTCGTGCTCTTGCACCCCGGTTTTTAGGTGCTTGTTGCTTGCCGACTGCTCCTCGACTGTCGTGTAAGGCTTAGGATGGCCTCTGCCCGCCTCGTCACCGGGGGGGTAGTCGTGCCCTGTCCAGATGCGAATGTGGCCCGGGTGTGACAGCAGCTTCTGGGCAGAAGCGTAGAGAGCCTGCGCAGAGCCACCGGGGAAGTCGCAGCGGGCGGTCCCGACGTCTGGGTTGAATAGCGAATCGCCGCAGAAGATGTTGGCTGGGGATTGGTACACGTGTTAGCTGCAGCCACATACACACAGGAAATAAAAAGAAAAATGGAAAGCCATCTCAACTTACATCCGATCATGTAGCCAAGATGGTCTGGAGTGTGGCCCGGGAGATGCAGTGCTGTGGCCGTCAGCTGGCCAATGGCAAACTGCTCGTCATCGGCAAGGAGGCAGTCGAAGGCGCCAGCGCATTCCTCCACGGGGATGCCAAACTTGGCCGCGAAATGGTCGCTGACTTCGTATATTCGCTTTCCTATGCAGATTGCCGGGCGTGGCTGATCCGGCTGCAGGGCTGAGAGACGTGACTGGAGGTATTTCGCAGCCGTGATATGATCTGCATGGACGTGGGTCTCGAGCAATTTGGTAATAGTGTATCCATGCTCTTTCACCAGCTCCAAGAGTTTGTCGGCCGTGTTCGTCGAGATGGTGTTTGTGGCTGGGTCGAAGTCGAGAACGGAGTCGATGATGACGGCCGTCTTTGTTGCCGGATCAGCAACAACGTATTGCCAAGTCGAGGTCTTGGGTTCGAAACAATCGTGGACGATAGGCTCAGCCATAGTGGTGGTCATGGAATGTATGCAGCTTATGATCTGATGAACTTGGGGTTGTTGTTTTTCTTTTTGCAGGTCCACCTCTGAACTCTGTTGCATTATCCCCATTACGGGGGCCTTGTTGCTTTTCTATCTCGTGGTTTTCCATAACTTATGATTCCATGGCATGCTCATCGTCGGTGACGTTGTTTCATCTGACAAATTCCCGTGTGGAGGGCACCAGTCTCCGAAACACTGAGCCCCGAGAGGTGTTCGGCATACCGTGTACTGTGCGTCCGGCGTCCTGCTTACACGAACGCCCGGGCTGCCCGAATGACCGGCGGCGGGCCCACTTAATCCATGATCCCCGACGTCGCCGACTGTTTTTGCCCTTTAGGGTGGGTGGAGGGAGGTCGCCGGGGCGCGCCACGGAGACACAAGCGCAGACCCCTGTCTCTCTTGAGCTAAGCTGGAGAGGCCGCCTCGAGTCAAGGAGCGTGCAGTGGTCGCCGACTGCAGCCTTCACCGCATTCCGAGTCCCTCGTGGTGTTTGGTTTTGCTTTGAAACCCTCGTTCATGCCAGCTAGGATGTGTGTATGGACGCCGTGGCTTTGTCCCATGCCTGCCCCCCCTCCTGGTCTCCTGCTCTCGGGTCAGTCATCACACCCCCGAACGCCCTTGCATGAGCCGCGTTCCTTTACGCCCGCCAAACACACCCACGCGTTTATGATTCTGTGCAGCAAAACTGCAATGATCGATACCGAGGATCTGGTTTGCGATGGGTGGACCGGAGCGCGGGAAGGGTCGCATCGAAGAACGGCTAGCCTACGGCGAACTCACGCCATCCAGCACTAATATGGTGATTTTGCCCTCTTTCGACATAAAGGAAAAATTTGGCCACTGGGCCCACGCGAGATTAATCAACGGCGTCTACCTCACTACCCTGGCCAAGGCCGAAGACGAGTTTCGTAGATATAAATCCCTTTACGGCCCGCGCCGCTTGCTGTTTTCCTGTCGGCCTCTTTACATAGGACAGCATCTCATCACGCTACGGATATCAGTCCAGGTTTCTCGAAGGCGTGCCACTCGCACACATCACTCGAGAACAAAGCAAACTCCGCAATGGCTTCGTTAATATCAGGCGCCACCTTCGGCGCCGCCCTGACGGCCTCGGGCGTCTACCGGCCGTCAGTCATCATCGGTCAATTCAGGCTGGATAACTGGCATATGATCCAAGCCTTCCTCACGGCGACAGCAAGCAGCGCGTAGGTCTACATTGTTTCCGTCTTGACTCTGGTTTGTCGAGCTATGCTGACCATTTCCCTGCAGAGTGATCATCAGGGTGCTTGAGAGACTGGGCTACGTCAGCATCAAGCCCAGGGGCTGGAACACGATGGGCTGGTTCGCCCGGTACGACGGCAACATCATCGGAGGCTTCCTCCTCGGCACAGGCATGGCTTTGTCCGGTGCCTGCCCGGGAACCGTCTTCGTCCAGAGCGCGCTCGGTATCAAGTCCGGCCTGTATACCCTCGCGGGTGCCATGCTGGCCGGCATCTCGTGGAGCGCGTTCCTGCGCCACTACCTGTCGAAGCCGCTGCCCAAGGACTCGAAACATTCTCCCAACCCGAGCATCGCAGAGAGCGTCGGCATCCCCCGGTCCGTGGCCCTCGTAGCATTCGAGGCGGTATGCGCGGCAGTCATCGCCAGTGCCGCGGTCTATGGCGGCGCAACCCCGGATGCCAAGATCGCACCGGTCATTGGTGGCCTGTCGATCGGCGCCGCGCAACTGGTCTCGCTGTTGCTGAGGAAGTGTCTCGTTGGTGTGTCCACGACCTTTGTCGAGACCGGGGACTGGCTCCGTTACATCCTTGGCGGCGGCGACCAGCCGGGATGCAACAACATCATGTTCTCTGCGGGGATGGTTGGTGGAGCCCGACTTCTCTCGACACTGTATCCATTCCTCACGCAGGGGGCTACCGAGGAGGTCGCGCCGGCCGTGGCGGTTCTCGGTGGATTCATTGCGGTTCTGGGAGCCAGGATCGCCGGAGGGTGCACATCAGGGCACGGCATCAGCGGTACTGCTTCTTTGTCGACGTCCAGCATGGTGACGATTGGCACAGCTATGGCCGCAGGGGCAGCTGTGACTCATTTCTTGTCTCTATAAGATAGATAGCATAGCGTTCTCATACCCAGGCATGACGATAATGTCCATAATGAATAATTATTGCATCATAACGGATGGCTCGGCGATACCCCTCCGCTCCAAGTTGTGATTCAAGGACCACTTTGCTACAGGGGAGGTTGGCCCGGGTTCGGGCCAGATGCAACCTTGCGGGCGGTGACCTCGACTTCGAACTTCATGATCTCTTCCATCAACCCAGCTTCAATCATGGTCGCCGTAGGCCGGACGTCCCCGAGCCACTTCTGCAGCACAGTCCACGTCTCCTTGAAAAGCGCACGGTCCGGCAGGATGTAACGCACCCGGACGATGTCCTCCATACCCACGCCTGCTTCTTTCAAGGCGTTGGCCACGTTCTTCATCGCTTGCTCCGCCTGCTCAGAGACTAGCGGGGATATCAAGCCGGTCGAATAGTCATAGCTATGATGCACACGAATAATTAGTATCTGTTCAGGATCCAGGGTTGTTTGGCAGTTTCGGGTTCATCTACCCAGTACAGCCAGAGACGAATACCCATTCCCCGGTGACGACGGCCCTCGAGTATCCGATCTGGGCTTCGAATTCGGATCCCGAGCTGATCAACACACGACCCGACATTGTTGCTATGTTGCTTCAGATTCTTTCGATTTGGGGGAAACAAGAACCAAAGTCAGTTGTTTGCCGTACAATCGAATAAATCAAGAGAAATGGTCTATGGGGTGACTTGAAGTTTGTAGTTGTGGACGTGACTCACGGGTAGTTGGCTGGTTTGCGCTAGCTACGCCTTCCTTTCTAGTATCTATCGTATAAGTGCCGCGGACTTCCTGAATTTGATTATCTGTGAATCTGCTTCTGCATCACCAAAAAGGGAAAAAGGGCCAAGGTCCTATATAATAAGCCCGTCTTCTATCTCTCTTTCATTAGTAGTCGTCTTCGACGACAGGCAACAACAGTACGTCTCTAACCTTCTAGAACGTCCGACTGGCTCGTCGTCAACCAGCTCCCCTCCCTCCATTAAACCTACCTTGGCCACCACTCGCTCCCATAGGTCTTCTTCTTCTCCCTACCCTTAAGCAGTGTATTGTTTTCTCTGGCTGGGCTGTGGTTGTCATGGATGTTCTTGCCTGGGGTTCCTGCAGAGGCAATACTTGACGATAATGAACAATCAATTGAAACGAAGCACTGCCCAGCACCTTGTTTGTTCAGATTACTTTTGAAAAAGGTCCACTGAAATGCCCTTCCATTAGCCAAAGAACTCTCTCCAAATCCGAAAGAGACGCAAAAAGAGGGCAATACATCCTCAATCGCAGATACTGCCCTCTTTTTGTGTCTCTTCTGGGTTTGGAAAGAGCTCTCCGGCGCCCCGAACAGTCAACAATCATCACACCCTCACGCTGCGCTTGGAATCAAATCAAAAGCAATTCACTAAACAAATACCGACCTTGACGATTGTCAAAAATTCATCCTGCTTCTTTACAACTCCAGCACCCCTTATCGTATATTCCCTGGCGGAGCTTAGCTTGGAGACCCGAGATGCCCAAGGCCGGGGGGTCCAAAAACAAGGCGAAGCCCGAGGTGCAGCTTCCCGACTTTCCAGACCACACGGATTGGACGGGATGCAGCAAAGCTGAGACTTACCACGCATGCGAGTCTCGCGGTTTGGCGACCGCCGGGAGCAAAAATCATCGTATCAAACTCCTCTTCTTGCACAGCGCAGCCAAGGGTCACCGTCCTGCCATCCTCTGGGTCCAGGGCAAGAATCAGGAAGCCATAACCACGAGTGAAACCAGGTGGAAGAAGGCCAAATATCGAAACCATCCTGACAGGCCGCCAAGACCCTCCGAGAAGCCTGTGGATCATACATCACCTACAGACTGTCACATCATCACCGTCGGCCCACCAAACTCGCCTCCTCTTCCTGACATCCCATTCTTGCCGATGGAGAGAATGGAGCAGGATCAGCTCCCGCGGGCTGACCAGCTCCTGGCGAAACCCGTCGCTGGGGCCATGCATGATACGATGATGCAGACTGCAAATATCGTGCTGGATGGAACTCGTTTGTTTATCGTGGCATCTGCCGAGATGACGACTCTTCCCATCCCAACTTCGACCTTCACGTTCTTCGACCCTCGAGACAAGTCGGTCACTACTGTGGTCAAAAACAACATGTATGTGTCGTGCACATGCATGCCAAATGTAAGTATTTCCTACTCCACTCAAGGAGCATAACTTTCTTTCCTGCTAACTTTCGTCTCCCAACCTGTGTAGCAAGTCCTCCAGTGGCCGAGATGCCAGCACATCGACTGTAAGTTACACACACCTCACCATCTCCGTTCCCCCGTAGGTACCACGCCGATCGACTGACACTCCCCTGCCCTCTCCCCTAGACATGGAGCTTTACGGGGTCCAAGGGCGCCGGGCCCTCGAGAGTCAGCGAGGAGCCCTGCCAGCCAACCCTTCAGCCCGTTTCCAGATCCGGACCTTCGCCGACAGCACCTGCCCCGTATGCTGCCGGCCCTGCGCGGAGAACGACGGCCAGACCCCCTCGGAAGGAGACGATACGACGCCCGGCGCCCGCCCCGACTCCACCCTGCACTGCACAAGCTGCGGCCACCACGCCCATCGGCAGTGCTTCCACGTGTGGGCAGAATTTCTGGCGCTCTACGCCGGCCGCCTGTCGTGTGCTGTCTGCCTCCAGCCGTGGAGCCAGAGGGGCGACTGGGGCGTGCCGGGCCTCCGGAAGGACGCGCTGCAGAAGAAGGCCGAGAGGGAGTGGCACCTGCGAGATGTCGCGTGGGAGAAGGAGGCTGAAAAGGCCCGACTCCTGGGTGGATGGTAGGCTGGATTGCTGGGCCGAGGGGGCCTTGACGTTTGCTGGATTTGGTCTCGGGGCTATTAGAGACACCATAGAGATTGGCGTTGAGTTAGGCATTTTCGATGATATTGACGCAACCGTTACAATGGACACACAGCAGCTTCCTCGCTAAAAACACTTTCGATGCCGTTCGGACGAACCCTTTGTATTGCTAATCAAACCGATATCGAGCAAGGGATCTGCTAACTCCGGGAAAGCTCATACAAAAAAAGAAGTGGCAGCATTGTTCATGCCGCTGCTTTAAACAACCCATCCTCGTGCCTATTCCCCCGTCCAAAAAGTAAAATCATAGACGCCTGTTGCTACAAACTCTTTTTTTCTTTGACTGAACCCCAAAAAAAAACGAGTACACCACAAGCAACTCTCGACTACCTACCCAAGCATAGAGTGCGTGCGGATCGCCTTGGGACCAAGCTCACTACGAAAACGGATAGATATTCGTTAGCACTTCCCCCATATACCGATGGGCCAGGGAGTGGGAAAAGGGAAAGGAAAATTAAAGATAAAGAAAAAAGCTCACTTGTAATCGACCCTGCCCAAGCTCATCATGCGCTGCGCCTCGAGGCCCTGGGCGTCGAGGTTGTGCACGCAGAACGCGAGGCGCGCCGCGACCTGGGCGCCGAGGAACATGGCCTCCTCGAAGCCGTTCTTGCTCCACTCGCTCAGGTACGTCGGCAGCGGCGCCAGCTTGATCGCCGTCGGGGTCTGGCTGTGGAAGTGGTGCGAGTGCGAGCCCCCCGCGGGGCCCGCGTCGCCGCCGGCGTTGGAGCCCGCCGGCCCCGGCGTGCCGAGCCCGCCGCCCTGGAGGCTCGCCGTGGTGGCGGCCTGCAGCAGCGGGTTGACCGACGACGAGGTGGGCAGCTGGTGCGGGGCGCCGGTGAAGCTGCCCGTGGGCGTCTGCGAGCCCGTGCCCGTGGGCGTCCCGAGGTTGCTGGGCAGCTCCGAGGTGAACATGGTGGCCGTCGAGGGCGAGATGAGGTGCCGCGCCGTGAGCGTCTGGATGATGTTGTCCTTGAGGCCGCGGATGCGGCCGCCGTTGCCCACAAAGACGATGTTCTCCCAGCACTGCGGCCGCATGTACATGTCCTCGATGCCCTGGACGGCGCGGTAGATGGCCGTCACGATCCTGTCAATCTCGGCGCGGTCGGCGAACACGAAGCGCTCTAGGCCGATCTCTATATCTTTCCGGATCCGCTTGATTTGGCGTTCTGGCTCTGGTGCTGGCGCCGGGGCAGATGTTGTGGGCTCTCCTGAAGGGAAGAACGACAGCGGCTCATCTGGCTTGTCGGCCTTGGGCGGCTCAGCCTGTGCCGGCGCACTCTCTGTGGGGGCACCGTTCGCCGGTGCTGATTCCGCGGTGGCCTCGGATTTCGGCGCCTCCCCATTAGTTGCCGGCGCGTTCTCGGTGGAACCCTCCGCCTTTGGTGCCTCCGACGTCTCCGTAGTGGCGGGGCCAGGGCCAGCTGCCGGTGCGGCCTCTCCGCTCGGGGCGTCCTTCATCTCCTGATCTTTGCTCTCGGCCCCCTTCGCCTCGCCCTCCTTGGACCCGGCCTCCTTGTGCCCCTCCTCTTTCGGCCGCGTCTTGTCCTCCTGGACCAGCTGCTCGAAGTGGAACGTGTTGCGCACTCGTTTCGCGTTTGGTAACCGCGCTGGCTTCGCCGCTGCGGCGTCCGCGTCTTTATCCTTGCCCCGCTTCCCCGTCTTTACCTTCTCGGCCTTCTCCTTCTCCTTCTTGGCGAGGAACTCCTTGGTTTGGCCGCTCGTAACGATGCTAGCGACATCGAGCACGCCGTCCTCGGCGCCGTCCTTGCCCTCGCCGTTAGCGGCGTCATCTCCTTCGCCAGAAACGGCTGGCTGGAACTGGTGCTCCGCAATGTTTGGCTGTTCCTGAGCGGCTTGTAAGACTGCGGACGGGGCGGGGACTGGCGCCGCCGTGCTGCTAGCAGTTTCGCTCGGTAGCTCCATGAGCCCCTTCTTATCGGCCGCGTAGGGAAGCACTTCGCAGATGGCGCTCCTTTTCAGCTGCTCCGCCATTTCGTGGTTGAAATCCTTGCCCTGCAAGAGCTTCATCAACCTCCGCGTGAATACCTCACCGCCAGAGATCGCCTGCCTGTTCTCGCCCTCTGTAGTATCGCCCACGTCCTCGTGGCTCACCACCCGGCTGTCAAAGATACACGTGATGTCCACCTTCTCGAAGCCGATATCAACGACCGTCATATGCGGCCACTTAAGGCCGTATTGAGTTGCGATACCGCTGTGGATGAGGCAGAGTGCCGGAGTCTTAGTCTTCTCAAAGATGTAGCGCGCTATCATCTCGCAGTCTGGCCGCGTCCACTGCGGTGATGCCATCAACATGATGGGGGTGTTGTGGTAGGTTGTCGTGAGCATGCTGTGCACGTGGTCAAGGAAAGCAAGGAAGGCGTCCATGTTGACAATCCGGCCAGCTGCAAAGATAACCATCCCAAGTCAGCAAAGACGCATTCGTCGGGCACGCAGGTCGCCACAAAAAAAAGGGGGAGGAGACTCACCCTGCATGGGATATACAGCGCCCTCGGTAGAGTCAGGATCCTCCACATACTCCCACTCGTCCTCGGCCTTCTTGTCTGCATCGGCTGGGGCGGCGCTGCTTGCGGGCGCGGCGGCGAGGGCGCTGGCCTTCTTGCGCTTGAAGGTGTGGTACGGGCGCCAGTCGTCCGACTCGTCGTCCTTGAACATGCGCGTCGGGAAACGGAAGGCGGGCGGCGTGAGCTCGGCGCAACCCAGCTGCGCCATGGTGGTCTGGCTGCCGGGGCAGATGATGAGGATCTGGTCCTCGCGCCATTTGCCCTGCTGGCTCGCCATTGTCGCGGCTCGTCGTCAGGAGCAAAAGAGAGCACTTGTGCAATTGGTCACTCTCGCCTGCAGGATCGAGGCTTGCCGCGTGGTGGGTGAGTTGGGGCCGGGGGGTTTCGATGGGATGGCTTGTGAGAAGAGATGCTCCCTGCCGCGAGCGCGCTTGCGGTCGTAGGTCAATTCGCGATCGCCTAGCCCGCCAACCTACCACCACGAATTTTCGGACAGCTGCCAGCGCGATGAGCTTGTATTATGTAAGCAAACGACAAGACCCCGCTTAGTGCATAAGCATCCCCCGGTAGAGCGAAGTTGAGGACGACAGCGATCTCATGAATTTACAATAGAAGGCGGAGAGAATATCGAGTCAGGCAGGCATGTACGGAATACAAAGCTTTGATGCTATCTACCTATGCTTGGTAGTTATGTGTACTGAGAACTTTATGTGTAAAGCTGGGTTTGACAAATGCCAAACAATGGGCTTCACTCTGGAACATTTCCACGACTGAACAACACACGGAGCTTTCCTGCATTGCCACCAGTCCACAATTTCACATTATTCCATTTCGCTAACAAGAGTTGATGCAAAGTGATAATCAGGCGACCGCTGCGTTCCCGTACCACGGGAACGACAAACGGACAAGAAGAACAACAGCCCGCCTCCTGACTGCCACCCAAAAAACTATGGTATCCAATAAGCCAATTCTACCAACAAAGTCCCAAAGAAGCGGAACAGCAAAGCTGCATGCTGTATGGTGAAGATATGATCAGCAAAGCCCAGGCCTTTCCCGGAACGCCTATAACGTAACAAAAGCCAACCATGGCTCACTGCCGAAATTGTCGAAATTTAAGAGAACGCCATGCGATGCCCTGACCACCTAGCCCTTTCGTACACACCGCGTCCATTAGCCTCCCATTAATCCATGCCCAAAATCCAAGTCGTCGTTTCCGTGTTCATGCGACCGTCACTGTGGCCGTGTCAACACTGCTGTGGTTGACCTTCTCCGACACGCTGTTCTCGGTCTTGCTGTCACCAGAGCTGGCCTCCTTCGCATCATCCTCGGCCTTTGGGGTCCGAGGTTCGTGCTCAGATTCGTCGACGGAGGAGGCACGTTCCGTTGCCTGGGGTGTTGACAGGGTCTCAGGGATGGCGTCCGCACTCTCTTTTCCTTCAGTGGCAGACTCGAAATCTGTCGTCGCCCCTGATGAAGATACCGAGGGCTCTGCCGCCTTATCCTGTTGTGGTGCGGATGCGCCGGCCTTATCCTCAGTCTCGGTGCTTCCGAGCGAGGGAGTCGTCTGAGAAGCGTCGTCCTTGGCAGAAGCGGCGCCGTCAGAGGTAGTGCTTTGAAAGGACTGCCTCAGGGGACTGCTGACCATGGCGATCGCGGACAGGTCGCCGTACTCGCTTTTGCTCGCCCTAGACGATCGCGCGGGGCTCCTCGCGGGTAGAGGTGGGGGGATGCGCTTGGGAATGTTCACCACGGCCCCCTTGACCTGGAGAACCTGAGTGACCTGAGAGGACATGATGGTCGCATGCATCGGCTGGCTTGTTGCGACCTCGTAGATGACGGGCTCTTCTTCGTCGTCATCTTCATCCTCATCGTCGGCATCCTCATCTTGCTCCTCTTCCGCTTCCGCCTCTGCTTCCACCTCCACTTTTTCGACTTCATGAACCTCCTCGGTGGCCTCTGGAGCAGCCACCTCGGGTTCGATGGGATGTACATCTTCGATGACCGGGGCAGGCTGGCGACGAGGCGGCAGAGGCGGCGGCCGGGTTCTGACAGGAGCAGGTTCTAGCTTGAACTCAGTCTCCTTGGGCGTCTCAGGTGGGCTTAGATGCTTCTGCAGTGAGCTCATGTCGACCTTGGTGTAGTCTACCTCCTCCGGTTCCTGGATCACAACCGTGTGCTCCTGCGAGGAGCGAGGCTGTCCATCGTCGCTCTGGTTGGGGCTCAGTGTGGTATCTGGCGTCTCTGCAACGTCGGTCTGCGTCTGAGCGTCGGTCATGGTGGTTCGGGTGGACATGTAGCTGCCACGATTGCTTCTTGTTGCGTATGTGTCGCTGCTCTGCCGGTTGAACTTGTTGAACAGCGGACTCGTAGGAGCAGGATTGTATTCAAACTGGGCACTAGCCGGCCTGAGTCGCGATCCAGCTTCCCTGATCTCTAGTCCGGCCATCTCCAGCGCGATGACTCCGAAGGGATCCGGATCGTCGGAGGAGGGAACACCAAACTTGGCAGACATGGGCGTCTGGGTCGGTGTCTCTATCACCGCGTCGCCGGGCGCCGGCTGCTGCGAAAGTATTTCCATGGTGCGCGCATCGAAATCCGTCCTCCCCTCCGCAGCCTTGATCGCCTCGAACAGGGGCGCGATCTCGGGTATTGACTTGCGCACGTTGCCTGCTATGATGTCCAAGACGTCGACGTTCTGACCGCCGTAGAACTTGTCGTTTTCGTTGCCGCGCAAGGTGACGAGAGAGCCATCTAATTGGACACTCTGGTGTTGGCCCCTAGCCTTCAAGTAGGTCAGGACGGTATTGCTGATTTCCTTCCACCTAAAGTCGTTCTCAAGCAAGCCGCTCGAGGTGATAGGACCGACCGAGAGGTTCACGTCTGAGCCGAGGGTGACCTTGGGCCTCGTGAACATCTCCAGTGTGGAGACGCTGTTGATGACCAAGACGCAGTCGTATATGTCGACGCCGATTACAAATCCCAATGCGGCAGTGTGCAGGAGAATGCCGGCGGGCGGCGACCATGTTCCGTCGGCTTTCCGGGCGATGAGGATGCCGGATCCGCCGGAGCCGGACATCCACAGGCCGGAGCGCATGCAAGAGAAGATGGCGAGGCCCTGCGCATTCTGAATAATGCGCGGCGGGATCTTCTTCAGGGCATTGTTCGGTGACGAGGCGAAGCTGGGCGTGCTCGGGCTCGTCGGCGCCGAGGCGGCTGCTTCTTCCTGCGCAAGGAAACCATCGGCTGGAGGAATCGAGTCAGCATGTTGCGCCAACGCACCACAACAAAGGCAGGGCGAGCGCCGGGCTAGGGTCAATGCATACTGCAAAAGGACTTGAGAATGCGCGCGGCCTTCTCGCACTCCTTGTCGACAGTCGTCGGCCAGTAGACCTCCCTCTCGACCTTGGACGTGCTCCGGTTGGCGGCGCCGGAACCCTTGGCGGCCGTGATCTTGTCAGTCCATCCAAACACCCTGTCGAAAGGCCGCGCCTTGCCGTCGGCGGACTTGGTCCTCTCCCACGAGGGCAGCAATGCCGATACACGCTGCATGGTGAGCTCGCGCCTTGGATTGCTTCATCCGAATAGGCGACGAGGGGGGTTTTGCTGGACGCGCGCGCGTTTGTATGATGTTTCGTGCGAAAGGAAAAAGAACAAGTTTAATCTTGGGATGGAATTCCAGGCACGACGCAGCGCAAGACGTCCACGGACAGTAGCGGCGGCGGCGGGTGGCTTAGTGAGGAACACAAGCGCTTTCTGGGGCGGGCGACCCAATTCAAAGTCCCCATTCGACTAAGACCAGGCTCGAAGGTACATGCAGGGAGCCCACCTCTCGGGCAGAGCGATGTGAGTTGAATCTGGTTACTTTTGCGGAGTGGGAAGCTAGCATCAAGAAAAGGGCAGGAAAAAACGAGAATGTGCAGCAGCAAAAAAGGGCCTGGTGACGTGGGCGACGATCCCTCCAACGACCCAGAAAAGACAGTGATCAGAAAGATCAAGGTCACCAACCCAGACACAGCCGAGAACCAGGACAAGGGCCGGGGTCAGGCACGGTATTGAGGCGATGGTTGCAGGGATGGGGAGGGCCTGGCTGGGAGGTGTGGTGCGTGCGGGTGTGGATGAACAGACTTTACGGGGGTGCGTTTGCGTCGTCGCAACACCATCAAGAGCGGATGCTAGGATGCTAGGCGGCGGGCTAACTTGACAAGAAAGAAACGTGGGTGGAGCAGCTGGGCGCTAGAACAGGCAAACTTCATCTAAAGTAGGACCTGGACTGCGCGTCTCCATTGTGGATGCAGCTACGGAGTATTCATTCACTCGAGGCCATCGAGACAGCTTCGAGGCCAACGGGAGTCGAATTGGAGCGGGGCGAGCGAGCTGTCACTACAAGTAGGTAGGTCCTCCTTCTCCCCCTCTCCTCGGAAGGAAAACAATACGAAGTACTTGTAAACAACGGATGCATGCGGCGAGCGAGGATGATCGAATGGGCAAGGGTGCGCCCGTATGCCGGAGGCTGCTGCAGCGCCCGGATGCAGAGCAATCAACCTACCTAGGTAGTAAGCTCGTGCTCCTCCTCAATGCCACCCCGATGATGGTGTTTTGGGTAAGGTGATGTGACCCAGCGGATGGGGCGGGAGGGGAAGTGGGTTGTGTCTGGTCATATGCGACAAGCCAGAAGCTTGACTGGCGTACCTGAGTATTGATTAGCCTTCCACCATCTCTTCTACAAGTAGTCATGAATGATCAGCGAGGATGCTTATGACCCAGCATTAGCGATGCTCAGCCGGACAGGCACAGATTGTGTTGAACGTCGCAATTTACACGGCCGGGATATCTGACTGGCCAACTGCCAGCTTGAGAAAAAGCAAAAGGTCTCGATTTGCGAGTGCCAATTTAACTTTTGGTCTCCCTAGATACAATCTCAGATTGTTTACACAGGGGTCAAGTCATTCATCCCCAGCCGGAAAATTACTTTCGGGCCCGTCACTCGTACAAGCACAAGCCAACATTCAAGTCTCCTGGTGGCTCTGATCAATCTCTGTGCACGCTTGCTTGCGATGGGGAAATCTTTCGCGTAAAGTGGCACGCCATTTCCACACATTCCAACTGGTCACCGCGCGTGTTGCTTCTAGATCCTTCATGCGACGTGTTATCTCTCGAAGAGAGGAGGCGTCGTGGCCACGCCAGAAAACAGTTCAAACCGAAATGGGATCCGTGGCTGCCAGACAGACTGCTGCAAACTAACGTCCAACGGGCGAGTCAGTACCGTACCTTGTTCCGTAGGTAAGGTAGGTATGCCCACACCATTACACAGCATGCCGTGTCTCCCGTTGAAACACTTTGGCTTTGCACCTGACGGCGGCAGGCCTAACGAACGGGTACCTGACTGTTTTGTCCGTCACGGGGACGGGAAGCTTCCGTTTGGAGGAAATCCCGACTCGCGTAAATGCGTTACAAGGGACAAACGCTATTGATAGGTAAGAGCATGCTGGGATGCGAATGCGCCCTGAGCCCAATACCTAAATCCGTAATCGAGTGCATACACACCTTTGGGAATCAATCCCAGACAGTCCCATCTCCGAAGCATCTGGCCCCGTTCCCCGTCGTCGGGTCACAGTCCAATCCATGCTCTACTTGTAATATCCAGGAGGCTCGATACTAGCGTTCTGCTTCCCTGCCGGGCTGTAACAATGACGAGCCCACTAGACCACCCCATCTCATCAAACCTCTGCATACTCCGCAGGTACTTCATGAGCCCTGGGACAGTCAACTTGATGTCTCGAGTGACACCCGACACTTGACCCGATGGCGCACCTGTTGGTTATCTCGGTAACGATGCCAGCTCAGCCGGACAAGACATCCTTTGCATCAGATGAGAAGGTCGACTTGGGTTGCCAATCATCGCCCCAACTGCCAATCTGGTTTAGGTCCTGCTCCATAGTTCAGCTGGATCTTGAAGCCGAAGCGGTCTGTGCAGGCCCTGCACCAGATCCACCAAGAAACGAGCCAGAACACACTCCCAAGACCCTTGACAGATCCAGCTCGCGTCCGTCAAGTTCCTGGCACAGGGAAAATCATTGCGTCATTCGACCCAAGGCCGAGCGGCAGTGCTCGCCAATCCCAGTCATGCCAGCATCTTTTTTGGTAGCATGGTCCACCATTGTGCCATTGTGTTATGCAGAGGGTCGCTATGGGTCTGACCCTCGTCTCTGGGAATACTAGTATGTCCTTGGAGAAATGAAACATTGAAATGAACGCGTCTGTACATTTTTCTCGGCGCTCTAGCTCTACCCACACGATCTAAATTTAACTAGATGGTGAAGGCGTGGAGGGGACGGCTCACGGAGAGAGTCTCAGTTTATCTTTCTCAGGGTCTCTCCATTCAACATCCGCGAGGAACTCAACGTGGCACGCTAATAAAAGGCCGGACAGGAATGCCACCCTGGATGATGGTCGGAGACGCCACAACGGACCCCTAACGAGGGCATCTCAAACATGTCCTGTCGATATAGTTGCTCGGCTTGCAATTATAGAGCTCTCGGTTATATTGAGGTGTCAAATTCATGCAGTATTGTGAGCTATCAATGAGCAATTTAGATATCCGTAAAGTCCAAAACCAAACACCAAAGCGGGGTCTCAGAGAATAAAATAGAAAATAGAAAATAAAACCCAAAGTAACTCCGTTTGACTCGTCTAATAGAGTTGCCTCAGAGTTTGTAGAATGTCTAAGATCGTTGTTGTTGCCGTCGTCATATATCATGCATTCGTAATCAAAGAGCGCCTGCCCAATGCACCAACCTTTGCCCGAGTCATCGAATTAAGAGAAGCAAAGCAGATGTCCGATAGTAGACTCCGTGACTTGCAAGAGCGGTCGAAGTCGTCACTGAACTATGCTTTAGTGACGTAGCGCCTTTTCAAGCTGCCGATATGCCTGGTCCACGGGCGGCGGCCGGATAGTTGCCGCCCTCGATCAGAAACCTCTCGAATTCAGAGCCATCGATGGTCTGCTGGTTCGCAGGAAGCCGAGTCTTTGCCGGCAGGGGCGACCAGTCGTCGTCCGTGATGGCGTGGAAGCGGTAGTTCTCGTTGGAGTTGGCCTCCAGCGTCTCGCACTGGAAGTCACCCTCCAGGTGCACCCGCTGCAGGCGCGGCATGCGGCCGCGGAGGGAGGCAAAGAGCGACCGGAAGCTGCCGCGGCAGAGATGGATTCCGCCCATGGACCGCTCGAAGCTCTTGGCCAGTCCCCGGCCGCCCAGCCGGAGGCGCTCAAGGGTCGCCGAGTGTCTCAGGATGAAACCGCGCAGTTCAGCCTCGTCGCACAGCACACCCTCCAGCGTGAAGTCGGTCAGGTTCTGGAAGACAAAATCGCCAACTAGCTCCTCGAGCCAGAGGAGGAACTTGGTCTGGCGGGAGTTGTAGTTCTGGAAACGCAGCGTCAGGTGCGAGACATTCCCTGAGAAGCGGAGGATGTTCCCAAGTCCGTGGATGGCCTTGAACTTGGTCGCCGGGAGGTTGACGTTGGAGCAGTCGATCGTGAGCTCGAGGCGGGAGAGACCAGCAAAGACATCTCGCGAGTCGGCCCACAGCTTTCGGTCTGCCGGTCCGCGAAACACCTCCAAGGGCAGACGCTCGACGGAGAAGGAGGTCAGCTCCGTCCTCTGCATGGCAGACACGATGGTCGTGAGGTCTTTGCATGCCCTTGTATAGTCCATCTTCCGACAGCTGGGGACCTTGAATGCATCCTTGAGCACCTCGATATCAAACGGACATCTGGCGAAGGTAACTTCAAGCTCTTGCAAGTTGGGCAGCCGGCCGAACGCTTCGCTCAAGGCCGTTGCCTGCTCGTGGAGAGGGCCCACCTCGTCCCTCGACTTGACGATGTCCGCATACTGAAGCCAGGCTTCCGCCAGCACAGCCGACTGCTCTTCTGGGTCCTGTAGATAGTGTTGAAAGTAGGATGCGTGCTGGGCGTTGTACTCGTCCACTTCGGACAGGTTGACGGTGACGGCTTGGACGGTGTGTCTCAAGCGTTGATGGCTCGATATCGAATGCAGCCGCTTGACATCGTCCCTCCAGGCGAGGGCCGTGAAGTGAGGAAGGATGAGATAGTCGTAGCCTACTTGGGCGAGGGTCGTCGTGACCAGGCGGAGGTTCCTCACCGAGTCGACGTCGCAGTGTTGGTACACCAGACGTAGTAACTCGACGGGGAGAGAGTCCATGCCGGCAAACATAACATTGCAGCTTTTGGGGGCCCTCGGGACAGGAGGAGAGAGGGCACGGCTTTGGCTTTTAAAGGGAAACACATTGCTTCTAAGCTACCCCTTTGGACCCGAAATGGCGGGATTCACCAGAACTTTCTTCTGGCAAGGTCCCAGCACCGGATTGGCGGGCTGACAAAGATCAACGACGACTGTGCATTAGCTGCCATGTCTAGGCCCCCAGCGGCGACCAACAGATGTCCCTGGAGACCCTGGGACAGGAACTCCATTTCTGGTAAGGCTTGCTTCCCTCTCAACCGGTACGGTGTAGCGTGTCTACCCGTCCGTCCCATGACAAAAGAAAAAAGGAGCAGGCACACACCGAAACTTTCGCGCTGGAGAAGCGAGAAGTCGGTGAGCCTAAGACATTACCCCTCCATGTTTCCATTTACTCCGTACCGAATTGACGAGACTGGCTGGATGGCAACCGGAAGAGCCCTTCCTGAGCAGGGGCCCCCTGGTCCTTGGCCACCACCACCTTGCGAGCCCCCGGTTCATCTTCAGGCACCGTCACTGCCGTTAGGAGCGCATCCCTCGTGCAGTTCCCAACAGACGGATGGCGTTGCATGATGAGCGGATACCCATCTACGTACCTAGCCCGGGTGGTGCTGTGCTGGCTGGACTGGGTTCGTGTGAAGAGAACCAGTCACTGCAGATGGAGTCCATCACCTGCTTCCGCTGATTCTGGAACACAACCTCCCCGACCTCATGGATTAGGGGGGTGGTCCCGGTATCGCTTGGCATGGAGACTTCCAATGTCTGGTTTGACAAGTGCAACACTGAGCATTCGGAGGTGTGCATCGCCTAGCCTGCCTCGGATTGCCGCGACGCATCAGCAAGAATCGTTCCCTTTGTCGTCAAATGGCTGCTCAGCCTATAGAAGACCAATGAGACTATGGTTTCGCCAATCTACGATGCCATCCAATTTGCATTCCGTCGTGCCATTCATTGCCAAATGATGGTTCCAGAACATTGGTATGAATGCCCGAAGGAATCCACAATAGTCAGTCTATGGGCAAAGCGTAAATGGAGGCAGCGGTAGTAAGCTCACTCTCTCACCGCTTATTTGACTCTTGTCTGTGTGTGTTTCGGGACCCCTCCAGGCCAGGGTGGAGGCACATCCAGGTCATCCTGGTTGTACAACAACTCAGTGATGGGGTCATGCAGACAGCCACACGTTCAGACAGGATTCAACGCGGCCGGGTTGAATTCGCACACAGGTACCTATATTGGCTGTTCGTCTCACACGTATCACTACGTAATGCAGTGAGGTGGTACATTGCAGAAACCGCGCAGCGACGACAATTGCCTTTTGTTGTTTTTCGTTGCTTTTTTAACATGTCTTACTGCACGCACGTGCGCTGAAATGTGACGTTCAGCCTGATTCGGCTGACAGAGAAAAGCAATGAAGACAATACTGCATGCTTTTGGGGAAAACCCCGAGTAAAGCCAATAAAGTTTGCAGTGCTCGATGGCTCGATGCATGCAGATAGCGTGCCCCGGCTCATTTCCGAACCACTGCTGGGGGATTGAGTATTTGTCAAATGCGATGGATGACGGCTTGATCACAAGCTGCTGAGGGAACATAAGCCACCGAAAACCTGAACGGCAGCATGCTGCGGCTTTGTCAGATGTGTGTGGCCGTGTGACCATCGCCCATCTGCATAATGATGGTACGGCTGCGGAGAATGTGTTCAGCTGGCAGTCCCTCAGAAACATCCATGGTATGCTCAAACGAGGAACAGAGCCGCAGCATTGGGCCATCTAATTGAAAGCCAGCCGTATTATCAACGAGGTCACGAGCAGAGCAGAGAGCAGGAATTGCATGGACAACCAGTGGAATTTCGTGCCACTCTCCCTCTGAGTGAGAGGGTTCTATCGAGGACTGTCTCCGTTCCCAAGGCACGCTGAGGAGCCACAGGAGGTACCGGCCAGGTCTGACAGGAGCCTGCGCCAGTCAAAAGGATCTTCAATGCGACGAGGATGTGGGTGCCACAATTGGCAAAAATCGTTCGGCCGAATATTCTGGGCTGAGATGCAAAGATGCTTCAAAGACAATTTCCCCGGCTCTATCCTCCCTCTCTCCCTCTCCCTCTCCATCCCTCCTGCCAGATTTATCGCTGGGCAGACCAGACGCTCTTCAGGTATCCATCGCGTTGAAGCAGGCGGTTCATCGAGTCGTCGGCCTCACCCATGGCGCGGACGAAGCCGGACAGGGCGTAGATCTGGTTGTCGCCAGCAATGGCACGGCCATCCTCGGAGACCTTGGCAACGGCAATCTGGACGGAGGCGTGGTCGTCGGCACGGATGATGCGGTTGGAGGCGCTGCACTTGCGCGGAACGTAACTGGTGCTGTGTTAGCAAAAGTCGCCCTCTCCCACACGTAGGGCATCGTCCATCTCTTACAGCTCGACGAGCTCTCCCTTGTCGTTCTCCATCTTGAGTTGATCCTGAACCGTTTAATTGGGAACTGAGTAATTCTGTCAGCACGAATGGCCGTATGGGTCGTCGGAGGTTCGAGGAAAGCGTACGGGTGAATGAATGGATGCTTGTCGCTGGTCACCGATCGAGGTTGAGGTGGTGGGAGTTGAAAATTATTGCGCCGAAAACAAGATAGTTGTGCTGCCCCACTACCGATTTTTGGCTGTGAATTCTGAATTTGGCATTGGGGCAGTTGCTGCACGTGATCACAAACCCTAGCACGTGATGGTGCGCAGCCCGGCGAAGTACCGACAGAGTAGCTGTCGCCCGGCTTCTCTCCAAGGTAAAGGCAATCTGAGGTTGTCAGATAAGTCTCTTAAGCCAGGTATTGTCATCCTGACCCTCAGGGTCAAAGGGCGCCTCTGATGCAATATTGTTTGGGTAGATTGTTTATCTTTGATCATGGGCATCCATCCTCCAACATGCCTGCTGTCGCGCCTGGAGTTTGGAGATATCCTAGTACCTTAATCACAATGACACCTCAGAAAGGCTAGTGGCTTTTCTGAGCATGTCCCTAAAGATACACTGAGCACCCCAAGAGGGAGGCACATGTCATTTAAGTGAATGTATCTATCTTAGGGAGCCAAATGCGTTGATCATATACTTAAAGAATCAAGTATCATATGCATCTACAAGTAAGTCTATATGTGTACGAATGTCCAAGATCTTCATACCTACAAGTAGTATTGGTCTCTTGCACATGCCAGTGAACCGGGATTGTTCGAGTAGGTACTGTAGGTACAGTAGGTACATCAAAAGTCAGCCACCCAACGGTTAGTTACCGATTACGGAGACCGCGCCCATCTGACATGCACTAGAAGCTCCACAGCGAGTCCAGGCAAGAGTTACAGGGTCTTGTTCAACGTCACCTCCCCTTGATAGCGCTGGCTTAACAGATCAAGGAGCAATATCCCCAACACGCATTACTCGAGCCCAGGATACCGCTGGGATCTCCTCTGTCTCAGTATGAGAGGGCACTGTCCCTGCATAGAGGCAAGATGGTTTTCTCAGCACTTCTCGGGCAGTCTGCCGATCGCAGCACTCGCCCACCCTCAAGCCGACCCAAGCCCTCGCCCGCGACAAGCCACACTTCTGTCATGACCGCCTCCTCCGACGGACACGGGAGACACGGGAGTACCGGGACGATTACATCTGTTTCGACCGGCCCGCTCGAATATATATCTGATGAGGCTCAGCTCCGACCGTTGCCGCCCGATGCTCCCGACCTCCGCGAGCTCAACAACAGTCTGGAGGCGCTTGCGGCCGTCTTTCCCGATGTGCAGATCGATGTTTTCCGCGAGATGCTTTCCAGCTTCGAAGGCGAATCACGGCTCGCATTAGTAGCGGATGCGCTGCTGAAGAATCGGGTCACCTGGGTCAAGGGGCGGTGGAAGGCTATCGACAAGGAGAAAAGGGGCTCGTCCCTCAAGGACACTCCACCTGCACTTCCCGTGCAACGTGCCCACAGCGCGTCACTGATCCCGAGAAACGAAGTTTTTCGGAGCGCGGCCTACAAGAAAGCCGCCAAGACGCTGGCCTGGCATGAGTTCAAAGGCCTTTCCAAGTCTACAATCAATGCCGTCCTGGCGGAACAGAACTACTCGTATCTGGAAGCCAGAAGGGAGCTCGTGGCTCTCTCTTCAAAGTCCTGGCGTTTCACGATATCTTCCCTATTCTTGCGCCGCAAGCCGGTTACGGTCGGTGAGGCCGAGAACCACCCCCTGATCATCTGGAGATCGTCTGGCCGTGGATCCATCATCCCCAGCATCAAGTCTACTGGCAACGAGGAGTTGGACCAAGAGTTATTCAACGAATTGATCTCACCGCTTAAAACCAATGCCCGGAGGAAACAAGAAGAAAGCGACCGCACGGTTGCTCTTGAGCTTAACACGGAGGAGGCCGAGAAGTGCGATGCCACTTACGAGTGCGCTTGCTGCTTCACAACGGCAACTTTTGAGGAGTTCACCACATGCAATGTGGAGGGGCACATGATCTGCTTTCGCTGCGTCCAACACTCTATAACCGAGGCTGTTTTCGGACAGGGCTGGCATCGGAGTATAGAGAAGGAGACCGGCACGCTGAGATGCCCCGCCGTCGACTCGATCGAGTGCGACGGTTGTGTGTCCTCAGATCAGCTCCACCGTGCTATGCTGGAAGAACAGAAGGGCGCCGAGATCATGCACAAACTTGAGCAAAGGCTGGCCGAACACAGTCTCCTCTCCTCCCAGCTACCACTCGTCCGGTGCCCCTTTTGCGAATACGCAGAAGTCGATGACATCTACCTTCCACCCCAGGAGTCCCAACTGCGTGTCAAGGCGGATAGCGTCTATTCCCTGATTCTGCTCTTCTTGATGATTGCCATGTCTCCTTTCCTTCTCCCGGTCGTCCTCGTGTCGTCCTTCCTGGCGCTGCTCATCAGTTCCAAGAGGACCACGTTTGGGGACTACGTCATCAATGCCTTCTCGGCCGCCCTGACCAGGTACCGTCGGCGCCGAAGGGGCTCCAAGTTCACTTGCCAGAACCCCTCGTGCGGGCGCGTCTCTTGTCTGAGCTGCTCCAAGGAGTGGGCCGACATCCACGTCTGCCACGAGTCCTCCCTCGTCGCCCTGCGCACGCAGGTCGAGCAGGCCATGAGCATGGCCATCAAGCGCGTCTGCCCCCGCTGCAACACGTCGTTCGTCAAGAACGCCGGCTGCAACAAGCTCACCTGCCCCTGCGGCTACAAGATGTGCTACGTCTGCCGCAAGGACATTGGCGGCTCCGACGGCGGCGAGGACGTCGGGTACCGCCACTTCTGCGAGCACTTCCGGCCCGAGGGCGACCCGCGCCAGTGCCGCGAGTGCAACAAGTGCAACCTCTGGGAGTCGGAGAACACCGAGGCCGTGCTGGCGGCGGCCAAGCGCGAGGCCGAGAGGAAGTGGAAGGAGATGGAGCAGCGCGAGCTCTCCGGGTCGGAGCGCGCCTTCCTCGAGACCGGCGTCGCGGCCAAGAAGGGGCCCGGCGGTGGCGAGCAGGGCTTCGAGGGCGCCATCTTCCGCGGCAGGATACCTACCGTCGCAGAGCTGTGCGACCTGGTCATTGAGACCGTGTTTGTATGAATGCACGAACGACGCATGACCTTTTTTGTTTTCTTCTTCCTTGACCCTTCTCCCCTCGATTCCTTCGGCACATTGTGTTTGCTTCATGGAATTTTGGCGACGGTTTTTTTTTTTATTCACTTGTATTCAAGTTTCTTTGACCTTTGAAACCAGTCGGTCTGGATTTCGAGGACAGACATACGGCATGGACTTATCAGCATAGGGCACCCAGCAGGCATTGCATTTATCGGTATGGGAGGCGCAGACAGATGAGAAACCCGAAATGGGAAAATGTGTGTATATAAAACACAGGAATGGAATAGAAATTAGCACTTCGATCAGCGACAAAGGACAGGAGGCACCGGAGACGATATCATATAATAACTACACAACTTCATCTATGATTTCACTTGTTGACAAAAGCTCATATATTGCGCACAATTCCCTAATGCAAACATGGATTTGAGACACCAAATACTTGTACACAAAAAAAAAAGGAGGAAGGCCGCTCCAGGAAACCGACCCTCATCCCATCCAGGATGTCTGCTTCCTCAGCCCACACATCCAACAGGACTGGGATATCCTTGTATGCCCCAGAATGCAGGCAAGAGTACCGATACTCATCTATGCCAAACAACCAACCAACCCAATCACCAACTCAATCCCATCTGCTTTTACTATATCAGAACGACAAAAATCATTCCAAGAATCCATATAGTCTTTTCTCTCTCCCTCTCCCAATTACGCGGGGTCGTTCCTTACAACTTGCCCTTGCCGTCCGGGTTGACGAGCTCGGCCGCGGCGCCGCCGATGGCCAGCTTGCCCGTCTCCTTGACCTTGACCTGGAAGACGACGCGGCCGCCCTCCTTCCACATCTCGGTGACGAGGGTCTGGCCCGGCAGGACGACGCCGGCGAAGCGCACCTTGATGTTCTTGAAGGCGCCGAAGCGCTCGTAGACGGCCTTGCCGGCGATGCCGAAGGAGCACAGGCCGTGCAGGATGGGCACCTTGAAGCCGCCCATCTTGGCGAAGCTGGGGTCGACGTGCAGGGGGTTGTAGTCGCCGCTCAGGCGGTACAGCGCGGCCTGCTCCTCGGTCGTCTTCTCCTCGACGACGACGTCCGGCGCGCGCTTGGGCGGCGGGTTGGCGGCCGTGGCGGCGCCGCGCTCGCTGCCCTTCTTGTCGCCGCCGAAGCCGCCGCAGCCGCGCAGGAAGACGACCGACTCGTTGTAGAAGACCTCCTCGCCCGTTTCGGCGTTGACGGTCGAGACGCCATAGCGGACGACGGCGGCGCGGCCCTTGTCGACGACCTCGATGAGCTTGCCGTAGTTCTTGAGGTTGGCGGCGGTCGGGACGGGGTACTTCTTGACCTCGAGGTACTGCTCGCCGTGCAGGAGCATCATGGGGCTGAAGTTGGGCACGATGTCGTCAAAGGAGAACGGCATCTCAGCGTCGAAAGGCGGGATGACACCATAGGTCGGGATGACCTGGAAGTCCTCTGCACCCTCACTATCTTGAGTGTTAGTACATACATCTCTTCTAGGCGCACACGTGCTTTTCATGGAATCATTGCTCACAAGATGTACTTGAGGTCGGTCCTCTTTGCGCCGATGCCCAGGTTGTAGAGCATCGAGTCACGGTCGGTGTACTTGAAGTCGGTTCCGTTGGACTTGGCCTTCAGGGCGGCCTGGATGGCCTCAAGGTATTTGCTGCCGGAAGACGAATCACTCTTCTAAAAGCAGAGCACACAGGAATCAGTATGCGATCATTGTTTAAAACTAACGCCTTCTACATGCGCAACAAGAGGAACTAATGTACAAGGAAAAGCGTGAGCTGTCTCATACCTTGGCAGAGCCGGCCTTGTTCTCAATGTTGGCCATGATCCTCTCGACACTGTCGTTGGTCTTGGTGGGATAGTCGGCACGGCCATCGTCGAAGTTGGCAATCTCCTTCCAGTGCTTGCGGACCTCCTCAGGGGTCAGAGGCACATCAACGGGGAAGCCGTGGCCACCAGTGCGCTGCCACCTAGTGTGTCCGATCCAGCCACTGCCAACCTCGTAGATGCGTCCGGTGGGATCCTTGGGACCCTTCTCAGCGCTCAGCGCGAGGACAACGGGAGCAATGTACTCGGGCTTGAAGGCCTGAACCAGCTCTTCGGGCAGGATAGTCCGGGTCATGGCAGTGCCGGCGTTGGGAGCAATGACGTTGGCATAGATGTTGTACTTTTGTCCTTCCCACGCAAGAGACTTGGTGAAGCCAATAATGGCGGATTTCTATTACGAGATTAGCACATAGAACATGACTTTGATAGGCTGAAGTTAACTTACAGCAGCGGCGTAGTTGGCTTGGCCGAAGTTACCGTAGATACCGCTGGTGGAGGTGGTGTTGATGATACGGCCATACTTCTGCTTGAGGAAGTGAGGCCAGGCGGCCTTGGTGACCTTGTAGGTACCGCGGGCGTGCACGTTCAGGACGGGGTCCCAGAGGTTATCGTCCATGTTGTTGAAGGCCTTGTCTCGCAGGATGCCGGCGTTGTTGACAATGATATCGATCCGGCCGAAAGCGTCAATCGCAGCCTTGACAACGGTATCGCCGTCCTCAGCGGAAGCCTTGACACCAGCGGCCTTGCCTCCAGCCTTCTTGATCTCGTTGACAACATCATCGGGGTTCACGAGATCGTTGACAACGACCGAGGCGCCGTACTTGGCAAAGGCCAAGCAGTAGGCTCGGCCAATACCGGCACCTCCGCCAGTGACCAGGGCAACCCGGCCCTTGAAGTCGGGCTCGGGACCCTTCTCGTTGGGGCCCATCTTGGTCGACTCCTCGAGCAGTGCCAGGAAGTCGTTGGGGCCGCTGGGGTACTGGGGCTTGGAGAAGTCGACAATCTGGTCCCACTTCTTGAGAACTGCGCCAGGCGTGTAAGTCTCGTCGCACTTGAGAAGCTGGCCATTGGCCCGCTGCCACCGGATCTGGGCAGCATGGCCACCGCCGACATCAAAGATGGCGCCAGTGACATCCTCGTTGCTCTTGTGAGCCAGAACCGCCACGACAGGGACCACCCACTCGGGCTTCATCAGGTCAAGCATGTCTGGGGGCAGAATGGTCTCGGTCATGCGGCTGGCAGCCATGGGAGCAATGACGTTGCAGAGAATGTTGTACTTGATACCCTCCTTAGCGAGGGTTTCCGTGAAGCCGACCTGGGCCATCTTGGCAGCTGGATGGAGTTAGTCAAGGAGTTTGGGGGGGGGGGGGGGGGGGGGGGGGGTTTG